ATACCAAATTACAAGAAAAATTAGTATGCATACCAAATATTTTTATAGAAATGATTTAAAGCATCATTCTGAAATAAAAGAAGTAGTTGGTGGCGTGTCTGGCAAGTGCATATGTAGATGCTCAGGCTTTTTGCAAATTCTGCAGCAGATCATTACCTATGCACTTAATCTAATTATTGCGATACATTTTCTAGAGAGGTTACTTGTTAAAGAATTATGTTAGCATGCTGGCAATAACTGAGCAGTTTAACTTATACCTAGAAAATTAACTTCTTTAGAATTCTACTAACAAATTGTTCCTTTTAATAAGAACCTGCTTTCATGTAAGGGCTCCCTTACTAGCTGGAGGGAAATCATTTTCAGACACAGCATTCACAGAAAAGATAACGACAACGGTTGTAATGATTTTTTTAAAAGATCACACACTATTGCACTTAAAGAATTGTGCTTTTCCCTGAAAATAAGCTCTGTACATTGGTTGCCTCCCTCAGCTTTTTCTAGAGCCAGCAAGTGCATACTTTTCACTCAGCTGAGACTTCTTATCGGCACACTTACACACTTACAAGCAGCAGGGTGCGTCGTTCGGAAAGTCTGCCACCTGCAGAGCCCTCCAGGTGCCAGAGGCATTGCTTTATTTAATATTACCACAGCATTAATTTTACTTCATTAATTTATGTCATTCATCCTTTATTTCAAATTAGGACTGCCAAAACTAAATCTATAGATATCATGTCCCTATTCATTTTAAGGAACACCTTATAGTGTTGAAAGGATTAAGCAACTTTGTAACTAGAAAATGACTGTTTAGCTTTCACAGTTGAAAAATAAAAGTTCTATCAACAAAGTTTTCCTTGAATTGGAATAATTTTTCAAAGGAAAACATGCCACTTTTGGTTGCCCAGGAACTAGCAAGTACTGCATCAGAGAAAGAAAAGTATTTCAACTTTTTAAGTCCAGAAAAGTCTCCACTGAGTTGCCGGCGATGGCAATTCTCTCTAACTAACAAAGAGCAGGTCTCAACTTAAGCCACCAGAACCTAGGTAGAACTTCTGCTTACATTATTTTGTGTTTGTGTTAAGTCACATTGACTTCTCAGACAAAGTAGTGAGATCAGCTTTCTCTCAAGGCAATTTAAGTTGGATGACTGTTGTAGTCAGGGTTACTATTGCAGTGACTAAACACCATGACCAAAGCAACATGAGGAAGAATTTATTTGGCTTACACTTCCATCATGGAAGGAAGCCAGGAAAGGAATTCAAACAGGGCAGGAACCTGGAGGTAGGAACTGATCCAGAGACATGGAAGGGTGCACTCAGTCTGCTGTCTAGTAGAACATAGGATCGCCAGCCCAGATACAGCACCATCCACAATGGGCTGGCCCCCCCCCCTCCAATCACTAAGAACGTGTCTCACAGCTATATCTTACAGAGGAATTTCCTCAACTGAGTTTCCTCCTTTCAGATAGATCTAGCCTGTGTCAAGCTGACATAAAACTAACCAGGACAACAATAACTATACATTACAAAAGATAAATAAATAATAGTATAGGTATATGAAGGCATGGGAGATATTGGAAAGATTGTAAACAGTGGAATTTGAAAATTTTTTCTGTAAGTGGACGTGTAGCCAACTTTTGTATTTTTTGTGTAGAGAAAAAGGACAACATTGAATAAAAATGAAAACTGATGACTAAAGAAGACATTAAATGTTTTTGTTCTGTATCTTTTAAGAAAGCACAAACTACTCTAATTTTTTATTACTTAATCTTGGCATGATGGAAATATTTTATATCATGATATCTCACTTAATCTCCCAAGTGAAAGTAACCCTGTACACTTTACTGAATGGAATGGAGAACCTCTAGGTTAAGGACTTTTAGGGGATTGGAAGTAGTAATGTGTAGTGTTGCCTGCTACTTAGGCAAGAATCATAATTTCTAGAAAGAAGAATGCATATATTTCTGAACACACAAGGGAAGCAGAAAGAGAGAAAGGACCCAGGACACTCAATGTCACAACAAACAGCTGGAATGAACTTACAGAGGATAGGAATAAACACCTGAGTGATATCCAAGGTCACACACACACACACACACACATACACACACACACACGAAACGATGAAGACGATTCAGGATTGGAAAACTAAGCTTAGTAAAAGAGAATTATTAAGGAGAACCAAAGCTGAAATCAAGATGGAATTGAAAAATTCAAAAGCTCAGGAAACTCAAGGGAAAAGCTTATGAACAGAATGGGACAAGTAGAAGACAGAGTATCAGAAGATCAGTAGATGAATTGGACCACACAAGCAAAGGATACAAGGACTTACACACACACACACACACACACACACACACACACACACACACACACACAAGGGAACATGAATTTTGGGGTGCCATGAAAAGACAAAGCTATAGATAGGTATGGAAGGAGAAGAAGAATGCCAGGCAGTGGCATGGACTAGCTTTCCCACAGGATTATAGACACTCTCCTGAGAAGCAATATTCAGTGTTAAAATAACAACAACAGCAACAACAACAAAAACCACTCCACAAAGGTGCCTAAGGAAGTTTTCCGAGTGCCAGGCTTTAAAATACAGGTATTTTCAATGGGACAATTTTGACATTGTTACCACACATTTACCTCTCTGATAGGATTTCATTTAGGGCCTACTGTTAAAGTTTCAGCCCCTGACTTTCAGTGAAATGCCTACATAAGTATTTTGTCTGTAGTTTACAGTGAAATAGACAATTTGGAATACATATATCTTGCGGCAAGAGGAGCTGAAACACACCCCACACAGAAATCGCTTGAAGACTCCTTGTTTTCCCTAGGTTTTGTACTCTTTTGTACAGACATTTTCTTGGCACCAACAGCTTTATTTTTTATCTCTTGAAGGAATGGAGGCCAATCTAGCCTTGCGAACAGCTCCCTTTCAAAGGGCAGAGTTTAACATTAATCCCTAGTAGACAAAGTCCAGGGACATCTTTGCACAAATCAAATGCATTCCAGATCTGTCACGAACTGGAAACAACACAGCAGGGCTGAGGGGAGCAAGCGATGAGAGCTGACATTCCCACACTGAAAGCACAAAGCCCATTCCTCCTGTCTCTCTGCAGGCCACCTTTCAACTCCCAGCTCCACTCAGAGATCTGAAGAGAGGCCTTGGCATTCAGACAACAAACTACCTGAGCAAAACTAAGTGGGCTGAATGCCATCTACCTCAGACAAGCCAACAACTCCATTCCTTTCTTCATGTCTGTCAACATCTGCTTTCTCAGGATTCTTAAGGTGATAAAAAAAAGAACTTTTTTATGTCTTCTCCCTTCATGATTCACTCTTCTGATATAGGAATTCCATGGACTTATTATGTTCCTTACGACTCCTGGTGCTACAAATGGGTCAGTGTGAAGTTAATACATCATTACTGCTGTAATTATCCCTTGGCAGTAATGAGGAAGAGCACCAGAAATCTGTGGTCTCCAAGTTTAACCGAACACTAACACTGAATTTATAGGCAATCTATCGCCTTGTACCATACACAACATTGTAATATCATAGGATTAATTTTAAACTGTTTGCCTAAGGGTGTTCTTCTATCACATAAGACATATATTTATATAAAAGAATACTCTAAGAAGCACGTGCCTTTGCTTACTTTCAAAGCTGGTGGAATCTACATTCTTTTCCTTTCAAACTTCATCTCCTCTCCCTCTTTCTCATGTTTGTTAACAGCAGCTCAACATCTCTTCCGCTAGACAAATACATCGTAGCGCATGATGTAAAAATACATTATTAATTATCTAGGAATTCCTTTAAAAAGGCCTACCAACTGGTGGCTTAGAGCAATGTTAAGTTTGTTTTCTCACACTTCTGCAGGTCAGGAACTTGAAGTCAAGATGTTCCCTTAAAGGGCTTCACAGGAACAGATCCTTGCCTCTATAGGTGATGGTTCCAGGTGTGTCCTTGCCTCCATCTTCACATGGCCATCTTCTGCCATGTGGCTGAGTTGTCACAATCACAGGACAGGACACATTCTAATATAGCCTGGCCTTAACCACATTGGCAAAAGTATTGCATTCTAAGATTCAGGTGGATATGGATTCTTTTTTTGTTTTGATATGGATTCTTAGGACAACATTAAGTGAAGCACACACGTACCTGCCTGTTTCTTTTCTGGGGGTGGGATTGGGGGGCAGTATTTCTATATATTGTCTCAAACATCAATTTGATTTTTCCCAGTACTGACACATTATTATCCCTTATTAAAATCCTTTTGACTTCAAAGTTGCAGAAGTGGCTAAATTCAGCATCCACAGTATAGCATGCAAGGATTCGGCCACACCTTCATGACAGAGGGTCATTAAAAGATGGCCAAAAGCCTATAGCTTATCAGCATAAAAATATAGATTTTGCTAACCAACCACCTCAGTTGACAAGACCTGGCTGAAGATGTGTTGCAATCTGCACTTTGGTTCATTCAGTTTGAGTTTGGAATGGACACCTAAACTCAGGATGATTATATAAAAATACTTTCTTATATTTGACAAAAATAACTCGAAGCTTTTCAACAACATTTTACAGAAAGAACCAGCAAGAAAGAATGCACTCTCACTAGCTAACTCAAGACAGAATCCACAAACAGAGCTTTCTTGCTCTCTTCTCCATCCAGACTTGCCTTGTTCAGTAAGATAACTTCCATCTGACGCATGTTAGCGGCTTACAATCTGTACAATAATACAACATTACTGCATGCACAGCACCCCTGAAAAATAGCAGCAGCACAGCTCTCTTTCTATGTCATCTTCCTCGGATCATGAGCAGCCTTTGAATCTCTGGGGTTAGAAAACACGGTGGAAACAAAACACTGAGGTTTGCACAAAGGATGTTGTCCAGAGTTCTCCCAATTGCATCTATGGTGAGACTCAATAACGTAAAACAGTAAATCTGGAATAATAAAGCTCTCCCCCAATATAAAGAACAAAGAAAGCATCTGCATTTTTGTTGTGCACCACAGAAACTTATTTATTCACTTTACATTTACACAAGAATGCTATAATAAAATATCTGTACACTACTCCTGTTACAAATATAGATAATATTTAAAGTGACTTTATATATTCTAATGTAGGAGTTTCACGCTCTAAAATGGGATTGAACACATGATAATTCCTCACCAGTTGTCTCAGTAAACAGCTCCATCTGTTTCCTTTAGTCTTAAACTATTGTATTATAAGATGTTAATACATGGCAATGAAATGAAGTTATCTTAACCCCCTTAATTTTTCTGTCAATTTATTAATGGCATACAACCAAAATAATTACTAACACACTGCCTTTTTCTCTGTCATTAAGATTAATACTAATGGAAAAACAATACCACAGTACACTAATATATTTTCAGTGTCGCGTCAGTCTGTTGAATCAGCACTAGAAGGTTCTGGGCTCCTTTCTCTGTCTTCCATAGCTGGATGGTTATTTTTCAGAAGAACTGTAGCCACCACAGGGAAGCATGATTATTTTCCTTACAACAACATGAAAACATAGCAGGTCAAAAACTGAAAATGAACACCAAGATATGCATTAAACATGGTTTCCTTTTAAAGCTTAGTAAGACTGCTAATGTTAGCAGAAAAATATATATTAGAGGTAAGAAGAACCAGTATGCAACAGTGTTCACAATTTTAAAATAACCTGTTCAAGATTATTGTGCACATTTATTGGGGTAGGGAGACTGCCCAGATTGGGGCACTTTTCTAAAACTCAAGATTGTCTTCTTTTTTTTTTTTTGTAAATTTTTACTTTTTTTTAATCCTAATTTTCTGAGGCCATTTCTTTTGGCTAGCTTTGAGTTATTTTGTTTCCATATTACCAAAATGAGCCTATAATAATTTTGTCCACATGACTATAAATTGTTAGATGTCTTCAAAATAAAAATGAGGTTTACCTATTACGCAAATATTCCTTCTCTTTCAGTTAAGGATCATAAAATGCAACGGGAAAGGAAAAATGTTGCTAAGTTGTCAGTAACAAATCACTAAATGTTTCTCTCCCGACTGTAGTTTCCCCCAATGAACACAGCATAGGAAACCCACAGGGACAGTTCGAAGTTCCACACTGTTACAGGAGGTGGCTGGGCTGGTTCAGCTTTGGCAGCCTGTTCAGGAGAGAACCACGAGGGTGACAGTGCCTTTTGTCCTCTTAAGGATGGCGACCGCTTCTTCATGGGTTACTCCTTCTAGACTCTGCCCGTTGACAGCAATGATCTGATCGCCCCTTTTTAGACGCCCGTCTTCCGCGGCTGCTCCCTGCAATTATAAAGCAGGCTTGTTTACTTGTGAAAGAATTCAGGCTCACACAAAGAAAAAGAGCTGAACAAGAATGCAAATTGCTCTGCATGTACACACACATTGCTCCCGGCGCCCCATACCATTAGGCATGATGAACACACACAAAAGAGGCCTTTCTCCAAAATGGTTTTAACACTGAGAGTCCAATCTGGGAGTGAATTTAGCAGTCAACAGAGTCGCTGGATGCTTTTTTGACTGTTTAGCACAGCAGTTGGTAGCAACTAAAATTAATAAAGAATATTTGGGCATTTGCCTAGCAGGAGCGAGTTCATAGAAATTAGGGGTTTCTATCCATAAAGAAGACCTACAGAATGACAAAAGATCAATGAACAACAAAAGCAGTTTCATCAAACAAAGCTAAAGATCTCAGAATCCACAGAATTCCAGAAACAGAAAGCTCACATGGCGGCTGACCTGGGCAGGGTAAGGCAAAGTGATGATTTAAAAGCCATTTCAGGGCTGGGGAGACTTTGCTTGTGCAGTTCTTGTTCAAGATGGATGAGGCCCCAAATTCCATCCTAAGGACATAGCCCAGACAGGAGCCCCTCAACCACTACTACTTGTAATTTTCCCTACGCTTTGGAAAGAAAGAATGCTCAAGCTCTCTTACTTCTTACTGTTAGGGTACAGACATTCTCCTATTTCTACAGGCCCTAAATAATTATGATTAAACAGACATCCTATTTAAAAAAGAACCCCATCTTAAGGCATGCGTATATAAGATAATTATGCAATTAAATATAAGATTAAAAATATGGAAAAGTTAATGAGGAGTGTATAATGATGAAATTCTTAAAATATGTTCTAACTAGCATGCCTTAAATAAATTGTTCCTAGGCCGAGGAAAAGAATTGCCTGGTGCTTCTATTCACTGGCAAATGCTGGCTATATTTTTGGATATACCAATAACTTTTTTAAAAATCTCACAAATTAAGCCTACAGCTAGCTTGTCACAAGAACAGCACTTTAAATTGGCTGAAAATAGTAGTATTTTCCTAAAATAATAGAATGAAACTTCCATAAACTAAAGGACCACAACACTTAAAGAGCCCAGATGAGATCTTTACAGACCTGACATTCATTTTGTTCTTTTACACTGTAAAATGTGATATTTCTGGTTTGCTTCAGCAGGGAACATTGTTCAATTTTGTAGTTTTTAAAAATGGGTCTTAAGAACACAATATCAACCATTATGTGTTTCCATTATTTTAATGACTTCATCAAAATTATAGTCTCTTTATTCTTACTCTAAACAGTCTTAAGATAGTTTATTAGATGACTACAACTATATACAGAGCTTTCTTTTTGAAAGTAATAGAATCCCTTGATTGAGAATCATGCTTTATCGTTGATGACAGGTCTGCTTACCACTCCTTGAATTTAAAATATATTTTCCTTTTCAATTAAACTTATAAAAACCCTACTTATGTGGTATGCATTTTATATATTTTTGTGTATCTACTTTATATATCACAATCACAAAGAACACAGAGGAAAACATGCCATTTCTTGACAGTAGATATATTATGAAAGTCCATTTTCAACAGATCATCATGTACAACTTGCTTTCAAATGAAAAGGATAGGCTTAATTATTTTATGTATATTGTTGAGTTTCCATAGAGTTTCAATTTGAGCTTATTTTTCTCTAAACATAACTAAACCTCAAATTGAAAAAAAATATTTAATGACCTGTTTCTGCAGGGAATTTAGAAAGAAAATGTCAATGTTAACCATTTGGCATTACCTCAGGCCATAAACTAATAAGCCAGCTGCTGACCAGTATTAATTAATGTCTAGCAGGGAACAGAATGGTTAAAACTTGAAAGCTTACCTTTGAAAATACTGTTTTCACGTAAATTGGTAAGTCTCCATGAGGGCTGCCATATCCTCCTACAATGCTGAAGCCTAAACCATCTGGTCCTCGATCTAGTGTTATAGTCTTACACTGTGGAGGTCTACAGAAAAGGGAAGGAGAAATGAGGTTCACGACTAAACACACACACACACATACACACGCACACACACACACACACACAAACACACATTAGTCTCTGTGCCTTACCTGACAAACTACACAACTAGCATGCTTCTGTAATTCATGTTATTGATAAGGAAGATATTATTTATTGTCTGTTCTCATAGCACAAAAATTCTCATTCTTTTTTCAGTTTATTGGGAGAGAAGAGGGTGAAAGTTTAGAGGACCACAATGTAGAGTTGTAAACACTGGTCTCTACTTCAGAGAGGAAAATCAATTGTGAGCAATGCAAGGGCAGCAGCAAATAGTTTGAAAATTCAAATGCGCCTCTCTTTACTCTTCCTCTTTTCTAGCACTCTTACATTTAGTGTTGTTTTTCAGTACTTTAAACATTTTCAATCAAAAGTTCAATCAATAAGATTAAGATGTCCTCTCAAAAAAAAAATCAAAACTGAAAACTCAGGAAGTGTAGTAGGGTGAACTGTAATCTATCCATCTCTGACAAGGTAACTGCGTGTAATCTACCCATGTCTGACTGTGTGTAATCTGCCTAGCTCTGACAAGGTAATCTGTAATCTACCCATCTCTGACTAGGTAACTGTCTATAACTTACCCATCTCTGACAAGGTAACTGTCATCTACCCATCTCTGACTAGGTAACTGTGTTTAATCTACCCATCTATGACAAGGTAATCTGTAATCCACCCATCTCTGACTAGGTAACTGTGTTTAATCTACCCATCTCTGACAAGGTAATCTGTAATCCACCCATCGCTGACTAGGTAACTGTGTTTAATCTACCCATCTCTGACAAGGTAATCTGTAATCCCCGCCTCCGACTAGGTAACTGTCATCTGTCATCTCAGACCAGGCAGCTGTGTGTAAACCACTCATTTTTGACTAGCTGACAATTAAAGCATTGGCACCTTCAACTTCTCCCATTCTGTTCCCTCTGTGTGAGTGCTAGAACATGGGAAAGATACTGAATTTGTCTGGGTTATTTGATTTGAAAACAACAAATGATAAACCCCTGATAATTCATGATTGCTCACCCTAAATCATCCGGAAATATACTGCTTGATGTTAGCCCAGTGAAAGCAAGACACGGGTTGGCAAGCTCTTGCTGATGACCTGTGACCACACTCACATCTCCCCCAGCAACCACCTGTGTGTAGGCAAAGTGAAAAGAGAAGAACATATGCTCACGTAGCTTGAGAGATTCCAAGAGACTTTTTTCCAAAAATCAAACGTGGCTTAAAATGAGTATTTTATTGCCTACTTAATCAAAGAAATGATTAAGATATTTTTAAATAGAAAGGAATTTCACAATGCCCAGACACCTCTTAGCTGTTCAGATAGTAAAAATTTCCTAAATTAAATTCTCTATTTTTCTTTGATCTTTATAAATCATGACCTCATGTGTAATTATTTTTCAAAGGTCTTTAGAAGACACGCCACTCACAGAGCACACAAAATTCTAACAATTAATCACTGGTTGCTAAGGCCCCTGTATTTTTCCCTTGAGACATACAATGTAAAATAATGAAGGCATAGGGATGAAATGTTACAGAACATGTTTCATAATGCTTTCTTGGAGCTCTCCTTTTAATCACTGACATTCAAGGGATATATTAAATAAAATAGTACCAGGAGACTGAATCATTTTTATTTAGCACCAGAGCCCCTGTGTCCTCAGGCTACCTATATCCTGGTTAGTGCTGGGGATAGAAGCCTTACCTGCACTTCAATGGAGCCGGAGGCACTTTTCATCAAGTTAACTGCTTGTGTGTGAGTCATCCCCTCAGTGGATGTGCCACAGATGGTAACAATCCTATCCCCAACCTGCAAGCAAATGTCACCATGCAGAGTAGGGCTGACAGGCTAGCACAGTCTTTCTTGGTAACTCACAGCACACCTAACTTGCCACCCACCAGTGAGACATAACCAAGGGGACCATTAACTCAAGCCGAAGAATCAACTATGAAAAGGGATATGGTACAGATGAATTTGATGGTTCTAGCGGAGGGAGAGTGACGAGAAAAGAGTCCGTCTTCCCGGGACCTTCTTTCTCCTGAGTAAGATATTACTTCTTATTAAAACCATAAAGAACCAGTGTGGTTTTCTCTGGATATCATCACCGTGTGTGTTAGATGAGACCATAAGTCAGAGGCTGGCAAACTAAGGGCAGCAGAGCCAACCTGGCACACTGCCCACTTCAGTTAATAAGATTTGGTTGGAAGACAGCATGCTTATTTGGCTATTTCATAGGGCAGAGCTGAGTAGCTACAAGAGAGTACTATGGCCCAGTTTAAAGTATTCACTAGCTGTGTTATAGGATGTTCATTGACTCTATGGCACTATGATATAATTAGTTTCTCAGTGTCCATCATAAAGTTAGAAGTGCTGACCCACTCACTCCCAAACTTGAGGTCATTTAACTATGATGAGATTCTTCTGGAGACCTTGTGTACAGCTTGGGCATAAGAGATGTTGCTTCAGAGACCGAGCTACTGAAGGAGGATCTACTGGGCCAGGAGAGGCTCCCATACTACTTTTCACTGGGGCCATCTGTCATCCTTGAAGAAAGTTTGTATGTTCTAGAGTATTTTAGATCATATTTGCATTAAACTTTTTAATGTAATGAAATAAACAATATTTTAAATTTGGTATGGTCAAGTTAGCATTTAAACGAAGAAGTCATATAAAGGAAGGTTCCCTCTGTATTTGTGCACTGAACACATTTTTGTTTTCTTTTTTACTGTTTTCCACAGTTGTAATTGCCTGACAGTCCTGCATCTGACAACATCACGTTCCCCTTTTGTTATTTTTTTTTTATCTTCCACTTACACTAAGCTCAACCAAAGCTCCGCTAACAATTTTCAAGCAGATCTAAACCTTGACCATAGGTAGCTGGATTGAGAAGCTGGAAATGCCTGCTAGATTTGCTAGGGCCATTATGGTGAGTAGGAAAACGTACTCTGAGCTTCTGGGTTTGAGCCGCAACACCGTTTGGATGCATCATTGCAATAAATATAGGAACATCGCCAAGCGGGCTGCCCACTCCTCCAGCAATGCTGATTCCCAGCGAGTCCGCAGGCCCCTGCCATGGAACAGATAGAGTTTGGTTAAAGTGGTATTTTAAACTGACCCTTTGTTAGTTCTCTGGCATACAATATTCTATTGTCAGTTAGGATCTTCTAGGTATGAGTGTGGAAAATACTTCATTTAACACAAGAGGTTAAGGAAAGTGTCTGGGAAGTAAAGCAATCATTACATACTAAATTAAGTTTAGTCTTATAAAAGGCAGGAAAACTCAGGAAGCAAGAAGACTGCAGTATGCAGATCCTGGTGTTGAACATGGGCCTAATACTTTCTAGTGCAAGGCCTGGAGCACATGCATTGTCTCCAACGCTCTGGGTCGTGCACAGGCCTTCAGCGAACATAAAGCGTACTATGATGGCATCTAATGTTGAGGAGACCGCAATAAGTGTCAGCAAATCATGCCCTTATGCTCTCTCTTACACGTGACTAATAGGCCATATATCCTATATAAAGGCTTATTCACAGTACAAGAAGTGAGAGGCAAAGAATGATTTTGTGTAGGGGCAGAATGATACCATTTTTGACAGTATAGAAAATACAAATAAGGACTTTTTATTATGTCTAAGAAATCTGGCAATGATTGAATTGTATTATTTCTTCTACTGCTTATAATGTACACACATGTTTTTCAGATGGGCACTGTAAAACATTTAACAAGAAAATACAAACAAATTGCCTTGGAAGACAGCACATTACCTTTTTTATTTCGACTGTTCTTAATCCCTGAATTTCAGATGCTACTGTAAAGTAGAAGCAGATAAAAATATGATCGCTAAAACATTTTTCGGCTTATTACCATTTTAGCCAATGCACGAAGTTGGATGACACTGCATGGCTATCTTTTCTCCAAAGGGTGCACTTGGTTATCGGCAGTACACACTATTAACTACAGTTCACGTGGCACTCTGTTTCCCCAGATGGAAAAGCACGCATGCCATCCTGTCTCCCCCTTGCTTCAGCTTTGATTATGTAACTGTACAATCTACTCCAATTGAATCAAGCATAGACGATGCTTTGGATGGAAAGTTGTTCACACAGCGGAGAGGAATAGTTACGGATGAGTTAAAAAAATTCTATGCACTAAGTGTCTAAATTTCTAGAATATTAGTCACAAATAGAGACTGCCATATGGCGAGTTTCTTCAATTTGAAAAACTCTCAACCAATGCATCAAGCCAAAAATCCTGTGCACCATGGTTTTATGTAATTAAAACACAGGAGGATTGTGTCAATTCTTTCCAAAATTTTTGTAATCTTAATGAAAAATTAGGGCTTTGCTTAGTGGTATTTTCTGATTTACTGGATTTACATTCAATATAGAAAAAGAACAAAATCAAATATACTACTCTGCACAGTAAGAAAAATTACAGAATCTTGATAATAATGCAAACATAAGTGGAAAAAATTGCCACGGGGCATGCCTTCATTTGCTCAAGAATTTGGCCAGTGCATGTTTTATATCTGCATTAGGATATGAGATGGTTTGGGGAGGAAATGGGCTCAGTGGTAAACAATAAAAAAAGTCAGTGCCAGTAGCCAAAATTCAGAGCAGTACACTTCATGCATAAAATTTTAAGCCAATCTTACATGCATTCTTCTTCGCGTTACTTTCCAGTGATTCAGATGCATTCATTCCAGAAAGTGGAAGAGTGAAGGATGACAGGCTACTGTCACTCACCTAAAATATACAGCAATTATTACAGACAGTTTTGGGAAATTGTGATTTCCCCTTAGTACAAAATATTTCACCATCCCATTTGTTTATCTCATCTAATGAGAAACATTGTTAAACAACAGTGGTATTTGGTAATTTTAAGGGAAACTTAAGCATAGTTATTGGTGTCTTTTTTTCTGTTGAATGAATAATGATATAAAGAGTTGAAGATGAAAGGATAGTTGAAGTTGATTTCAACCTTTGTAAAATTTTAGTGATCTTTCATAATCTCTTTCAAGACTTAACTCTCTTTGAATTTAAACAACTACACAAAAGCTAGGGCTTAAAACTGTGTAACAAGGGCCAATGAGCTGGAACCTAATGGCAATAATTAAGGAAGCTGGTAAATGCTTCATGAACGACTCATGAAAATGGGATTCTATCATCAGAAGATAATACTGCAGAGAAAAGCTTGCCAAGAATCAAATCATTCATTTATTATATTTTTTGTGTGTATGCATATTCATATGTGTGTGTTGGAGGACCTACATGTGCATGTAAGCATGCATGAGTAGAGGTCACAGGTCCATCTTTGGTGTCATCCACCTTGTTTTCTGACCAGGGTTTCTCACTGGGACCTGGAGCTTGCTTGCCAATGTGGTTAAGCAGGCAGGTCAGTAAACAAGTTGCATTTACCAACCCTGAACTGGGATTAAAAGCACACCAAAATCTGGTTCTGCAGATTTAACTTAAGTCCTCATGCTACCTCAGCACACACTATCTCCCTAGTCTATGAATCAAGTTATTTTAGTATCATAGTTCTACAAAAGATGGTTTACAACTACCTACCTGGAACTTACCAGGTGAATAATGATTGATATTTGTTTGACAGTATCTTCAAAAGTATGTTACCTTGACTGGATCTGCCTACACTGATTAGGCGGCTAACTTTGAGATGCTGGAAGAAGAATGCTGGAAAAAAATCCCTCCAAATTACAAAGAACCCTCAAGGTCCAGTGGTCCATGTTTCTCTTATTCATTTGTCAAGCCCTATACCCAGTTCCACTTTACTAGAGGATTGGACCTGTGTCTGTAAGGCTGGGCAGACTGTGGGGACATCTCTGAGTTCCACTTTACATGTGGACTGGTTTTGTTCATAAATCCCACGTCTACCCACCTGGCTGCTTTGAGAAGGCCTCCTCTCTGAGTGGAATGGACCAGCTTTGATTCTTCCAACTTCCAGAGTTACTGTGCCTAGGGAACACTAAATTTGTGAAAATGTTAAGACAAAATTCTATAATTATCTTTGGAAAGACATGGTCTTAAAACTAAAGGCATCTTCCTCTTATGACTTCCATAGACAGGGCAACCCAATTCTTTGCGAAACACAGTATTTAAACATTTAAACTCATAAGAATAATAAGTAGCTCTAAGTGTCCATCTCAGTGTTCCACAATTTACATGAAGATCATTCCTACCAAGACAAATACAAATTGAGAATTGAGTAATTTCTCATGAATACTATGACTATAAGAAGGACAAATGAACCAGGGAAACTCAGAGTTTAAATTGCAACCCATAGCTGTCAAATGACTACTTACACAACTTACATTCCCCTTAATAAAGAAAGTATTCAAATAATTGAGTCGAATTTCCCAGATGCATGGCAGTTAAGCAGACCTACTCTATTATACTTAGAAAAATATTTCTATAAATGCAATGTTATGAGCTGACACTAGGCATGAAATGCAGTGTAGTCTAATAATAAAGGAAGTGGTGCAAAGAGGTGTAAGATCTAGGGCTTTGAGAGCCTATTTTCCTACTATTGCAGAAATAGTTCAATAAAATTTAGTACATGCATTATTTGTACATTTAAGATTGTCTCTTTTAAAATAAAGAATTAGACAAAACAGCAACAAGCTAGAGCAAGCCAAATATACAACATATAAATGTTTATGGCTCTCATTCTATATTGCTTGACTCTTTTTATAATGGCTAGCTGGAATGACTTTAACTCATTTATATTATCTCAATGAAATTTCCTCCTCTCTCTTTCTGTAAGATCTGTCAGTCTTATGGAGCTAACAAATGTTCCCAATTTACCTCCAAAAGGAAGCTACACTTCCTTAAATAGTCCTGGTTACTAGCTAGGCATGGCTTGTGGCTGTAACTCCCACATGCAAGAGGCTAGGCCGGTAGGCCATCATGAGTTTCAGGACAGATTAAGCTACATAGTGAGTTCTAGGATAGCCCAGGCTACACAGTAAGACCCTGTCTCAAACACCAATCCCTTGCATCCACAAAAAGAAATAATTCTGACCACTTTGTTTTGATGACTTTAATAAACAACAGGATTAATGTGTGCTTCATTAATTAATGTAGTGCTATTAATTAATGTAGTGCTATTAATTAATGTAGTGCCAGTTCCTACCCAAACCACAGAGGATAAAGGTGGAACTTCACCAGGAAAAGGCCTCTGGGAGTCCAGGCTGAGAGGGTCCCATGACAGCACATGCCCAGCTGCCCTAACAGCTGTGGAGCTGACATATATAAAGCATACAGGCACATGTTCGCTCAGACCCAGATGTGGGGAATAAGCAATGGTAGTGTTTTCAAGTCAATGCCAAATTGAACTTCAGGAGAAAAATACATCAGGCAAAGGAATATGCAGTAAACAACACAGCACTTAAAATACAATCTCCTCTAGAAACTGGACCATTTCTTAACAGGGAAAATCTACCTCCCACATATGGCTTTCTAATGACTATTCTGTACTTCACAGCCTATTTTCAGGGTGGCTTCACCTTCCAACCGAGAACCATTCATCAGGAAGAGATTTCTTCTGAGGAACGCTGCTTCACAGTGTAAGACGCACCAAAGCTCTAAGTGCCACAAGGCCTTGTCACTGTCACAGGAATTCCTAATGTTGATGCACTGGATGAGTCTGTACTAAACTCCCTTCAGAGCATGAGGATGTCACACCCAAGGACACTTTGACATTAACTTTAAAATACAGCAACAGTGTTGAATCAGATGGGAACTGGGCTACATATTCCCTTGTGTGAAACAGAGTGAAATTCTGCCACTTAGTGTCAGAAGCCTAACTACCAATTCTGCTGTGCCTAGAAAGGGTTCAGGAAGAGGTTGAAAAAGAACAGGCAGAAACCATGACCTCCTAGGATGCTTTGGGGGCCCTGGTAGTCTCCTAATACCTCCGATAAGAGACTTTACTTAAACCAAGTTATAAGAATAAATCCAGAAAGAAACACGAAGAACCGATGTTAAAACTTTTGTTGTTTGAATATGTATTCCTTTTGTAATATGTACTTTAAAAATCTGCTATTATTTCAGGTATCAGTGTCATCAATTCTAACAAAGTTTTTAGAAATACATAACAATATAATAAATTATCACAAATTTACTGTTTTATCTGAGATGACTAATAACACAGATAATTACTCTACAAAATTATGTTTGTTACTTGATTTATACCTTTAGTAGGGCAGCAACTGCTTCCTGGGTGGCATTCCGGACATCTTCTCCATTCACCATTAAAATCTGGTCCCCCTGCATCAATCTCCCATCAGCATCTGCAATGCCTCCTTTGACAATGTCTGATACAAATACCCCAGTGTCATTTCTGCAAGCAACAGTGGATTTCAGCATTAAGACTGTTTTTCAGCTATGATGCCATGCTTATTTAATCAAAAGCAGTTATTCTAAGTGAAAATAATGTCTATCTTTACGACTGTTACAGTTCTGTACAATGCTGGTGTAGCTTTGCCAGACTATGGGAAATTACAGTTAATTATATCTTAAAAGGGTATTTCATATTTCATAGATTGAAAGTATCTCTCAGGGCATTATCCTTCATCAGTCATGTACTCTGAATAAGTGAGTACAATTCTTATTTTATGGGTCACACACCTAGAAAATGGTAAAAAAAGAACCCTGAGGAATCAGTGGCTGGGCACTAAGCACATGCTTTTTCCACACCACACTGAGGCGTTCTATGACCACTGTCCTGTAGACATGTGAGCATGGTGAGATTATCATCAATGTCATTAACGTTACTGGAAATAAACAACAGATACGTACTACAAACTGAAACTATTACCTCACAGTTTAACCACATTCCTCTAAGATCTCTTTAGGTCACTATATATAATAGTTTTAACTTTCAGATAGAAATAGATTTATACAAAACAAACAAACATTAATCTTATTGATTCACAAAACTGTAAACAAACTCTAGAACTTCCCATTAAGACACAAAAGTAAGCAGGATTGTACAATAAAAACTGAATTGCACAAGAATTCTTCAAACATGCCACCTAATCATAAAATTATTCCATTCTAACCATGGATTTTCTCATTTATAAACAGGATGTTAGGACTAGGTATGGTCTAGTTGGTTTTTTTGTCTCTTGTTTTTTTTTTTTTTTTTTTGGTTTTATGAGACAGGGTTTCTCTGTATTGTTTTGGAGGCTGTCGGTCCAGCCTGGCCTCGAACTCACAGAGATCCGCCTGCCTCTGCCTCCCGAGTGCTGGGATTAAAGGCGTGCGCCACCACCACCCGGCTAGTTGGGTTTTATTACCAGAAGTTTGTATAGTGTTCTGCGTACCTAGCAGACCACAGCAGCCTTGTAGCGAAATGATACTGCAAGAATGAGACTACTGGTGCTGTATCCTCCAAACAGCCCACTGTCCCCAGCACATTGCCAGCTGAGATTCAAGTCACACCATGCACTTTCTCTATGCATTAAAAAGAAGTTAGGTCTTAGATTTTCTTTGCTAAAACAAATGTGTCCTTTAATTCTAATACAGAATTGTGGTTGCAGACTAGATAAGTACAGTTCATAGGTTGTGCCTCACTGGAAGGTTGTTCTGATATGGTGGTTTGTGCGGACTAAGGACAGCTGGCAGTAACTCGGGGCTACCACAGCCTACACAGAAGCTAATTCTGAGTTGTGACTTATCTGCTTAACTATTCAATGGATTCTCATCCTAATGATTTTCTAATAGACAAGGAAGAAATGTTTGTGGAACTCACTAGTGCTTACTATTACTTCTATAAAAATGTAAATGTAAAAGCCAGGAGCAAGAGATTTTAGACAGGATAGGTTTTCATATATTTATGAATCAACTTGGATGTAAGATGATTGATTCATAGATGACAGATGATCAGTAAACACATATACATATGCTTGGAATTTATTTGAAATATGCATACACCATGGAATGGTTCATGTACGCATTCATGTATTAACTGTTCTTGGCTGTGAGAATACAAAGTTTATTCTCCCAGCAACTTTCAGGGTTACATTGTCATTATGTATAGCCACTATGTGTTCAATAGCTCTCTTGACTATATCCCCCTCTCTGAATAAAGTTTTATATCATTTGAACAGCAAAAAAATATTACTTCTATGAACATCGGTTAATAGGAATTACAGATCAATATTCTTTTGAATTATATATGTATTTCGATAACATAGAACTGAATTTAGGTGCACTCAGATGTCCTAATTTATATTTTCAGTCCTCTGCTGGTGGCACATGTGTTTACGATGACCCTTGTCCCTAGACTATCTACCCTCTGTCTCCTTTAACAGAATAGCGATCCTCTTTTCTGAGCCTTTTATCCATCTCCTCTCTCTTGAATAGGGAACCCAGATGGTCCCTTTGACATTTCCTTTTCTAGATCCCCCAATATGCCTCAGTGACTCTTGACAAACTCACTTGCTACAAGAACTAGAGTTTCATTCATCGAGCATGATCTTTTAAAAAGATTTAAAATTTTAAATGTGTATTATTATTTTTAGTGTGTGTGTGTGTGTGTGTGTGTGTGTGTGTGTGCGTGTGTTACTTGTGTGTGAGTAGCAGAGGAGGTGAGAAGAGGGTGTCACATCGCCTGGAGTTGTAGTTATAGACAGCTGTGAGCCTCCCAGTATGGGTGCTGGGAAATGAACCCAGCAAATGAGTCACCTTTAGTGTTCCCAGGCACAGAAGCCCTGGAGGAAGAACTGTTTCTTATTTAACTTCTCCTCAGCATGTAATGTACCTCTGGGCACACATCAACCATTTCGTCCCAAATCACCTTTTACTGAAGACTATATAACCCTCCAACACACTGACTTACAAGGTCTACAGTGACAGAAAAGAAGCCATTGATAAATTCATTTAAGGCTACAATCAGTTTCAAAAGGGCCCGGGGTTTGTTCTCTCGAACACACCTCTTGCCAACAATACTCAAGCCAAGGCCTTTGCCTGGCCTCTTTTGCAGCTCAATGGTGAAGGTATCACACACATCCTCTTCTTTGTATGGGGCCTCGTCCCGATAGAGCGTCAGCCGCACTCTTTGTGGAGTCTGCCTCAGGACATTGATTGCTTCATCATGCGTGGCCTTTCTCAGATCAATACCATTCACCTGTACAAAGCAGGACACTGATGGTGAGAAGGTAAGGGGTAAGGGAGGAAAGAGGAAGAGGAGAGAGAAAAAAGGGAAGGGAGAGGAAGAAGGGAGGAAAGAAGTGGGAAGGGAAAGAAGGAAGGAAAAGCCCATCACCCATGACCTTTGCTTTTTACTCTAGGTTAAAAATAAGCATTTGTACCTCTAAAATCTGGTCTCCTGCCCACAGTCTTCCATCTTTGCATGCTGCTCCCTCTTCATAAACTTCATGGATAATAATAGCACCCTAGAGCCCAAAACATAACATACCCATGTGTTATCCATTATCGCTAGGAATGCTGAGAATATAGGAATCCAAGGACACCATACTTTGTGTACAGCTAAAAAGGCATGTACTTTATGGGTTCATATGTGAGCCATGCATCACACTGTAAGGAAGCATTGAATGACATAATTTATGTTAAAATGTTGAAAGAAGTATAGACTTTTTCTGATACAGAGAAATTTCAAGGTAAAGCTCATAAAATTTATAAAGCATATGCAAATATGATATAACACCACTATGATCTACAAATGGAAAACTTATGAAGTATTTTGACATATAAGAAATTATGTATAAAATATTTCATATTCTTCTCAATATGGGACTGAGATAACCTTGGTATAAGTAAAAAGGAAGTTAAATAATGTCAAGGATCAATGAAGCGATACAAACACTGAAATTTTATATGTAACTGATGGGGTAAGTCATTCTGTATATATATTTGTCCTATTGGTTGATAGATAAAGCACTGTTGGCCAAGAGGGAAGCAAGATAGGTGGGACTAGGAGTCAAGGAGGATTTTGGAAAATCTCAAGAGTGGAGAGTCACCATGCGATCCCAGGAGGAGAGGGCACAAGTCTGCAATTCTCGGTAAGAAAACACCTTATAAAAATATACATTAGTGATTATGGGTTAATAATTAAGTCAGAGATAGCCATTAAGAAATCATAACAAACAGCCAACTGCTTCATAATTAGTAGTGTCTCGTGTGCTATTGGGGGCTGAGACAGCAGTGGGACCCAGGCATGTGGTGGGAAAGAGTACACTTTATATATGTTGCCCGCAACATGTGAGAATGACAAAAGATTAAAAGGGATTTTAGACACAGAAGAACAGAGAGAAGCATGGCTTCTTGGTAGCAGCATTTTCTTGGGTGGGCTCTGTTTTCCTAGAGACAAATAGAGACTTGCACGGCCAGTGCTGGTGGTAAATTTACACCTGCCATCTTGGAAAGACAGCAGTTAAAACAGCCATGGCTTTTAGCAGATAAAAGACACTTGACAAAAAAAAAAAATAAAGATTTACAGTAAAGTCAGATTCAGATGAAGTAAAACCTATAAAAGATTTATAGTGTCTTTAAAAAATATACACAGGCTTGGGAGAAAAAAAATAGAGTATTTGGGTATGGTGGCACACACTTTAATCCCAGAACTCCAGAGGCAGAGGAAAGTGGATTTCCACAGAGAAACCCTGTCTCAGAGAAAAAACAAATAAATAAAAGTAAGAGAAATAGAGTAATTAAGATGGAATATGCACAGTGAGTCTGGATACTGTATGCTATTGTGTTGTCTTTAAATTGTTCAGTTGCCGTAGAAGGTGCAAAAACTGCTAAAAGACATTTGAATATCAATGCTATTAAATTAATCCAACTTATATACTTTAAACATTCTTTGACTTGCAAATTTAAATATAAGGACACGTTACTTAGGAAAAGAGTTTTTTGCTTGTGTTTCCACAGAAAATGAAAGGCTGTGGATTTCTTCCAGACTTCTATGGTTTGATGAAGCAAGATCCCCTGAAGCAGTGGACCCAGGAGATCCAACATCTAAAACAGCTGAGATGATGCAGCCTTGCAGACTACAAAAAACAAGGACTTAGCCAGGTTTCTGTGTTTTGTCATGATCCCCATGGTACAGACAGTGACCCCCCAACTAGCAGGAAGCAGTTTGGAATGAACAACGCCCAAATTCCCAAATACTTTTTTATAATTTTTTGTTTTCATTTAAATGGGGTTGGTTATAAATGGTTAGTGATCACAACCAATCTCTTTTTAAAGGTAAAAGGGAGATTAAGGTATAGAAATGAATACTTTCTATATGGATTTCATTTATTGATACAAATTTAAGATCAATTTGGTGATATGTATATTTCTCCTATTGTTAAGTATTGTGTTTATACTGATCATTTAAAATTTAATGTACAAATTGTCACAAACAACATTAAATACCTTGGGGTAACGCTAACCAAACAAGTGAAAGACCTGTAGCGCAAGAACTTTGAATCCTTAAAGAAAGAAATTAAATAAACCCTCAGAAAATGGAAAGATCTCCCATGCTCTTGGATAGGTAGGATCAATGTAGTAAAAATGGCAAGCCTGCCAAAAGCAATCTACAGATTCAATGCAATCCCCATTAAAATCCCAGTACAATTCTTCACAGACCTTGAAGAACAATAATCAATTTTATATGGAAAAACAAAAGACCCAGGATAGCCAAAACAACCCTGTTCAACAAGGCAACGTCTGGAGGCATCACCATACCTGAGTTCAAGCTCTATTATAGAGCTATAGTCCTGAAAACAGGTTGGTATTAGCACAGAAATAGACAGGTAGACCAATGGAATCGAATTGAAAACCCTGATATTAACCCACACACGTATGAACATCTGATCTTTGACAAAGAAGCTAAAAATATGCAATGGAATAAAGAAAGCATCTTCAGCAAATGGTGCTGGCATAACTGGAGGCTGGCATGTAGAAGACTGCAGACTGATCCATGTTTATTGATATGCACAAAACTTAAATCCAAATGGATCAAAGACCTCAACATAAATCCAGCCACACTGAACCTCTTAGAAGAGAAAGTGGGTGGTACCCTTGAATGAATTGGTACAGGAGACAGCTTCCTGAACAGAGATCAACAATTAATAAATGGGACCTACTGAAACTGAGAAGCTTCTGTAAGGTAAAGGACACAGTCAGCAAGACAAAAAGGCAGCCCACAGAATGGGAAAAAATATTCACTAACCCCACATCTGACAGAGGGTTGATCTCCAAAATTTACAAAGAACTCAAGAAGCAAGTCTCCAAAACACCAAAGAATCCAATTAAAATTGGGCTGCAGAACTAAATAGAGAATTTTCAATAGAGGAGTCTAAAATGGCTGAGAGGCACTTGAGAAAGTGCTCAACATCCTTAGCCATCCAGGAAATGCAAATCAAAACAACTCTGAGACACCATCTCACTCCTGTCAGAATGGCTAAAATCAAAAACACCAAGGACAATTTATGCTGGAGAGGATGTGGTGAAAGGGGAACACTCCTCCATTGCTGGTGGGAGTGCCAACTGGTTCAGCCACTTTGGAAATCAGTATGGAGATTCCTCAGAAAAATGGGAATAAACCTACCACAAGACTCAGCAACTCCACTCTTAGGCATATTTCCAAAAGATGTCCATTTATACAACAAGGATGTCTGTTCCACTATGTTCATAGCAGCACTATTTGTAATAGCCAGAACTTGGAAGCAACCTAGATGCCCCTCAACCGAAGAGTGGATAGAGAAAATGTGGTACATCTACACATTGGAGTACTATTCAGCAGAAAAAAGCAATGGAATCCTGAGGTTTACAGGCAAATGGATGACACTAGAAGAAACCATCCTGAGTGAGGTAACACAGTCACAAAAAGAGAAACATGGCATGTACTCTCTCATATATGGATTTTAGACATAGATCTGGGGAGTGCTAGCCTACAATCCCATGGCCAGAGAGTCTGGGAAACAAAAACTTCATTCAGTGGCTGATGGAAGAAGAGGCATACTCCCAGGGCTAAGTACTGAGCTGAACTCAAGAAAGCCAGTAACAGAGAGGGAGGACTGATGACCAAAGGAGTTAAGACTGGGCTGGTTTAACCCCAGAAACAGCTGATGCCTGGGAATCCAACATGGGACTGATCAAGTCCCCCTGAATGGGGGTGTCAGTGAGGAGGCCTACGTAATCTATTGAGCCTTGGGCAGTAGATCAGTATTCATCCCGAGTATACAATGAACTTTGGACTCCCATCCAACAACGTGAGATGAACTGTCACCCTGAACTCTTGGTGGGAGGGTCTAGGCCCTGCCCTGGATGAGATGACAGTCTATGGACACCCCCATGGAGGGCCTCACCCTCCCTGGGGAAATGACGCGATAATGGGGGAAGTAGGGGGAGGGCACGGGAGGAGATGAGGGAAAGGGAGAGGGACTTGGAACTGACTTTTGAACCAACCATGTTTCTAATCTAAATTTAAACTTAAAAATAAAAAAATTAATAAAAAAATAAAATAAAATTTAATGTACAATTAAATGCAGATTATAGATAGTTACCTATAATAGTCAAAACTTAGTTAGGTTAGTTAGGTTTTTTTTAGATATACAGAGATGTATTTGAGATGGATAGATATTCTTCACACCTTTCAAAGACCTACAGAATGTATGGCATTTAAATGGTTTAGGGTTTTTCAAGAGAATGAGACACAGCTACTCCTAGCACACCAATTACGTCTCAGAGGAAGATGGGCATTGAGGAAACTTGTTGTGGATTAGCAATTTGGGTAAGGAACTGATCTTGCCTGGACTGTCAGACTATTGCTGTATAAACTGGACATGCAGGACTCACAGGATATTTACTGCTATCAGTTCCAAAACAAGATGGATAGTCCTACAGGGTTCATGCTTCATGGAAGAATCTGTCAGACATTCAGCAGGACACAGAAAAATGACTGACAAACTGCCAATGCAGATGTACAGTTTAAAATTTCCGTGTTGCTGAGAAGTCTTCCAGACACACTGTGGCCTAAGGGTAGAAGATGGTTGCCCCAACGTTACAGAGAAACTTCAGGTGACTGTCCAAATAGCAAGATGTCTCTGTCAATTCTAGTGTTTATATATTATCCTTCTGTGGTCTTTGATGGAGTTGAATACAGATAGTTATAGTTATAGTTTTCCTTAGTTATGACAAAAGATAAGCTACATATAAGACTTTAGACTCGCACAGATAGGATAAATGATAAAACACTTTAAATCTTGCTAAATGTTAATGGACAAAATATTGTAAATATAGTTCTTGCTTGATAACTGTTCTGTTATATATAATCTGACTATGTTAAAGTTAAAACCTTTCTTTTTATTTAGACAGAAAAGAGGAGATGATAGGGAAAGTCCCTCTGTGTATATGTTTGTCCTATTGGTTGATGAATAAAGCACTGTTGGCCAATAGGGAAGCAAGATAGGTGGGACTAGGAGTTGAGGAAGATTCCGGGAAATGTAGTCAAGAGTAGAGAGTCACTATGTGATCCCGGGAGGAGGGGATGCAAGTCTGGTGTTCTAGTTAAGATAAGAACTTATAAAAATATATGTTAGTAATTGGGTTAATAATTAAGTCAGAGCTAGCCATTAAGAAACCATAGCAAACAGCCAACAGCTTCATAATTAATATAGTGTCTCGTGTGTTATTTGGGGACTGAGACAGAGGCGGGACCCATGCAGCTGGGGGGGAAGAGTACACGTTACATGCAATACAGTCTATTTATGTCATTCTTGGCTTAGGCAAAGTCACAATCCTAGTTTCTATTACCAATGACATATTTTTTTCTCCACCGGTACATCACATTTAACAATGGTGACAGGGATCTCCACCTCATGGTGCCATGGACCACCTAAGTGCCTCTGCACTGGGTAGAGTACTTACCAGCAGTGTGTCTGACCCGCCAACAATACTCAGGCCCAGTCCTGTTTGCCCTTTGGAAATCTCAATTGTTGTTTCACAGCCAGGGATGATGGGACAGGTAGCAGGGTCAGAAGCAAAGACTGCTGGGGTTGATGACCTGCTTGTACCTAAAAATGAGTTTAGAATGGATGAGCTACACATACAAACTGCTTAGAAAGAACACATGTTAAATTCAGCACATAAGTTACCTATGAGGAATGGAGAAAGGAAATAGATTAGAGAAAAGGTAACTTCAAATCCGTCTTGAATATCTTAGCCATTTTGTATTTAAAATATCAAAGTAGTATGACTAAATTGCTATCATTAAACTGGGCACTAGGCATAAAATTACTTGTATTTTTTAAAGTTAATTTGTGACTTTTTTTTTTAAGTTGCTGGAGGTAAACAGGACAGACTATGAAAGAAGGCAAACCAAGAGTCAGGTTGAGCCTCTCCTTTGAATTTGGTACCCATACTTGAACAGAGACAAACATGCTTCTTATGGAAGAAGCATTCGTCACACTCAGAGCTGAGCTGGCCTGCACAGACTCGCAAGTATACTCAGTTGAACGAAGCTCATCATTGATTCTGGTCATGGTGCTGCACCACGATTTGACAATGCTTCTTTTCTTTTACTTGGCATCATGAACCTTCTATTCATATGTAATCAGTGAGCATACTTGCACATTTTTATTCCATGCAAAAATGTTCACTTTATTCATTTCTTGTCTTTCTTCTTGGGTCTCATGTGGCATTTTTATGTTTTCAACATTAAATCCTGCTACATACCTTTCTGAATTAGACAGATAAGAACACAGTGTGAAAAAAAAGGGAACAATCCCATGCCTTGTTTTCTGAGTGGCTGGGCACAAGACACACTTTTTATCACTTAGGAAAGAACGGGGTTAGGAGAGCCATTTTTGTTGAGTAGTGTGTGATGTAGACATGATGTTCTCTTTCCAGGAAATCAAAAGCAGACTATGCTCTTCCTCCAGAAATGGTACAAACAGGTATATGGTATTTTCATTTATGCTAAGTTTTTATTGAGTGTTTCAATTCTATTTAGGATCCAACATTAAATGAAAAGAATCTTCATTAAAGTATTAATGGTTACTTCAATGAATTTCTCAGTCCTTCTAGCACATGGTTACTGTCATCAGAGTCTTCCTTTAAAACTTTTGAACAGATGCATCATAAATGCATTGGGTCTGTTTATTGTTAACTGCTCCATGAATGGAATATTTCAGTTTGTATTATAGGTCAAGAACACTTCTCCCTTGCCCACTTTCCACAGAAAAGGTAATGTTCAAATCATTTCCAGATGATGCTTTAGAGATTTAAGAGTTATCTATTATTTTATTATCCACGAACATATTCTTTTTAAAAATTAAGTCAAATTTTGGGTTTTGTTTTGTTTTGTTTTATTTATTTATTTTTTTGAGACAGGGTTTCCCTGTGCAGCTCTGGCTGTCCTGGAAATGGATCTGTATACTAGGCTGAACATGAACTCAGAGATCTGCCTACCTCTGCCTCCTGAGTGCAGGGACTGAAGATGCATGCCATCATTAAAAGTTTGCTCCATAAACTAAATTGTGAGTTTAGTGACACAAGAAAGTCTCCCCCCTCAGTATCTCATCTGACATGAGCTTTCTATTTCCCTGAGCTCCCAACCTAGGTCTATCATGTACACAGCAACAGCCAGCACTCTAAGCTTTAGTGTAACGGCAGCCAGTATTGATTCTAGTTGTAAAACAGAATCATTATGTATGCACCTCACGTATCAGGAAACTGAAGCTAACACCCCTTTCCCATTCCACCAGCAGAAGTTACAAAATGACATGTCTGATTCTCTATGTGAATACCTATAATTGCATGTATCCTTAGCAAAAGCTTGAGTAAAAAAAGACAACTCTCTTGGTTTAGGGAGGAGAGCAGGCACCACAGTGGCTTCCTAAGGTAACCTAGACACACAGGTCTACTGCCCAGGGACCACACTTTCTTCAGTTACTCCCTCTTTAAACCTTTCAGTCACTGAAGATGCTTTGACTTTAATGTCCTTCAAACTGCTCTGTGGGCAGGCCTGTTTTAAAGGAAGACCCTCTATTGAGGTTACCCTTTGTGCAGGACTCTCACGAGCAAGTCCTTACTTGGGATGGAGTCTGGGTCCACAGGTGGGACTGCAGGAGACTGGGCAGTGTCTTTCCTTTCTCCACTGGCTGAAGAAGCTGTTGCAGGAACAGCCTGGCAGGCTGGATTCTCAGCTCGAACAGTCAGTTTTACAGTTGCCTTTGCTGTCTTCAGAAGGGTGATAAACTGGCCAGATATTGTTGTGAAAGAGAACAAAATTCAAAGACAAATGAGTAAATATATACAAGTAAGTCACTAGAATTGCTGTAATCTCTTTTGTGTATTTGTGTGTGTGTGTGTGCGTATGTTTGTGTGTGCATAGGTACATACGTGTGGGCATGTCAAGGCCATAGGGTTTCTCACTGGCTTGAGGTTCATCAAGCAGGCTGGGCTGGGTGTCCAATGAGCCCCAGAAAGTTTCTAGTTTCTGCTTCCTCATCAGAGGATTATAAAAGCTGACATACCATGACACCAGATTTTTATTTCTCTTTCTCCTACTCCTCTTCTTCCTCCTTCTTTCAACATGGGTTCTGACTATGTGTTCCTTATGTGTAAACTCAGGTTTCTTGTGTGCAAAGAGTTACTCATTTATTTATTATTTGGTATGTGTGTATGCATGTGTATGCGTATGTAGGTGCCTGTGGAGTTGAGAAGAGAATGTCATTTATCTTAGAGTAGAGTTGAAGGCAGCTGGAAGCTACCCAACATGCGTGCTGGGAACAGAACTTAGTTCTGCTTGAAGCACTCTTTACCACTGAGCCCCAATTCCGGCGCCAAAGATTCAGATCCTTAGACACTGCACTGGCTGAACTAGCTCCCCAGACCCAGTGTTGTTGTGCTCTACCTCATCAGTTATCAAGAAAAAAAGAGACAAATTATTTCCCCGTAGTTCCTGGAAAGGCCAAGAAAGAAATCCTCCACTAATCCTTTAACTATCAATGAGATTACACATATAGTTAATTTCTACTCTCCTTCTACAATGGTTGTGTCAAGATTCTTCTTTATGTTAGTATATTGGGGGAGTGGACTTGTTACATGTCTAATCAAGTGTGTCCATTTCCCTAGATCCCTACAATGTTTATGACACAGAAAGCATTTTGTCTGCTCTCTGGTTCTACATGGAATCTGAAGCAGCTTCCACAAACTCTCATGAACACACTGATAAGCACATGTCAAAGGCAGGACAGGAAACTAAGCGAAAGTAAAGTCAAGGCAAATTCAAATCAAAATCAGATTTATGGGCTAACAGAATGAAGTGAAGCTTTAGTTTTTACAACTGAAAGATTTCTAAAACAACTTTAAGCTTCCTGGTGGCCAATGTAGAAAGGGATTCTACCCTAGAAAGGGTAGCGGAAGTGTATCATATCCAAAGGGAAACAAAGCTTTTCTACTGGCACCTATATACAAATAGCATCACTCAGACTCCAGTTACAAAGAGCTGTTAAACACCAAGAAATATCAGGCATGTAATGGCTGCATCTTCAAATCTACTTAATAACAATATACTTGACAGCTACCTAATGCTAAACATTCATAAGGAAAATATGCCCTTATTCTCAACATGAAGTAACTACTGTTCAATAGCTTCAGATTTCTCAAAAGAAAGGAGACAGCACTTATCAAAAATAACAGTGAATAAATCAGGCAGAATCATAACATCATCTTGATTAAAAAATAGAAAACAGCCGGGCGTTGGTGGTGCACGCCTTTAATCCCAGCACTTGGGAGGCAGAGGCAGGTGGATCTCTGTGAGTTCGAGGCCAGCCTGGTCTACAGAGCAAGTTCCAGGACAGCCTCCAAAACAATACAGAGAAACCCTGTCTCGAAAAACAAAAACAAAAACAAAAAACAAACAAAAAAATAGAAAACAAAAATTGGGAGGCCTGAGGAAAAGCATCTTTTGGAAATAAGGATTCATTTTACCTATTTACCCAGGCTTAATACCTATGCCCCCACTTGAGTCAGGCCAAAGGATGGGTTGGCAGTACCACTGCCTTTATTGCAAAAATACCTTCTCAACAGGACATCCAACAACAACTTCATCATCTACGGCCAAGATCTGATCGCCAGCTTTAAGTCGTCCATCCTATGGTGAAAGTGGAGACCTGTGTCAGTATTTTAGAAAAGTTCCCCCTGCCACCACTTCTCAGCAGCAAGAAAGTTAACCAGTGTCACCTTGGCTGCTCCTCCGTGCTCAGTTAGACTCTTGATGACTACTCCATTGAGTGTGTCTTCCTCGCTGACAGCGATTCCCAAACCTCCTTGATCCTAGAGGAATACATGAAGACCAGTCAAGAAAGCTGAAGGCTGATTTATTTTACTCAAATGTAAAGATAGGCAGCCTTGATGACCCAACACACCATCAACCCAAAAGCTACAAAAGCAATTAAACGTCTTTCTAATGACAGGAGCAATCCATGCCACAGGTTCTGTTCCTTATGGGGTACAACCCTCAGAGTCATTTCTCAAGAAAAGAGTCTCCATTTTCTGCAGAGCAAGCACACTTGCCTCTGTGAGTAAATCATGACCCCGAAGTGGCCAAGGCTGCAGAGCCAAACATATCAATCACATGGATCTCTTTTACATTAAACAAAATCCTTTCTGATTGCTTCAATAAAATGAAAATGAAGTGCCGAGCTAGTCACTGTTTGCATTATAGTTTTCATACAGAGGAATTTTGCACAAAGTCAGAGGGAGAAAAGAGAAACTTGCATGGTCTCTCAGAGGCACACACCTGGAGTCACACTTGCCATCAGACAAGGTTACTGGCTTTAAATCTACCTTTTACCTAGGTATATCACATGATATCTTAATGTTCCCACCTAAGGGGGCAAAATCTAAGTTTCCTTATCTAAAAATATAAATGATAGTAGTACTTTCCACTTAGTCAGAAATTGATTTTACAAATATGAGGAAGGGGTGCTGTCTATCTCATATACTCTCTCATCTTACCCTAGGAAATAATGAGTCATTTTCATTAGTGAAGCTAACTCCTCCAGGGACCAACCCTACCAACTATCTCCCACTGTCATACTATCTGCCTCATCTTTAATTTTTCTCTCCTCCCCCCCCCCCCACCCTGGTCCTTTCTTGTGTTTTACATGGTAATTTTAAAATAAGTGCAGAAAATCTAATATTCCTTGATCCAATTCGGCGAGCCTAGGAGGATGGGCTACACATACTGACTTGAGTCTAACTAAACAAATGACAGGATGGAAATTCACATCTGGGTTACAAAAGACACCAGGCTTGCTGTTTCCTGGTTCTCTTGGGTCATTCTGTGGGAAGCTTGCTGCCATGGCACAAGAACACTCAGATGTGCCACAAGGGAGAATAGGCATCTGTCAGCTACATGCATTCAAGGAAATCACCTCGGAAGTAGCAGCAATTGCCACCCATGGCCCAAGCTTGCAGCGAGTGACTGTGGTCACAGCTGACAATTTGTCAGGAACTATATAGAAGTCTCTAACTCTGATCACACGGAGGATGTTTTTCAAATTCCCCATTCACAGGAACTAAGATACAACAAATGCCTGCTTTAGGTTGATTGGGGTTTTTGCAAATTTGTTATATAGAGAAAGGTAAGCAGCTTCAAAGACATGAATTGAATAACTCTAGTCAAGTCTATAATTGCTTACCATAGTCACAGTCCCTGGCTGGAGTACACATGTGACCCGGGCTGGTAGTTAGGATAGATCTCGTGACATTCAGAAAACATGCACTCTTACTTCTCCTCCATCACATGTAAAAGAGGTGGCACAGGCCTTAACTGTGACCAGCAGCCATCCAAGGCTATGATGAAGGTCAGCTTTGGAATCAATAGACACTGTGCATGATTGGGCAGAAAGACCTGCCCTTTGATGACACTAATGAGTCTTGGAATCAACATGCTTGAAGACTAACTTGATTTCTAAAACCTTTTATTAAGCCTGATGGAATTAATTTTCTCCTTTTTGTTACATTTTTGTTTGTGGTTTTTGTTCTTGTTTGCAATAGGAATTCTAAAGGGATGGCAAGCCAAACATCTGCATGTATATTATGTGCTAGGCCCACTGGGGACACTATAAAAGTAAGTACGCAAACTGTAGATCAATGGTATCAGAGAAGCAGGATGACACATACGAAAGGAGAGACGGATGTGGGTGTGTATTTTCCTACCTAACTGTTAACTTTCCCGCACACTTCTGCCACAGTCTATGAAGTCCCTCCTAAGCAAGAGAAGATATAAGAAACACTGTCTTGAGCTAGTTTTTAAAATGGCACCATGTATGATTCTGGAGAAGTCATATAGTCACATAGAAAACTGTCAACAAGAATTGCAGATGAGACAGAACTGGACAAGCTACTATTATTCTCAGAAAGTGAACAGTTTTCTAAAATTCAGAAGAAAACTGACATCTTACTTGAGGATTTCTCCTATGTAAAATCGTATGATGTGAAGAATCATAGAATCTGTTGCTTGCTATGATGTATAGTTACTTTTCTAGGGTAAAGAGTACTAAAAATACACTTTTGATCAGGTTTTCTGATGAACTGAATTAGCATCACAGGAAGCCACTCAATTTTGTTTTTGTATATCCCCCCATTTAAAATAAAGTTTTAAAAGACAAAAGATAACTGAGTGGAGTTTCTACAACAGAACTAGAAATGGCCTGCTATTAGGCTCACGATTGCACTGCAAGTTCTGAACAGGGGGCGGACACAGTGGAACATACAGGAACACCATGATGTGGCCTCAGGTGGGAAGAGAGCAGCAGTTAAAAGCGGAGCAGTAATGGCACTCTTCCATTGTTGCCAAACAGTAAATGTCATAACGAACAAATGTTTATCACCACTAAACTTTTTTTCCCGAACAAGCATAGTTTGAGATTTCTGGAGGGTTAAGGGACCAAGGACTTGAGATAAGTCACCAGTATTGGAAGGCTCTTGTGTGTGTACTTCACCGCATTTCAGTCCCATGCCATCTGAGAACGAGGCATGCCCAGGCTTAATAGGATGTATGTACCACTGACCATTTCTGAAAAAAAGACCTCTACAAAGGAAGCATCCAAGGACACATTCTATAGGCCATTTGGAATCTTACAGGTTTCAAAATGTGCATGAGAACAATTATGGGAACTTGGATCCTGACAAGTGCTTTATTGATTTCACTTAATCTTCAGAATAGTATCTCACTATGAATGTGTAAATTCTCCCTTATAGATAGGGAAAGCAAAGAAGTTAGTGCCTTCAAATTTCACAGTTGGAATCCTGGAAATCACGATTTCCTCTTTGTCCAGCTTATTTTAAAAGATCCTCAAATATTCTATTACCTTTGGCAGATGATAAAAGAATACATTCCAATTCTCAGATATTTTAGTTTATAAAGAAACTGAATTGTAAATAGAAGTTTTTTTTTGTGGACAAAGCATTGACATTCTGCAAGGTTTTGGATTTTCAACAGATAGCAAGGACTTCTGAAAGGGAATCAGCAGAATGGAAAAGGGCAAAGACAAAACTTATGTCACAACATGAAGGAATATTGTTCCAGGTCTTATCCAAGCTAACCATAACTGACTTGGGCAGCCTCAGTTTCAGAAGACAGATGAAAATGAGATTAAAGTGTCATCTGAGATCTTTCAGGGTATGAGATGGCTTCTTGTGGACAAGGCAGGCTTCTGTCTACCCCACTACTAAGGGTCAGGCAAAAGAAATGCTGATTGATCTGCTTGATCAATGTTGTTAAAAGGTTCTGAGCAAGGGATGAACGTAATGCAAACAGTGGAATAACTCAGCAAGGCAGGAAGACAGAACATCAGTGTCAGCAACGAGGTATCTTTTATTGTTTCCTAACAACTATAATAATAGCCAATACGTGTGTGTGTGTGTGTGTGTGTGTGTGTGTGTGTCAGGTACTAAATATACTATGTGTATGTATATACTTATCACCAACTACACAGTGGGTACTATTTTTTAATCCTTATTTTGGAGAGTATTATAGCGAGCTGCTTTTTTTTTGTTGTTGTTGTTGTTGCTGTGGTAAAATACTGACCAAACGCAACATAGGATGAAGACGGCTTATTTCACCCTTATACTTCCAGGTTAACAGTCCATATTCAAGAAAAGGCAGGGCAAGAGCTCAAGGAAGCCACCAGAAACTGTGGAAGCCAGCAAGAGCTGTGGAAGAACAGAGCTTGCTGGCTTGCTTATCGCAGCTTGCTTATTACTTTCTTATCAAACAAGGACTACCTGTTACGAGTGGCATTGCCCGCAGCGGGCTGGGCTCGCTCACATCAATTATTAATCAAGAAAATGCACCAAAGACATGAACACAGGCCAGTTTGATGCAGGAAATTCTTTAATTGAGGTTGCCTCTTCACAGGTGTCAAGTTTGACAGAAACCAACCAGCAGACTGACCATAAGATTCTTTTCCTTATTTATTCCCAAGGTCTCATGTAGTTTCACAATATTAAACAGTGATATTCAAAACACCCCACAGTCTTTAAAAACCTTTAAAACTTTGGAAGTCTAAGATCTCTTCAAATATCTGAAGTCTCTTAACTGTGGGCTCCAATGAAGTAAAAAAAAAAAAAAAAACAACTTTTACAATCTGTTATTCCAGGAGGGAAGAGCCAAGGTATAGCAACCATTAAATCAAAGTGAAACCAAACTTCAAAACAGTGTAACTAGCTCAGGGGCCAACATCTTGGATTGGCCTCATGACTTCTGGCCTCTAAAAGCCCCACCTCTCCAGCTCTGCCGTCCATAGAACATGCAGCTCATCTCCCAGGTCCAGCCCACTCCACTATTCCACACCACACGCTGTCCTTGGTAGTCAGCTCACAGTCTCGGTATTTTCAATATCCTGGGATTTCCAGTGCAACTTAGGCTCTATGTTCACCAGTGGCCTCTGCTGGTGCCAAGCTTCAGCTCCTCTCCATAAAACCTTCAGTCTTGGGGGTCCTTCCCTGAAGCTAAGGCTGCACCCTCACCAATGGCCTCTCCTAGCCTCTGCCACTGCCAAGCCTGAGCTGCCATTTATGATCAATCCTGTAATGTCACACCATGAGCATCAGTGACACAAGGTGACTGCTACTCACTAACAAGTTTGGCTGCCAGCTTCAGATGCAAACTTGGCCATTTCTAGACCACAGCTCGTACATGATGACCTCGAAGAAATACGTCCCTGGAGATTTCTCCAGCTTTCCATATCCAAAGCTCTAAAATGTTACAGTCCTCTCATAAAACAGTATGGTCGGGTTCATCATAGAAACACCCCACATTTCTCATTTTACTATTGGTTGTAAAGAACAGAATCTAGAATTATCTTGAAGACAGGCCTCACAACATTCCTGTGAGATATTACCTGGATGAGGTTAGCCATTATGCATGCCTGTCAGAGATGATATGTATCAGGTTAACAGGGGTGGCAATACCCACTTTAACTGTAGATGGCACCATTCTACAGGCTGGTGTTCTAGACTAAAAGGAAAGGAGAAACTAAACGAAGCAACTGACTACAGTTGCAATGTGGCCATCTGTTTCCTCAAACTCATGCTGCTGTGATTCACCCGTGATGACAGACTGTACCCTTGAACTGTGAGCCAAAACAAACCAGTTTCTCCTTAAGTCGCTTTTGTCAGGGTAATTCATGCAAGGAAACCATGTGCTGAATCAGGATTCTACCCTAGGTTAACAGTGTTGCCATTGCTATCAAGGGCTAAGTCTTGGGCTCTCCCCCAACTGGTCTGGCTTTCAGTCTGTGTTCTCAACTGCTATACTGTTGTGTGCCTCATTCATCCACCGCAATCATTTCCTAGCATTCTTTGGCACTTTTTATTCTAGCATACACTAAGCCTTAGGAAATCAATTGGAATTGCCATAAAGGTCATGTGAGACATTTACATATTTTCAACTTTTCTACAGATAAACATAGGCTGAAAAAATTATTCATACCAAATTTCAGCATGCATTTACGTGTTTTCTAATAAACTAATTAAACTGTAGGTACATAAGAACACTATTAAACAGTGTCATTGGTATTTACAGACTTACGACAAACTGAGCCCTGAAATCTGGACAGGAACACAGAAGACATCATCACTCTGACATGGCACTGGGAGGGGTTCTGATTAAAAATGTATGAGGAAAAGCTTGTAATGACTTCTATTCTGTTCCATCTGCCTACAGCAAGACAATTCATAACAGAAACACCTTTTTTATACCCACGACGAGACCTCATAGCAGCTGGGGCTGCTGTACATAACCAAGCATTCCTGCATTGGTGATGGTGGGCTCAGGATATCTGACAACTAAGGGTGTGGCCCCCGTAGGTCAACTATGCTCCATTGAGATTGTTCCACACCCACGAGTATTTGAGCAGCACAAACTGGGAGGTGGGGGAGTGGGGAGGACAGGACATGAAGTTGGGAGGGGCTGGGGAGTGGTGGGAAGCGTTTTTATATATCAGGTGCGCATATGACATTCTCAAAAATTTAGTAAAAATATCATATTAAAAACTGCAGCAGCCCATCTTTGTACAGGTTTCTTTCTTTATAAAAAGAAACAAAGTCGGCACAGTCATGCATTTTTCCACTATTCTGGCTACGAATTGTGCTATTCTAGAAGTAATTCATTTAATCTTCATAAATGACTAAGACAAAAGTACTACTATTATCTCCAAACTATACAGGAGGAAACTAATGGAATAAAGCGCATCTGTGATGAAGCACAGACTCTAACCAGATAGAATAATCCAGGCTCAGAGTGTCAGGCCTTGGTGCCTCATGGCTGGAGGAGATGGATGGATCACTCCTGCTACCTGTGTTTGCAACATTTCCTGCAAACAACCTTCTGTCGTACTCTACTTCCTTCATCCGCTATGCCTGGGCCCCTCCTTATATCCCCACGTCCACTTGCTTTTCAGTAGGAGCCGCAGTGAGTGAAAACATGTGTTTCTTTTCAGTAAGCCACTTCCGTAAAGCAGTATTTGAACCTGAAAGTCAGACCTTTTCCAGGCAAACACTTCACTGAGTGCCACCCTACCAACTAGTTTCTTCATTGCTGTATCTACTAAGCAGCAACTCCATAAACAAATCAAGGAGAGACGGCAGATTTCATACCTTCCAGTAATACTAAAACCAGGAAAAGCTGGTCCACAGTTCAGGACCGATTAGCACAGCGATCCTCAGGCTTGACTGTGCACTGCAATCACAGGGGGTCATTAAAGCAGATTTCCCGGCCCACCCCAGAGCTCCTCATTCACAAGAAGCTCTGGGTGTGTCTCATCGCCTGCATTTCTAACAAGACCCCAGATGGTGCAGACTCTACTCTCTAGAGACAACCCTTCAGGGAGCCAGCGAACAGGACGAGTGTATGAGGGTACTCAATCATTTAACTCCCACTCAAAGAGGATGTACCTTGGGAAGCTCCAGATGGTACACGTTTGTCAGTGAACTGAGATCCACAGCTGCAGAAGTAGTAACACTTGGCTCCACCTGACAAGGAAAGATGTCCAAAGGGTAACTGTTAGGTATATTTGTTTGCCTAAATGTAAGAACCACTTAATCAAAATTATTACATGTTATTTACTACTTCTCTTCTAATATCTGAGGGTAGTGATGTGTGTCTTATATTAAAATGCTTGGGAGGTGTGACTGGACAGTAATTGGTTTTTGGAGCACAGCGTACTCAGGTGACTTGGATGTTTGCTTTTTACTCCATAAAAGAGTCCATCAGCAGCCTGCTCTCTGACAGAAAAGGCGCCATGCAATATTGTTTCTCTGTTGGGGGAAGTCCTGTGCATTTGTCAATAAAGCACTGTCTGGTCAATAGGGAATCAAGATAGGTGGGACTAGGAGTCCAGGAGAACTCTGGGAAGGAGAAACACAAGAAAGTCAAGATGTAACGCCATGGGGTAGGAAGCCCAGAACTATTCTCCGGTAAGAAACATACTTAGATTCTAACAATTATGGGTTAATTACTTAAGTCAGAGCTAGCCAGTAAGAAACAAGCAAGGCCAACAGCTTCATAATTAATATAGCCTCCTGTGTGTTTATTTGGGACTGATGCGGCTCTAGAACCAGGCTGGCGGGAAGGCTCCTCTCAAGGAAAAAGCTTCTCTTTACATTTCTCCACAAGTTATGACAGGTTTTCAGAAATTATTAAATGCTTTCCCTAAAAGTCATTAAGCTATAATAATATTGAAGGGGCACAGTAGGTGAAATATAAAAATACACGTTTGCCATCTATAACTATCACTTACCTAAATTAGGTTCAATGAGGAGTCAGCTTCAAGCAGACTATGATTTCTTTCTCTCTCTTATATGTAAATATGCCCACCGCTCAAACATTCATTTAATGGAGAATGAAGCCTGCCCTCACTTTCTGCCACTGATAAACTCCATGGCTCCTCTAATGTTAAGCTCTTCTGTGTCTGCTGTCTTCTTCTACTGTTCTTAGACACAAATCCAGAGATTGCTCAATTCAAACAAGAACTACCACTCTGTGACCCTCTAGCCTTGCTCTCTCTTTCTTTGTTGGTATTTGCTTTCCCGTCATCACCTGACTGTAGATGCAAGAGGCCGCTCTCTCTACCTCGTTCTTAGCCTTCTCTGAAGCATCCAGCATCTCAGGCTATGGGATCTACTTTGCCCTCCTCTACTGCTATACAAAGGCCTACTGGTTCTTTTCCTCTTAGTGATTTTTTTAACCTTCTTCCTTAATGCTTACATTGCACAGGCTGCCCTTTGCTCTCTTCTCTTCTCTTCTCTTCTCTTCTCCTCTCCTCTCCTCTCCTCTCCTCTCCTCTTCTCTTCCCATGTTCTTTGTAAGCCAGTATTGTCAGCCCCCAGGGGCAACAAATGCAATATGCTCTGTTGGGAGTGGTCTCTCAACACCACATAACATATCTAAATGCATACTTTAGCAGGCCTCCCAACCTGCATCCTCATCAATGGTGCAAGTGGAAAAAGCCAGTCTTAGTAAATGCACAGGTAGGTAGTCTACAAATGTTCCCCTACAACACTTCCCAATAGGCAGCCTGAGATAGCCAATGGGATGGTTAGGAAAGCATTAGCTCCTCCCTCATAGGTTTACAGTGAGTGAAGTATGATATATGGAGGAAAGCCTTGCACTTCCTTCTATGTCATTCTCTGCCCAAAGCATCAAATTAGTCAAGACATGTTCACTGAATGAGAACTTCCCGACTCTTTTTCACAAGGCCATCTGTGTTGGCATGAATATTACTAGACTGGGTCTAAAGCCTCTGATGTGAACTCCACTTCTTCCCTTATTGTACTACGGGTCTTCATTGTATTTTCTCCTGAACTGCTTCTGTTTCTCTAATTCCTTGAACTCCATTTCTCTGCCCTGAAATGCCTGATAGTAGATTTTGAAAATATAACGATCATTTATTTATGTAGAGGGCATAAGGTCCTCATGCTCACATGCTCTGGTTTCCAGAGAAACCAGGAATGTTGAACATGCAGACTTTTCTCTTCAACAGAAGGGAGCTGTAAGCCCGTTTTATGCCCAGAAATCTTGGAGCGGGTGTGGTTAATATCCTGGTAATCTGTGCTATCCGTAGGGCCTGGCCACACCTGAATCTCCCAGACTATATAGTTTATTTCAAATTCTTCCTCCCTACACCTTTATCTTGATAATTGCTTCTCAGTCAACAAATCCCATCTTTAAGGGAGATGTCACATGTAATTTATAGCCTAGTGACCTCTATTCTATCTTCGTCCAAGACTACATCAGATTCTAGGCATTTAAGCTAAGTTATAGAACCCACTTCATAGTAGAAGACACATGTACTTTGCAAAAGAGTTTTGATGCAGTTGCACCATAAGCTTTATTGTGCACATGGTGTTGAGATAACTGTCACCGGGAAACTTTTTTTCCCAAAACTGTACTGTACTTAAATATGTCTATAAACTGGTGGGGGTCAGACTTCAGAAGTCAGAACCAGCATAGCTAACTAAGTTGTGTTAAATTCAGCTTCCTTACTGCCTCACACAGTTCCTTTCTCTGCCAGCAGTAGAATTTTCAGGGACTGCCGAGCCATTTGGAACAGAATTTTCATAATGATGGAAGTCAAAATGGATGACTTTCACAGTGTTCTCAAGATCTGACCATGTCTCCCTTCTCAATGGCCCTGCCTTGTCACTCCCGTTACTTTCTCCATTCCATTCCCCAATGATGTCCGCAGTTTTCCAGTTCGGGTAGTCTCTGGAGCATGGTTCTTCGTTATGCTACGTATTCCCATGCATTCTATCCACAGCACTCCTTTCCCCTAATCCTCCACCATATTCTCCACATGTAACTTCTTCATGAAGTCTCTCTCCAGAATAGAACAAACTACTCTTTTCCTCTTACCACTATATATGCAGGCTCTTCAGGTGGCCTTTGCGAAAGTGGTGTGCTATGCGGTGGTAGTATCTTTTTGTTTGTTTGTTTGTTTGTTTTGTTTTTTATGAGACAGGGTTTCTCTGTATTGTTTTGGAGGCTGTCGGTCCAGCCCAGCCTCGAACTCTCAGCGATCCGCCTGCCTCTGCCTCCCGAGTGCTGGGATTAAAGGCGTGCGCCACCACCGCCCGGCGGTGGTAGTATCTTGAACGTGATCCATTAGCATTATAGCTGTCTTTGAATCTGTGTAATGTTCTACAATGGTCAGCCAAATTAATAAGGTGTACCAAACAAACCTTTCTAGAGAGATAAATACATTACAGATACCTCCTTATTTTGAGGACTTTCTGATACAGAAGGTAGAGGCTCTGCTGCATTTCCAGGACACACAGCCATCTGGTTCACTGCATCTTCATTTCTAAAAGAACACAAGAATGCATCAGCCCATCATATCATGAGATTATCCCCATCTCTATCTTAGAGAGTCCAAAGATTAGGAACAAATTATCTAACCCCAAAGTCTTAGTCTTATGTGTGTGTTTGTATATATATTATATGTGTGTGTGTATTTATATATGTATGTATGCATATATGTATGTGTACATATATATGTTTTATTTCACTGAAAATAATTCACAGGTAAAATGTTAACCAAGTATTTAGTAAACCAGAGAAAATGCTCACCTGATAAAAATTATTTTTACTTTAGATGGAGCACATTTAATGATTGACGAAGCATTCTGATGACTTCTGCCATACAATATCTGGCCATTGATCTATAAGGAATAAGTATCATTAGTTGAACTTAAATTTCTTCATTTCTTTAGTTTTTATCATCTTGTCTAGCTAATAAAAAGTGAATTGCTCTCTTTTTCATATTATATACATTTTTTCTCTCCAGAATGCAAACCAAAATTTGCATTATGAATATAGAAGAGCTCATGTTTAAAGCTAACATTAAGGTAACACCCATGAACTCTAGATATACCTTTGTAGACACATCCTGTTGAACACATAAGGAGAGAAGAAAGTCAGTTTCCCAACAGACAACAGCTCTGTGGCCTGCAAAGACCACAGGGGTAAGCCCACTGTCACGTCTCTCAGTTGGTCTTAAGAAGCATGTCCTGGGAAACAGGGTCTTTAAACTCATGCTGGGAAGGCTCAGGGCACAGCAGCAGACTGTCTGTAAGTAGCACAGCATTCTACAGAAGTGAATGTGCCAGCCCAGGTGTCCAGTCATCGAACAACTATGAACAGAACTGGTCCAGACAGTAGAGATATACAAACCCATGGAAGAGCGCTGAGGCAGTGTGGAGTCACGCTGACCCTGAGTCAGTGAAAACAGAGTCTAAACACTATAAAGTATGGCCTGTGGATCTATTTTCTTTGGCAGGTTTAGTTACTGCTTGCATTAGCTTTGGCCTCATCTCACCTCACCCCCAATACTTATTTCATTGGTGATTCAACCTCCAGAATGTCTAGTGGGTCAGCATCATTACTGGCATTTCAAAAACTCTCAATGAAAATAAAGCTGAGGCACAAAAATGTTTCTGAAGTGTGATTTTTATTACTATCTTGGGGCAAAAACTGTTTCTGGTGCTGCAGAGTCATGACCTTTAGTGTGAGTTAAAGGGACACAAACTATGTTGTAGAGATTTGGTGTGGAGCCAAATTTGCTGCACTGCATCAATTTTATTAGACAGTGGATGACTTGGTTAGGTTAGTCACTACACAATGTCTGGGTGACTTTCTGGAAACTGACGTTTCTACTGTACTGATGAAGCCAAGAGCAAATTCAAAACTGTCTAGCAGCACCTACCTCTAGAAGCTCATCAGCAACCTGTAGCCGGCCATCTCTTCCTGCCGCTCCAGTGGGATCTATCCCCACTATAAACACACTCATCCTGGTTCGGTCTTTGTTCCCAGCAAGACTTAGACCCAAACCGCTGTGACCTTTCTCCAGCTCAATCATGTGGAGCTGGCCTGAGAGGGTTCCATAACGCTCTTGGATATTTTCTACATGGAATAACAAATGCATTTACAGTTAATTCACAGCCAAACGCTTTACTATACAAGTTTATTTAGATTTATTTTCCTTAAGGGATATTATTTGCTTCAACATGATTTCTTGGCAGTTAAAAATTAGACAGACAGGCTGCCTGGAAATTGGGTTTGTTTTCCCAGAATAACAAAGCTCAGAGAGATTTCGTTGTAATAAGGGTTTACACAGCATAATGTCAGACTAACCAGTTCAGCTTGGGGACCATATTAACCAGGTCACCTTGGTGGCACTGGCTCCAAGAGAAGTGACTGAACCATATAACCTCTCTGAAGACTATGATTACACCAAAACATCAGCTGATCACTTGGAGAGGAGAGCAGGGCTAAAGTACTCAGAATACTTTCGTTTACTGGTGAGTGGAAACTTCTCCAACAGAGGACAATCTGCACCATGTGTCACATCATGCTGGGCGGCAGCTCTGAAGGAGAAGAGTTGCTTCCGTGGTGGACAGAGCCATTAGACCAACCAGGACAGCTCAATATACCTGTCCAAGCTTTAAGCAATCTGCCCTGACTACATGATCTCTTGCACAACAGTTTGTCTACCCACTTTAATCTGAGAGGGTATGGACCCATATGGGTGCCCAGTGAAAAAGCCCATGCCAGTGTCACCTGATAAGGCCCCATGACAGTGAGTCATCTTAGAGCCTGGCCCTGATGAGCAAGTCAATCATCCTGTATGAGTAGCCATAAGTTCTTATTTTAAGCCATTATGTTTTGTGGTAACTGATTAAAAAAAAACCCAGATGTAAGGCCGGATAATCTGATTAGGTGATCATCTCTGACAAGTCATTTCTTAGAAAAGAACTACAGGGTTAATGCCCTGCACTTCTGGTAATTCTTTGCTTTATCAGTTAAAGACATCCGGAACCCTTTCAGAGTTAAAGAGGGTAACTTTCATGTTCCATGCTTTCTAAAATATGTGTACCCTAGACTTCTTAAATCAAATAATTAGGTTATTAAAATAAAGCTTTTTGAGTGCTGAAGAGATGGCTCTATGATAAGAACATTTGATCCTCTTGCGAAGAATCCATGTTCAGTTCCCGGCATCCATTGGGTGGTTCACATCTACCTATAACTCCAGTTCCAGACAATCTGAGGCCCTCTTAGGACTATCCAGGGCCCCAGGCACACATATGTTGCACACATATGTATTTAATAAAACAAATAAATCTAAAACAATTATTAAAATGAAACATTTAACTTGATGACACACTTACGACTTTTGGCTCAAATTTTACATGGGACACTGTGTCAGCATTCCTTAGATACTACCTAAGATATATTAATAGTCTGAGAGGCCTGCATTCAAAACTGGAGACCACTTCCCAGACACCCAAAGAGTTGATCTTAATAATTACAAGGTCGCTATCCTATCACTCAAAACACCAGAAGCTCACTCAGGGCATAACACTAATAACAATCAGATACTACAAAGAGAAATCTGAGGCCTGTTAATGGCAGTTGTTGTTCAAAGAAGTGAATCCAGTACTGGGTTCTGAGAGGTCCTCTTGGCTGCTATAATTCTCAAATGAGAAGCAAAAGGTCTTTATGAGAAATGTGCATTTAATGTAAAGGAGGAATGTGAAGTCATGCCTCAGGAATGCATGTTGTATTCAAGGAAAATAAACAGTAGCTTTCCCACATACAACTGCAGTATATATCACTAAAGCTGAAATATTTGTTCATACAAAACAAACCCAGAGCTATTTTAAGACTTCTCATAATTAAGAGCATCATAAACAGACAACTTACTCCAGCTGTACCCAAACTCATCCTCTTTGTCTGCATCTTCTGAGACTGTGATTGCAGATGGCTGTGCACAGTCACTACCCATTTCTGAGAACCCTGAAGGGGAGGAGGGAGGAACATCACACAATGGAGCCTTCTCTGACTCTGATGCTGACCGGCTGGGGGCCTGTGAGAACAAGAAGAATTCAGTGGGCATGTGCAATCTCATGAAAACTAACAGGGAAACAAATAAGAATATAACTTCCAAAACCAAAGGCCAGCTTGAAAATGGTCTCCAAATAACAGAAAGCCTACACACACATGTAAGAAATGTTAGCCAGGATTCAGGTATCAGAACACATTTTTTAAATTGTTATTTGCTGATGCAAACAATGAATAATTCAATTGAAAGTCTTAAATGACCTAAGAGAGCAAATTGTTCAAATTTCCCTGTTGAGGGGAAAAAAAAAGTACAGATGTGTATAACATCTTACGGGTCATTCAATAACAAATCAATACAAAGCAGATTAACAAGAAACGCATCCCTTAAAACTTGTAGTAAGAACCATTGAGATGGCTTAGTGGGTAAAGGCATTCGGGAAAGCTCAACGGCTCGAGCTCAATCCCTGGGCTCACACAGCAGAAGAAAGGAACTGACTGCCGTAAGTTTACTTATGACCTCCATATCCATGATGTAGCTCCTACATGTGCACTCCCACATACCCATACTCACAAAATAAATAAATGCAATAATAATAACATCAAAACTTGCTAGTATGACTACACACGAAGATGGTTTTTTGGTGGATCTGGGGACTGAACCCAGAATCCTGCATATAATAGGTAAGTATTTTACTGAATCACAGATCCAGGCCCACATAAACAATTCTTTGTTGTTACTTGAATCCAAGAAAGCAAGGCACATACAGCCTGCTTGTTAATGAAGAGCATAGACTCAGATCTGTCTGGTTTTGGTTTAAGGCCATCTCCAACTTTTTTTTTTTTTTTGCCATAGTAACTCACAAGGAATCCTTTATACAAAGCCAGATGTGACATGACTGCTGTCACTTAGGAGCACTGGTGCTATTTTAAAAAACGATTTGTCATAATCAAATTCTTATATGAATCATTATGTGGCAGTAGGTTAGAATTTGAAAGGCCCATAAACTCTTACGCTCTCCAGTTTGTTTCATTAAATTTTCAGATAAACGTACTAAGGCCAACAAAAGGAAAACCTCGTTTAAACTCAGGTGCTAGACTTCTATATTTCTGTTCTATTACATTTATTTATTTAGCATGAGTGTGCATGAGTTGGGAGTGCACATGCCTCAGGGTGAGTGTGGAGTACAGAGAGTAGCTTACTAGCTGGTTCTCTCACCATGTGATTTCCAGGGACTGAACCCAGGTCATTGGTCTTGGTGGCAAGCACCCTCAGCTGCTAAGCCACCCTGCTAGCAATCTTTCTGTTTAGTTTTTTATAATGCTGCATTTTATATTAAAACTTGCTGTTTTCTCCAGTTCCCCCAGCAAGATTTATCTCAAGACCAGGGAAATGAAGGACCAGGAATGGTTATCTGGTTCTAGGAATGCCAAGAAATATACCAGTGCTAGAACTTCATGCAATAAATATGATCTTTTTGTTAATTCAGAATGTACATAGGTTACTAGCAAACACAAGGCTGGCTGACAGATTCAGGGGCAGTTGATTTTCAGGTACAGCATTTCCTGTACTAACAATGCTCAGTTTACGTATCACGGGCCAAAGAAAAAGTTACAAGTGCCAATGAAACATCTGCTGTCTTCCAGAATGCTGCACCAGAAATCTTTCAAATGGTATATGAACAAAAATGTGTAAGAACTCCAGAAACTTCACTTGATCCAACCAAAACTCAGACATCACACTAAAGATATATACTTACGAAGCTTTCTCATTAAAAAGAAAACCGCTTCTCTGTACCATCAAAAATTATTATTTGGCTAACATGAATTAATTCAGATTGGAGGATATATATTTTATAGTTCTTTCTACCCTTCTTGTTATTTTACTTAGTAATGAAGAAAAAATTCGGCTTATCTCAAAACTTCTTCAAGATTACAGGCACAGCCCTTTCATACTGTGATTACACACCAAAATTGTACCTCAATCTAACTGTGTAATCATAGAATTAATATTTGCCTTCTTCCTGGAGGTGCAGTTAAATCTTCTATTTGCCCTTATCAAAATAGCATTTGTTATTGACAAAATAATGACATGTTACTGATGTTTCTTGCAATTTGTTAACAAAAATGTATATTTAACAAAGGTCATTTAACCTTGTTGGCAGAAACAAAAATGCAATGGTAATCACCCCAAGTCCATTTGTATACATCAAGTAAAACAGACATGCATGTCACACAAAAACACACCCATATGGAGACAAACCTTAAATGGTATGGGAGCAAAAGGGTCAGCTGGGGAACAATGGGAGCTGACAGTACTTGGATGTTGGAGCTCCTACAGTAATAGAAAACATACCTCTTCAGGTGTAGCATGATCTCCTATCCATGACACAGTAACATGAAAAATCCAATGAATATTCATGAAGTGGTTTGTAAAAGAAAATGCTGACAGTTTTCTCCCTTTCTATTACCAAATTATGGTATAAAAGAATTCTTATAAATTGTTTCAAATTTGCTTTTACAATTTCATTAGAATGAGAGAATACCCAAGTATGACTGACAAGAACGGAAACATTTACAATTCCTGATCTGGTATTCATCTAGACTTAATTTATGAATATTCAGGGGCTTTGCCATGTACACATACACACACACAATTATTTGCAGAGTGGTTAACTCATGGAATGTTCTGAGACAATTCAGGATTTAAGAAAATTATATATAAAAGTAGCTTATACAAATGGCAACAAAAATTTAAACATTAAAATATTAAATCACACTAAAATTCAGAAAAAAATATTGGGCTCCTATTTTAAATTTCATGTAAGAAAACAATATTCTCTGGCTGGACAAAGTGCTTAGAAAGGGCCTGCACGCATGTGCAGAAATCACGGTGGTTTGTTTTTATTTTTCTGATAAGTGCAGTAAACAGTGAGCTAGGACAAAGGCACAGTAGCAACAACAAACATTTGCAAAGGCAACGACAAGACAATGGACATTAATCCGACCTTGTCTGTGGAGAGCTGGAGAGAGTCAGCAAATGGGTTAGTGCTGCTGAAGCTGTACTTAGGGTAAAGGTTGTGCGGCAAGGAAGGCAAAGGGAATTTCTAAAAGGAAACAGAAGATGCACAAGAAACGTATTTAAAACAACCCCCCTCAAGATCAAAGTACTTACTGGTTTACAGAGCTGCCTATAGAGAACCAAAGAATACCTGAGTAGTCAGTGTGCTCTTTTTAAACAGTTACTAGTCATTTGTTTCTAATTACCCAATCCTACATCTGAGCCTAGTCTCTCCATAAAGGAAACTGGATTACCAAACTGACTCAAATTTCTTTCGTTTTCTCCGAAGGTTTTACTCCCATGGAAACGCATGCGCTCTGCCCTTGTTATACAGTAGCTTCTGACTCCTGAGTACCAATACTCTGGTTTCACAAGGAAAGCCGTTCTTTTCCTTTCATTTACCTTTAGGAGTGAGGGACATGACTTTCAATAGTCTATCTAGGATGCTCAGTGAACACTTACCTGCCAGCCTCCTAGTAACCTTCCTTTCTTTACACTGTCCCCCATTAAGGAAATTGCACTCTGACCACCCAGCAGATGCCGATTTAGATCAGCCACATTTTTAAACATTAAAAGGTAAAAAACAAAAAGAACCACTATATAGTGCGCTCTACTTTTTGTGGAGATTCAACAGAGATTCATATTTTTAAAAAAGAAAAGTAAAACTCTGATAACATCTCCTACATTACTGAAGAATCTACAGCTTTGGATAATATTTAAAGTCTGTGTTTAGAGTGTTTCTTCTAGATTTCGTGACTTGCCTGTAGTAAGCCCTTAGCCAGGACTGTTAAAGCTGAAGATACGTATCAAAGGCAGGAAGTCAGCCAAATAGAATTTAGCACGTTCATATTTAAAAAGAAAAAAAAAGTAATTTCCTTAGCACAATAAATTCTTCCTTTCACACTCGCTATCTCTTCCTTCTATTGACTGTATCTTTCAAAGAAAATTGCAGACATTTAAAACTCATGTTGGCTCCAATTAAATGTTTGTGTTACCACTTCTCTCTGAAAAAGTCCCATTTGCTGGTCACAGGGGGGGTGTCACGTGACTCTGCCCAGAGGGAGAGCCGGCTGGAGACACTGTACTCCAGTGCCAGCATCAACGCTTATGCCACATTGCCCTTTCCCTCTGCGTTTCCTGCAATGTTTTTCCCAAGAGGCAAGGCAGGAAAAGATATGGGCACAATGACATTTCTGTTCCTCTCAACTTCCTCCCTGCTTTTCAGTTTAAAATGTCAACTCCTGCTTTACTCAAAGAGGGGTGGAGACGCCAAGCAACATGACCACTTTGTACGCTGGAAGCCACGGCTGGGCAGTGGGACGGACGCTGGAGGACTGCTGGTGCAGGTGGAGATTATTGTTATTCTCCATGCACGGCAGATCCAGGGCCTGAGTGTCCTTTGTGACTGTGTGGAACAACAACAGAACCATGAAGCCAGGGGAGGGTGAAGAGACCCCCCGTTTTCATTTCTCTCCAGACCTCACAGGATTTCAACTGGGCACTGTCAGCATAGTATAAGGTCAGGGGAGGAGCTGGGATGGCAGGCCACTTCTGCCAATAGGGAAAGTTACAGAACTGATTGTCAAAATTAAAAAAAATGAGGATGATATGTGCCTGGGACCATGAAAAAAAAAACATTATATCACAGAGGACACTAAAGCATCCTCAGGCCCCAAGAAGGGGCCCACCCAGCAGTCAGAATGTGCACAGCCCAATTCAGACTGGCACAATGATGGGGTTATGTGGGGCATGCTGTAAATTCTCATCCCGGAAGACTCAAAGCACAGAGAGACAGACAGACGGCCTTCTCAAGTGTGTAAGGTTTTCCAGAAGCTTTTATCTTCTACTCACAAAGAAAACTTCGTCATACAGGGACTCTTCGGTAAGTGCATTTGTGGTAGTTTTCCTTTAGCTAACCACAGGACTGATTACTTCCATTTGGAAGTAAATCACCACTAACAAAGAATATCTCATTTTAAATGCAAAATTAATTCTAGTTTCCCAAAGCAAAATGTGTCTAACTTGACTAAACATGTCATTTCTAAGCAAGATTTATCCTGGAATAATTGCTATAAAATTAGGTGTCATTATGCCTCAAATAAAAAAAATAGGAATATTTTCCAGGTGTATGAGACAATATCTTTCCAGCTCATTAGAAAATGTGATTGGCATTGAAAGAAATGTTTGTAGTTTAAGTGTTCAAAGTAATATTAAGAATCACTATTCACCAGTTTATAATATTATCCTAAATTATGAGTTAGAAATTAAAATAAAACAAAAAGGGAATAAACCCTCCCACACACAAAAATGGCTGTAACTCAACTTAAACAGCCATTTACAATATTACCATGCTGTGTCTATGTTTAACACAACAAATGTTAACAAATGTATGAAGATTCGTAGTTATTTAAACAAACTGAATAGCATTTGCAAAGAATGCAGCATGAGGCAGCCCTATCATTTGGCAGATTTTCTATCTGAATGGATAATTATTACCTAACAATAAACAACTGAATGGTTAAAAAACAGCAGATGTGAAGAGAACTGCTTAGATTAAGAAACACTCCATCCACTTTACACTGTGAACCTCAGGCCAGAGCCACACCTGTCTTGACAACAAGGTGACGGGCAGTATCATGAACCTGGGTTCTGTGTTCAGGAGCCCAGGAGGCTCATCTCTTTCATCTTGCTGATCGCACAGGGTGCCTGATGCTTTCCTCCCATCATTTCAACATTACTATTTTAAGTCTTAATTTCCCAGGTTAAAATTCAAGGTATTTTACATAAGGCACCACATACTTTAAGTTTCACATGAAGCCTGGCTGCTCTCACATACTAACACTTTTCTTTCAAAGCCAACCAACCCTAGATCTGCCAGAAAGCACAGGTCCGGGAAATAGGTGTACAACCGAAGCTTTTACACCCCAAAACGGCATCTCCCGGAGCTTCAGGAGCTTGCGGGATCTTGGGAAATTAGAACTAAGAAAATTCCACTTTGGAGGCACATAAAGACCTTTTGGTGAGGCATAAAGGACTCAAAAGCAACGTTAAACTATTGGCAAAAAGTTCACCTTCGGCATTACTAGGACATAACAAATATGCTGAGTTGCAGTTTGTATCCTTTCTATAGATAACAGCCAGGGAGAAATATTCTTAAAATTCGTTTTCATTCAGGCTCTTGCTAGATGCTATCAGTAGCATCATGTTCGAAATCTTCCTGGCTTGGCCTCTGGACAGCCGGGACTGTCCGCAGGAACACCACACCGTGATTGGTCTCTAAAACAAATGTTTCAACTACTTTAACAATGGTGGCCAAAGGTCAAATGGGCTAACAGGTTTCTGTCCCCAAGGGTCTGTGATGGCCTGCATTCTGATTACATCTGAGAAATAATTATGAAGTGATATTGGTTTGTACATAAAGAGAATGTATTTTATACAACTACATTAAAGATCCGATATCATGAATGCATAGGAAGGATATTCTATCTAAAGAATAAATTTAGAGAAAAGGAGAAATCTTTATAGCTTCCAAGAGTCTCAACTAAAAAAGACTAGTATTTATCCTACACATCATATTCTAGTTCTTTCATCAATTTATTTTTTAAACAGAATGAATACTAGCAAGATATCAATTTGACATGGCAACAACTTAATTCTTCCTTCATGTACTTGAAAGTGTTCACATACACAGTAGAAGAGATCTGCAGGGGAGCTCAGTGTTTCAGCACAGCAATGGAAACCTTTTGTAAACACTTTCTGAGACCTCGAAGACTGGTAGGTACGATGCAGACAACTTGGTCCTTGCTACATTAGACTCCAAGTTGAGCACTGTTAGCGGCATGCCTACCTGGCCCTTTGTGTTCGCTTACCCTTGGTCTGTTTATAATGCTCTGTACCATAAATACTACAGGGTTGCCTGCTTTCCGAATGGCTTCCACAGCTTGTTCATGGCTTGCATCTCTGAGGTCCATTCCATCCACCTGCAATGGAAGGCCTCAAGCTTAACATTTTAAGAAGCTAGAAGAACAGAAGAGCGAATTTGGTCAGGAATTCTGAGGCTCCTTTAGATCCTGGGAGTTTTGTTTTGGTACCAAGAACAAAAGGAGCCGTTAGGCTGCACACTTCTCATTCCTCCGCGGATGTGTGGCACACTGCTTGGATACAGGGCTTCCAAAGTCAACTGGAGTCATGACCAGTTGGAATAAGGGCTCTGCTTCTGCACTGATTGCTGCACTAGCTGCTCTTCTATGTTTCTGAATCAGTTTATGGACAAAGATCATGAAAGAAACAGTCTAGAGAAAGGTATTCAAGGTCCCTGTCATCAAAGCCTGTGCTGGACTGCTAATCCTTCATAAAGTAATTTACTAAGGACATTGCAGGAGCAGAGAGAGTTGATTCTGCTAGAGAAATTTAAGGAATAAACAAAATAATCATATTCAAAAATGTGAGACTACTGTTAAATTAGTTTTGCAAAAGAATCTGCAGTAGATGTAACAGAAGTTGGAAGCCAAGAAATTGTGCTTGTTTGTTAGTTTCTTATATAGATAGTTATATATTTCTCATATAAATAGTTATATAAATGAAAGTCATTTGTAATGTTTTGTGGGTGATGATCAGCTTAGCTTGTGCACTAGATGGTCAGGAAGGAACACAGTGAAAGGACCAAGTGTTAATCCTGTCAGATATCTACAGATTTTATCATTTCCAATTACCAAGAAAAGCTCGGGGTGGACACAATTCTTTGGAAGAGAAGCAATCAGTAAGTCCTGACATAGAATTACACACATTTAATTAAAAGCCTCTCAGGTTGATAACTTGATAATATGATGACATTTTAAAAATTCATTCTAAAATGACTTTTAATGTTTCTAACAAATCAGTATTCATGCCTATTGTAGGTCAAATATTGTTACTCAAGTCCAAAGCAAGCACATTAGTATAGAGCTGTTATACAATCCCAGGACTACAAGGCCCCAGGCTTCCTATTTCCTAGAGAAATCCTGCACGTGATGTACTAAAGAAGTCACCACTAACCTAAGTGCAGGTATTTTACAACACACATAAACACACCCTTTCTTTATGCAAGCTATATGTAAATATAGTTTATCTTTACTATTTTAATTAATATTTAATTGTTTTAAAGGACATTTTGGGGGCAAACTATGGCCAATCATTTCTAAAGATGATTGTAAATAATTCTTGTTTTCTTTTTAGGCAAAAAGTATTTAATAGTTAAACTACATAAAATAAACATCCTAGTAATAATTTAAAATTGAAACTTTTAGATGGAGTTCTAAGTAAAGAAAGAATCACATTAAAGGGGCTAGTTTATCACTTAAGGAGAGTAGGTCAGTATGTCCTGTCACTTGATTTTATAGATGGTCAAGGAGAAAGGGAAGGTACATGATGACCATTTGTTCCCAAACTGCACTCTCTGAATTCCTCAGGCCCAGATAATGAATGAATAGAAGAGCGAATGAGCCAGCCAATACTAAAACATTTTATTTTCATTTCACAGTTCTAAGGAGCTAAATCCAGGGCCTTAGATGTGCATTCAGTGACCACCCTGGCACTGAGCTAAATGCCTGGCCAAGGGTCCATTCTAAATTATTACTGCTATACAATATCCAACCCTCTGAACTAGGAAGGCATTTGAATGTGTAAGCCTTATGGACTGAGAAAATGAGACAATCACTTGTATAAGAAAACACAATGTCCATTACAGTCACAATCATCTTTACTTATCAGTTACTCCTTTCCTTTTACTCTATAGTCTAGAGAAACTGGACCCACTTCTCAACATTTTAAATCTACCTTTGTCTAATCTGATTAGACATTTTACTGTACTTCTCTGAGGTGCCCTGGTTACTTCTCTGCTTCCTTCTGGCCAGGCAGGCACGGTATCTTGTCTACTGTGTACAATAGCTTCCGGCCCAGCCCCGGGAACACAGTAGCTGCTTTGTGATACACATCAGTAAATATGTGTGTGGCTCTATGGCATATCAGAACCCTGTGTAAGATATTAAATTTGAATTGGGGATGGCATATTTGACTATATGTTTCTCTCTTTCACAACAAAGTGTTTGCTATGCACGGGCACACATGGGGCCTTCTGTGGCAAAGCGGCACAGCACGGGGAGGAGGCTCCTAGCTTTCTTGAAACTTTAATCTAAAAAGTTATCAAGTTCGCAGCATTGAAAATTAGAGGAGAAAAGACTCACCTGGAACAAAACCTCACTCAACAAAGTTTATCTACACAGAAATGAGTATAATAAAATATTCCTGTAACTAATATCTTCCTGGAAAACTTAACTATGAGATGTATGTTTTCCCTGTGTAAACATGATATTAAATATTTTGGTTTTCCCCTAAGAAGTTGTTTATTTATACTCCCTAGGGACAATGGTTTTAAAACTGATTGTCTGTATTTCTAAATATAAATTTTTACATGACATGCATAATTTATCATCATATACATACAAAAAAACAGATGAAAAGAAGGAAATGCAGCAAACACTTGACTGTAACACTCAGGCAAGGATGGCAACTCCTTCGGTCAGAAAGTGAAAAGGGGAAAACATTTTGAACAGAAAGCTCACTGGAGGTTACCTCGATTATCCTGTCTCCAGGCTTTAAGGTTCCATTTTTGCCAGCCGGACTATCTTCGAGAACATGTTTGATGAAAATGCCCCTCATCACTTCACCATTGCTCAGGCGGCTCCCCATCCCCCGACCACCCACAATGCTGATGCCCAAGGACTTGCTTGGTTCTCTCCAAAGTTCCACCCTATAAAGAAAATAAAATTGTAAAACCCCAAAGAAAAATACGAAGGAAACGCTTCCTGAACGTTAGAATGTCCTACAGATGTCTCAGTTATTGCTATAATGAAACACCATGACTAACTGAAAACAAATTGGCGAGGAAAAGGTTTATTTAGCTAACAGTTTCATGTCATTGTTTGTCATCATTCAAGGAAGGACAGGAACTCAAACAGGGCAGAAACCTCGAGGCAGGAGCCATGGAAGAGAGCTTGATCCTTGTGGCCTGCTCAGCCAGGGATGGCACCACCCACAACTTGCTGGCCCCAACCCATTGATCATTAATTAAGAAAACACCTCAAAGCTGGATCCATTGGGGGCATTTACTCAATTGAGGCTCCCTCCTCTCTGATGATTCTAGGTTATGTCATGCTGATGTAAACCTAGCCAGTATAGACACTAAAAAATAGGCAATAAAAAGACAGTAAATTGGACTTCATTAAAAATAAGAGGAAAAAGAGACAAGTCGCAGAAGGAAAACAACATTAGAGAATCACACAATGATAAGGAATTAATATCCAGAAAGTCTGAATGAACTTTCTAAAATCCAGTTCCTAAAACCCAAAGAAGTAGATCTAACAAAACCTAGGATAAATAAAAGTTAGTTACAGGCTTATAAATAAATGGCTTTAAATATGTGAAACAACGACTAACATCTGTAGAGACACAATCAGTACACAATAGTACATTACCTCATACTAATTAGGATGAAAATTATTAACAGAAACAGATAATAACTAATGTCTATGTGAATGGAGAGCTGGATGGAGCTCTGTGCGTTGCTGGTGGGGATGTGACAAGATATAGCCAAAATGGAAAACAACAAACATAACTACCATATGGGAACACAACCAAAAGAAAACAAATCAGGATTGTGAAGAGATATTTAAACACATACTTCAGAAAAACATCATCCACAACAGTTAAAAGGTAGGTGCAACCCTGATGTTTATTAGAAATGAACTAATAAGGGTTGGTGAGGGCGTTTGGCGCGTCAATGTGCTATCTGCATAATCCTAATACCCAAGTTTGACCCCTGGAGCTCATAAAAGCCAAACATGTTGGCTCACATCTGTAATCCCAGTACTGTAAGGAGATCAAAGGCACAGATAAAAGGAATACCCAGAGATTCCCAGGCAGCTGACCTGGTGTACACTGAGAAGCAGAAACTGGAATTACCTTGCTTTGAATTATTGGTAGAAGGTAAACCAACTTTCAGAAATTGTTCTCTGACTTACACATGTAGTCACACACATACCACACATACAATAACAGATAATTTTAAAATTTAAAAATCAACAAGCAAAATGATACATAGCTTATTGGGGTTATATTATTTCTTAAAAAGGAAGAAAATGCTGAAATAACTTTTGACATACACAAACTCTAAGTGTACTATGCTATATAAAATTGGCCAGCTCAATGAAGTAAGGACAAATGCCTATGGTCATGCTCACCGGAAGTCTAGAGGAGGCACATGCAGGGACAGGACATAGATTGGAGTTGGTTCAGCTGTGACGTGGATAGGGAGGTAATATTTGGGGAAACAGTCTTAGTTTTACAAGAGTCTTCTGTAGATGAGAGTACTGTATTTATATAGTGAAGGTTCTCAAAGCCTCTGAATCACACACTTACAATACACCAATAAATGTCTAATCTCAATGGCACCATAGTCATAAAGGAGTAATTTAAATACTGCCCAAATTATGTGTTTTGTTGGTATTAATATTGGACTCACATTCTAGGCTAATGTACAGGCCAGTGAAGAAGTGCCATTTTGCAGGAGTGTTAATAATACAGACATTACATGATCAGGAGACTCAGTTACCACTGAACAGATGGCAGCTTCTAGGTTTAGCAGCCAAATCCAGGGAAAGAACACTTTTGCACACACTAATCAGAAGCTCGCCTCTATGGGACTCTTTCTTGCCAGAGCAGACCTGGTCATTAACAGTCAGGGCATGAAGGGCAGCCGCTGACAGTATTCTACATGAAACGATCCTTCCAGCACCTCCCGAGCTTCACTGAACTGCTTTTCACCTTCCCCTCCAGGAAGCAGAGCGGCTCCTCGCTGTTCTGTAAGTTGATTTCATATGCTACTACCTGCAGCCTTAGTAGTTTATCTACTGTCCCTTCCTCCACAGAGAATAAACACAGAATGCAAACAGAATAACAGTCAACACCTAAAGAGTTAAGGATGGAGGCTGAGGATCTAAGCCGTAACGTGACTGTTTGGTGTTTGATTTCAGGCACTACAAAAGGAAGAAGAGGCAAGGACGGATTGACAGGGCCGTCCTATGAAAAGGGAGAGAGGAAGCACGAAGTGATTTTCAGTGAGGAGGAAGTTCAAGGTGTTGATAAGACCCTGCATCTATTCTAACTTAACGGGACACAATGGTGTTGGGCATCAAGGACAAGAAGACAGCATTGTCAGTGTGTCCTCAACACTGACATTTGGGGTGTTCAATGAGAGGAAAAACAGGACTGCTGCAAAGTGAATGAACTGTCAGAAAGAAGGTGCTGGTTTAGGGCAGCAGGCATGTCAGGTGAGATGCACAGCACAAACATTTCCTCTTTGGTCAGGCTAGTTTATTTTTCTCTTAACTGAATATATATAATCCTAGAAAGCTGATTTCTTTAGTTGGGAGAAATTGGAGCATGATCTTTGTGAATAAACAAGCTAAAACATTACTCAACATTTTCTCTCTAGTCTATACAAGTCAAATTATTCAACATTTTCTCTCTAGGCTATAAAAGTCAAAGAAGCAACATCCTTTTCTATTTTTACATTTACTTTTTATAATAATATTATTGTAGCTGTCTGTATGCCTGTATGTGTATTTGCACAAATGTGCATGTGTCAGTGTAAGGTTTACAGCCTATACACACGTGTATGCAGATGCGTATGCCTGTATTTGCACATGTGTCAGTGTGAAGTGTAAACATATGTATATGCAGATGTGCATGCCTGTGCCCATACACAGGAAGAAAACGGTCTTCATCCCCGCTGCAATGTTTCTTGAATCAGTTTTAATGGTAAGTTGGTCAAACACAGAAATTTAGTCAATGTATGTATACATATTAGAAGCCAGGTAGGAATCGTGAGCGCTCAAGAAAACTTCAAAAAGGAAGACAGAAAATGTCCCCTAAGGCCGTCCATTGATAAATGTGAGTTAAAATGATTTCTGGAGTGATACAAGCAGCAAACTATAGGAAGGCTTAGGGTATCTCCACCTCACTCTTCAAGGAAGCTAAATTTGTTCCCACTTAATCCTCATATCAAGCCTAGAAGGTACATACTCTTTAGAACCTGAAAGGGAGAATCACAGATTCAGGAACTCTGGAACTGGGTACTCTAGTGTACCTACAGTTTAAACATGCTATTGTGATATATGGCCCGTGAATCCTTAAACAATGCAGACAACAGTCAAATGATCACACAGGCATGGGGCTAGGCTGCCCAGTCATTAGACACAGCGTGGTGAGTGTCCCTGGGAAAGAAGGACACCTGTCAAGAAGCACTTTGCAGAGCACGTTCTGGCTCTGGGACCAGACAGCTGGGTTGTGTGAGCAGAGTCCTTGGACTCCAGCCCTGCTCTTCTCCTCCTTAATCACGTGACACGGGGCAACCTACTGAGTCTCTTTGTCTTGTTTATCTCGGCTGTGAAATGAAGCCAATAAAAGTCTCCAATAAGATAGTCTTCTGTGGAATTAATTGTTAATATATAATTGCAAAACAAAAGCTTTGGTATAGAACATAGAGTAAGCAGCAAATAAATCTATGATGATGAAGGTAACAATCATGATGGTAGTGGTTTTCACAGGGATTGCAGGAAGTATACTATTCTATCTGTATGACAATTGAGCATGTATGCACCCAACTCCTCAAACCTGAAGTGTGTAAACACAAGGTAACATTTTCTATCCATTGATGGAACACTTTAAAAAAATGTTACACATGTCATCTGGGATAGATACAATCATATATTGAAATAGAAGTGGAAGCTGTTATGACCACCATAAAGAAGAAACAAAATAAATCCAAATAAACTTTAAAATGCATGTAAATCTGTAAGTCAGTAATTCTACTTCTGGATACATACATACTCTAAGTAAGATTCAGACACACATAAGAAATACACATTTACTGCACAGAATTAGTGTAACAACATACTATAAGCCACTGGAATATCAGCTGTGGCCTGAATCAGATCTTAAGTAGTGAGTATAACATGAATCTCCAAAACACAGCATAATACTGTGAGCAAGCTGGAAAATCATATACGTGAAAATCACTAACAAAAATCCAGTGTACTCACACCTACTTTATATTTTTTTTCATTGTGATTGTGTGGATATGATGTATGAGCAGAGGCATGTGTGCCATGACCTGGGTGTGGAAGCCACAGGACAACTTTGTGGAGTTGGTTCTCCCTTGCCCCACTTTGTATGCTCTGGGGACTAAACTCAGGCCATTTGGTTTGTGCAGCAAGCACCTTTACCACTGAGCCCTTTCATCAGGCCCATTTTACCATCCTTAACTAACAGATATACTCTATTTCTAAACAAATCTCCGTTGATTTTGTGTTTCCAATACTGGGAAGTAGGCCCTCATTTCCAGAAAGCTCTGGCTGTGCTGGTGTGCCTCTTAAATGTCATATACGAACATTCCCCTGGAGTACTTTAGTGCCTCTACACAGAAGTGTATATAGAAGCAAAGTGTCCTGTTGAAAAAGCCTCTGAGGAAGCCTTAGACACTTTTTTTCTGTGTAAGTCACCACCACAGAAGGAATGCTTAGGCTGATGGGAAGACAAAACTGAGGAGCAAAGGATACAAACTGTCCAGTCCCAAGGAGGTGGGCTTGTTTTTTCTGGAACACCTGCCTTTTGTTTAGCTACTCGGGATAGACACACAGACTGGACCAGGTACTACTGAGGACTTCCCTCTGCCATGCTGGGGCTTTTAGATGCAGAACTTACTGATTCTTCCTCCAAATTTAAAAGACTCCATAACTAACCCAATTATACAAGTTAAGAACTTTACAAATTAAGAAACTTGTATACAAGTAAACGGACCCAAATTCAGTTCACACCGCCTCCAACCATTTGCACACTGCCTATTTTTCTTATCAGTGTGAGATTAAAACTAAGCCAACTTACCTTTCCTATTGTTATTACTTTTTCCAAAAAAATTTACCTGTGACAACCAACTCTAGAATAACTTTAATCTATTTCTCTACCTATTAATATAAATGAATAAAACATGTAACAACTTGAAATAGATTATTTGTCAAAGATCTTTCACATATATCCTTTTCTCACTGTGGATAATGCTGTAACAGAGACAGTAAGCTAATTGGCTATTGCGGAAATTCAAACTGAAAGTTTCCTTTAGATGGCTGGAGATGTTTAGTCTTTTCTGTATTTTGAAATGCATGACCACAGGTTCTTTGTGAACAGGCATCATCAAAATGTAAGGCTATGTGGTATGAACCTTCAGGGCTGTCTGAAGGGGCTGAGCCATGATTACTGATATTAATATCCCATGTTGCTTTATGCTTCATATAGATCTTGCCTGGGCAAGGACATCCGATCTTCCTCAGAGGCAGAATTTATGTCTCAGACTTACTCCCTGGTTGCTAAGACTCGGTGACTCCTATTCCATAGAAGCTGACAAGACTCAGCACAAGCGTGTGAGCATGTTAATGTGTCCTCAGGATGCAGTGCCCTGTCTGAGCATGTTCAAGGTCAGTCTTCCTTGTTACCAAGGAACCAGTGCCAGGAAGAGTAAGGCTTTGACAAACTCAGCCTGTGACAGCAAAGTTCTTTGCTCATATTTTTATCTCTCTTTCACATTTAATAGCTGTCTCACACACACACATCTATATATGTTTGCAAAACATAAAACAATGTGTTTACATATATATGATATTACACTTAAATATAATTTGAAATGTAAGCATGCTAATCATGTAAACAAACATAATGTTAAAATGCAAATGAACATTTGGCACTATACCTAAAACTATTCAAAATGTATTAATTCCAACTACCTGTCCATACTTTTCTCTAGGTAATTGTCTTTAATGTCGACTACAGATCCTTGCATACAGGTTCATTTTACCCCTGTGTGATAAACATTACTTTCTCTAATGTTCATATGAAGAAATAAAGAATTAACAGTGCTTAAAAGAAGTGTCTGGTGCCATAGGAAGTGAGCTGTAGACCAGTCTTTGGAGCGCACACACTTCTCTCTCCTGTAAACACACACACTCACTGAACGGGTGACCACAGAAGTGGCCCTCACCTCCGGGGCTGGCTCCAGCTGCTGTAAGCAGCATTCTGCAGCTCACTTTCTTCCCCCTCTCCTTCTTCCCGCTCTGGGAGTTCTGGAATGTCTCTGGTTTAAGGAAATAGACAGTGAGAATTCTGAGCAACACTGTCGTGAATGTACTTAACTGTTAGTTTAAAAAGCAGAGCTATCTGAAGTTCCACTGTCGCTGACCTACAAATTTATAACATTTCTTAGCATACAAAACAAAACGAAACAAAAAACCTGAAACAAACGAAAAAACCTAAGGAAACAAATAACAACTTTACACTAAAGTCAGCTGCACACAACGTCTTGCCTGGCCCATTTGTTGATTAAATGTGACAGAATAAAGGAGAGTAGAGGAAAGGAATGGGGGAAATTGCAACAAATCCTGGAATTCTAAAGGGAATTTATTCAGCGAAGGTTTCTCTGGCCTGAAGGAATTCATCATCAGTTGATTTTATAGAACCTGTAAATCAAAAGAAAACTTGTATTCAAATTATAGCCATTGCTCACTGGTATGAATCATGAACTCATTTAAACTATGTGATCTTCAGATTTGGGAAGTTAGGTGTCTCAGTAGATCTGCACTTAAACATGGTTCACAGTGCTGGCAAAGCCAGGTCCAGGCTCTCCGTGGACATTCTTTCCTTTGACTTGAAAGGTCCAACCTTGTTTAAACACTGTTAAAATGACATTTACCTGTCTCAGGCCCTACCGGCTATTCTGCCATTGAAGTCCCCTCTTATGTAAACGGAAGAAGATAGATGTGGGAAAAGCTGTGCTTTCCAGAGTCTAACCCTGACAATGGTCCAGGAGGGTTAGCAACAGCTCCAGGAGGTGTATTTCAAAAGAGATGTCAAGGAGTTGACTGAAAAACAGTCCAAGTCTTCTGGTAAGGATCCAGAGAAATGTAAGTCAAAGAGATGAAAGGAGATGAAGGGAAGGGTAGGTTTAGGAGACAGTGAGAATGTGAGCAGCTGCTGTAACAGCTACAGACAGCCATAGAACAGGGGTAGGTTCTCTGCGCTAAGGCCGAGGCTGGGATCTACATATGTGCTATGAATAAGTGATCTTGGTCACACTGTACTGCAGACCTGTCATTTGAGCCAAGAGCAGACAGTCTTCATCCTTCGATACACAGGCCCCAGCTTCTTCAAATGACTCTACAATGTTGAGTCCTTTCACTAACTCATACATGCTCTTCTAGATATGGCCAGTATTTGTTCTCTATCTTGGCATGTGGTTTCAGGTACTACGATGTCATCTCCTCCTTAGATCAAAATAGAACAATTCTTTCTCTACTCAGGCAGCCAAGCAAGTAATTAATTGCTTTCTCCCTGTGACTTAGTGTTGCCAATGAAAGACATAACCACTACCTGTGTTAGTGCATCTAAATGCCACTAATGTCATGGGACAAAAATCACAGTGCAAAGCAGTAAGGATAGAACTGAGGCCACCTAGGGCTTACTCTTTGTTTTAAGGGTTTGTACAATTATTCCTTTGAATGCAATGGTCAAGATCTCAGAGTTTGACTGATTATGTCCTAAGTTTGGCTTTGAAACTAGCTGTGGAACTCCAGGAAGTTATACTGTAGCTGTTGCACAATCCTCCTCTGTAAGATATAGACTGGCTCCTGTAGGCATCCTGATGTTAATAACAAATATGCTTTCTTTGCAAAGAAACAGCTAATCACTAGATTGGGCAACCAGGCCATTTCCTCTCTATGCTGAGAGGAAAGAGGATGAAAGTAGCTTTCTTTCTAAAAATTTTTAATGCTTTAAGGCCCATGAACTTTCTAAGATGTTAACTGGTCCTCTATTTGGACAAAAGAAAGATTACTTTCCCATTTTGATAGGAAACACTGGGAAACTACAATCAACCCATGCTATTAAGTTTGACAAAGGAATTCTGGAATGTACTTGGGCCAACTTTTGTAGAGGGTGGGGTACTCCTACCGTACATGTCATGAGGCACAAAGAACTGTAATTTTCTTTTTCTTTATTAAGCACAGATCATGTCTTTCCATTCCCAACTACTCTCTACACTCTGTGGTTTTATATGATTTGTAGAGCAAGCAATGGCACAACAGCATAATTCTTTCAGGGCCTCTGGGAACCAGAGTGTTCTGACACCCTCTGTGGATGTAGGATTCTTCTGAGAAGACCTCCAAATGTTTGTGAAGCTCTATGCTCTACAGTATGCTTATGAGGAATCTGGTATCCAACTGTCAGTGTAACTGCAAAAATCAACCCACAGAACATACTTCCAGAGAAAGCACTCTGACATTTCTCTCCTGCTGTGAACTCAATCAGTAGTACCAACAAGCCCCAATTCTGTCTTCCTGTAAGACTGAAGAATACTCTGTTATTGAAAGGTTCTTAACATACTACCAAGAGGCTTAAGAAAAACTAAGCATGGTTTCTTAATATCCCTATATTATCAAGATTCTGAACCTAGAGCCTCCAAAAAGAATAAATATATTTGCTAAAAATGGTTTCTGATTGAGTTATTTGAGATTTTTAGGAAAAGTGAAAACATTATATAAAACCACAGTAAATGTGTGATTCAGGAAATTAATGAAATAATAACATGGGAGGAATTACTAAAACTTAATGTTAAAAGTGCTATGTTAGGTGGGTGAAATAAAAGATTGTTTTAATTTATTGATTTGAATATTTATACATTTCCTAAATTTTCAATTCCAAATGACAATTACTTGAGTAACCGAGACAAAGGGAGACTTATTTTTTAAAACCTTTCTGCATCATTGATTGTTTTGTAGTAAGCTTACTTACTCACCTGCCAGTGTATGAAGAAAAAATATCCAGTGCCATTATTCCTCCAGATTGTTGACCAAAACTTACTCTGAACTCTTCCAAGTGTTCTGCAGGCACATAAGTAATTCTGAAAATAAACACATTCCATGAAAACAAAGGGAAAGGAGTTCTGCTTGTTAGGAAAGCCCATTCATCGCTACACTGCATATGATGTGTGGAATGAGAATACTCAATAGGCAATCCAAAATTCAAAAGGCAAAATATACAACAACGGAAATAAAAGTTGTAAATGCTACTGATAAACTAATAATTTATTAGCAACCACAAAGGGAAGAAAGTAGAATTATTATTCTCTCCAAATGAGAAAACCAATGTAATTGTTTTTGAAATTAGTAAGCTGTAAAATTCAGTAAGAGAGCTAAGGAGGTAGTTCAAGAACAGAATGCTTCTAGTAAAAAGTTCTGTGTTTGCTCCCTTTACTACAATAATGAGTGAATGAATAAATGTGAATATGCTTATAGATATTGTAAAACTTGTAAAATATTTGCTTAACATGCCCAGGACCTAGGTTCATCACTAGTACCGAAAAATAAATATGCACATAAACATATATCCACATTAATATTAATTATTTTTGTCATAAGATACATTCCCTAGCAGAAATGAATTAGGTTTACTTTATTAAGTACTAAATATCTAGAACTTACTGTTGTTCATAATAAACAGTCTATTGTAGGTATTAATTAGCATAATCAATGATTGAGTGAGCTCTGTTAAATTATAAACTTGAAAACCTGAAGCCTGAAGCTAACATATTTAAGTTTATGGAAAGGTTCATTAATGTGAAGAAACTTCTTTTATCTTTATTTTTCCTCAAAGAAATTTGGCTATATTTGGAAGCCAACTAATAAATTCACCGAGTAGCATCTTAGTACTCATCATGTGGGAGACATTGCACTGGATGGGTAATACAGCAATGGTGTTAGAAACCAACATGGCTATGATGAAGGCTAGTTACACTGCTGGTAAAATTTGTAAGTAAGTTGGTCAAGACCCTCAAATTAATTACTACTTAAGAGAAATATTGTACCTGATGTCAGTAGAGCAGACATGTTTGTGCAACTAGGAAAAGAGAGTATGTCTAAAACCTGCTCAATATAGAACTTACAAAGATTCTTAAACCAATAATACAACCATTAAGATGAGTTCAAAAAATCCTGGACCTGGAGGGTAATGATGTAACAACAATCTTTCATGTTGTAAGAAAATAAAAATCCCACTGATTCACGACTTTGGAGTTAGAAGGATATATTTCAAACATATCGATGACACCATAACGATATTCCCTCTTTCATGTCTCGAAAGTGCAGTCTCATGGGTTTTATGTGCTCTGAAGTGAGACAACACTGCTGAACCTTGAAACCCTCAACCACAAGCATGTCACCTTTTTCCCTCTCCCTTCCATTCTCCATGACCCCCACGGACCCCTTCCCATCCCTCTTCTGCTCCACAGAAAGGGTGAGGCCTTCTATGGGGAATCATCAAAGTCTGTCTGCCATGTCTTTTATGCAGTAGAAATAAGCTAACTGTCACCACAGACAATGAGCCAGGGTTCTCTCAGAATACAGCTTGTGACACCACTGTCGGCCCACCAAAAGAAGACCCAATCCCCCTAGAATCTCCTCCTTGGACTAAACTATGAAGAGTAGAAAACACCAGTTAGGAAAATGTCCTTAGGCAGGGTGAAAGCTTGCCTTTTCCACTGGGCCAGCTTAATTTATTCATCTATTTAAAAACAAAACAACAACAAAAAAACTTCTTTAAGGTGTTATAAAAATACCGAAGAGGAGATTTGCTGTTTTCCCTCCAGATTCTATGAGTCAAAAACATGCAGTATTATGTATCAAGAAAATCCTATTGTATTTTATATATGAAAATTAACATAAAATCGAAAGGCTAAAAGGATTTTAATGAAAACATATTAATTCTAAAATTAGAGACAGGTCATATAAATGATCTCTTAAGTTAAAACCAAGAGAAACTATGTGGGCAGAGTAGGACATGAAAACACTAACACTACTAACAAGCATCACCTGTTTTGTTAGCCAGCTTTAAACCCCAAGCAGCATTCATGAGTTGCTGTCTATATTTACTTCTATCATAAAGTAATAAAGGAGGGTTTTAGAAATATTTTCTTGATATTTTGTTAACAAGGAGAAACAAAGGAAGCCGCTGTCATGGTCATTCAGTCCAGCATTGACAGAGACCACCATAACATGCATCCCACGATGCCACAGCACACATGCAGAACAGCTCCAGCACGTGATCAATCAATCACACAAGCCATAACCTCCATAGGAGTGAGCCAAAAGACGGCAAAGCTGAGTGACAGGCTGCAGAGACGCAATGAAGCAGACCATTTGGGAGCTGCGTTAAAACCTTCGATGTAACCTAACCTATGGTTACACACGGAGTGGAAGAAAAGACGCTCACTTTGAGTGATGCTGACATGTAATAAGAGCCACTAATCTGGAGACCACGCCTGCACATGCAGACAGGATCAGCCTCACAAAGGAGCCTGGGAGCTTAGTGGCTGACAAAAAGGATTTCCGAATGAGTTCACAACCATCACTGCAATGAGAGAATGTAGCAACTGCATAGCTTGCTGGAATTTATGTTCTTCTAAACGAAGAAACGAAGAAAAAGCCAAACTGTACACACTGAATATAATCTGGATCTATTCCTGCACTGGGATGTTACAAAAGCATGAAATGGTTTTCACAGACAAGTTATAACACACAGCCATAATGAGCTTTTGAGTCACCGATACTCACACATAAAAGGGGGCTCGATCGTCAGCAGGTGCTGCAGAGAATCTAGAATGTGAAGCATACACCGCGGCATCTTTTTACAATGGTGTTAACAAATGTCAATGTCTCGTGCTGAATGTGAGACGCATACATATGTAGTTAAAAGTGGGTGCTCCTGGATATTTTCCCCCCTTCCCACCTCCCTCTCATCTACACCTCCCCCAGGAAAGCATCTGCTCTTTCCTGGTGTCTATAGCAGTGATTATTAACAAGCATGGAAAAATGTAACTGCAATCAATCTTTTATTCCTTGATCAGGAATTCATCCCACACACTGGGTTAAGGCAGGTGAATTCTGATTCAGCTCAATAATTATCTGGCAGATGTTATAAACAGCTGCTGCTAAGCACAAAAGCCTGGCTATTATTACAGAAATGTGTAAGAGCTCCTGGCAAGGTAGAGTGAAAAGAAACAGGATGCGCTCTGGTGAGGCTTCACATCTGGCTTTCCACGGGAAACAAGGAGGCCTGGAACTTAACTGGCTGTTCTTGAACTCCGGAAACTCGGATTATCTCTTAGGCATGTCTGAATGCACACAAACTTCATAGTTATCTATCCTGAAGGGGAGAGAGGGGAGGGCATGCTCTGTCTCAACAAGCAATCCTTTCCCTATGGCCCAGTTGTGCAGCTGAGCCAGAATCTTTGATTCCTTTTTTACAGTTTCCAGCACTCCCCATTAATAAGCAATATATGGAAATTGATTAGACAGAGCTTAGAGCCAGGCAATGACTACAAAGCTTAATTGCCCAGAGGCAGTGATATGGTTCCACTCAGAGTAAAGGAACAACTGGACTTCCAGTTGGGAGGACTGCCACAGTGACTCCAAGGTAGCTCTGAAGTCCTGCTTCATGAAACGGAAGTGATAGAAAAGGGACAGGGCCAAAAACTCTTCAGAGAAAACCCAGAGAACACTGTTAACCAGCCCTGTTCAGTGTATTTCGCACAGCGTTTCATGTTTCTGCAAAAGAATTGTGGAAGAATGAACTGAATTTCTACCACGTGCTCAATAAGTTCATTTACAGTCATCTGAGTCAGCATCGGTGAACCTTTACAAAGAGATGGTGTATTTTGTGAGGATGCTGGTATGCGGGTGCAGAGGAGAATGAGGATGAAGTGTGTGTTTAGGACTAATTAGCATGTATGTGCTTAAGAGGAAGTCTGTCTAGTATATCTGTGTGAAAGATTGACATGTTTGTGTAACAGAGAAAGATTGCCTGGCGTGTGTGGAAGAAATACGGACATGTATTTTAAGAAAGAATTACTAGTGTGTGTATGAACACTTACACTCATGTAAGTGTGTGAAAATGACTAACTAGCGTATGAGGAATACACTGTGTGTGGGGGTGGGTGGGTGGGTGTGTAATACTAACTAGTTAATTACTGAAGATGATGGCAGATTTTCTTTTTCTTCCAGTTTTACATGTAAATGCCGCAGCATGTTTTGACTTCTGAGATGTGATACCATGTTGAGGAAGTCAGCCCTCTAGATATCTTTCAAAGTTATAAGAGAATTGGGATTTCTGGATGGGTATGCAAGTGAGGGGGAAAAGCAGAGACATAATACAAATCACAAGAAATGGGGGAAGCGATATCGAGACTTTAAATGTACTCAAAACTTCTCTGCAATTAGCTAGACGCTGAATGTATGCTTTGAGATACTTTTGAATTTCAACAATCATTTAGGGAGAATTCCAGTACCAAGCATGGGTTCTGATGCTGCAAGTGCCTAACACAAGCATCACTAAACAAGAACTGAATGTCCATTCCCCAGGCCATTTGCATTCCATACCACACCCAATCATGTAAGCTAAATACCCTGCAACAAACAATTTCCTTGTGCTCTACATCATTTGCCTTTAAGCAAAAGGAAGGACTTCCCACAAACAATAAAGAATAAACTGAAAAGTTTCTCCACTTTTGTACCCTAAAGACTGACTTTTTAAATAATGCTCTCCTGTAATCTTATCACTAAAAGACAATTAAGAAACAGACACATGATGTGAAGATTTTTTCCACTAAAAAGCAAAGCAGATCCACTATATAGTAAAGTCAAAAGGGCATGAAGAATATGAAAGCATGAGTTAAAGTTCTGTCTGAGCAACACTGAGTAACAGCCCTTCTATGTAAGACAGCAGGAACTGTTTGCAACGGGATGTGCTCCTGCTTAAAAATGGCAGAGTAGAAACCACATGATCTGTATAGTCTATCAATGCATATTCTGCAATGGAATGCCACTGGCAAAATATTATAGAAAAGTGCCCCAACATGAGCAATCACTACCGATCTAAGGTAAGCAGCCTTCCCCTTTGATCCCTTGCACAATAAACAAGAATATTCAATGATGAATGTTAGAAGGGAGAGTCACATTGGTGAGACGTGGCAATAAAGACTGAGCTGCATTTTATGCTGCCTCAAGGAACACCCAATGAGCTAAAAACTGAACCATTTGATGTGATTTTAGAACATTCTAGACTTGTAGGGAAATTCAAGCCCTTCCTGGCAAGATAAGATATAGGGTCTATAAGCAGAAGTTACCACACAGATCAGTGAATCTCCATGGGCACAAGGAGAACAAGAAAGGTGCTGGTTGACATGCCTTGTGCTCTTTGGTCTTCTTTATACCTGGCACCTTGAGGCCTAGCTTGGTTCTAGGAATCATATGGGGTACTTCAGGAGTAACTGCTTCTTTACACTGAGAGTTGGAGCCCCCCATGAGCCTGTGTGAGATTATAATATGTATGAAACATGGGATATCTCTCAAAGCTAGGGTTCTTATAGAGACACCAGAAAAGCAAAATCCAACATAATGTTGCACTGTTAGTAAATTCAAGTGTCACAATCTTAGCTATACTTTATCCAGAATCAAGAACTAATCAAAAGTTTACATGAAATGGGTTTACATGAAATGAACATGATAATTCTGTGCACTACATAGAAATATGTACTTACTAATAAGAAAAAATAGTCTTATTAATAAGATGAAATTCATGAATTCTCCAAGAAAAATGGGTCCAGATGACACTTACTTTATGTCAGGTCCAATAAGAGAATGTCTTCTCAACATGGCTCGTGCCTGGGCATTGGTTAAACTGATGGTTGATTCTTCATTAATGGACAAAATGCAGTCGCCAACAGCAATCCGGCCATCCCGACTGATGGCACCTCCATGAATAATGCTTCGGACAATCACTCCAAGGCCATCTTTGTTAGCACTGACTGTCATCCCTGTAGGAAGAACAGAGTGCTGACAAGGACCATAGACATGTTTTCAAACTCACTGGAATTTAGCATTCACTTATGACTTTGTAGATAAAAGAGTATGAGTCATGGTCTTCATTACTAAGTTTTTCTAAAATATTTTTTTAATTTATTTTGTCAGTCATAGTTGTGTTTGTGTGATATGTATGTGAGTGCACCATGGTGTACATGTGGACACCAGAAGGCAACTTTTTGGTCACTGCTTTTTATCTGCTATTGTTTCCAGGGACTGACTTAGGTCATCAAGCATGCATGGCAGTCATTTTTACCTGTTGAGTCATCTTGCTGGCCCATAATAAAATATTCTCAAGTGATTTAAGATGTTAGTGAAATTGTGTAGAGATAAAATATTCCATGCTTAATGCGTAAAACCTTAAAACAATTTACACTTCAAAACTCATGGTAATTTACAGCATTTGATGTGGTCTACCTTTCAAGATACACATTCTCTTAGAGAAAATACCATATGGTATCAGACTAGTTTTCTAACAGCTGTTTATATCTTTACATGTAACATAATAAAGACAAGACTCCAAATGGATAGGTTAAGAGGAGAGTTACTACCTTAGGTCTAGTTCACTCATTCATCTTTGTCTGTATAGCAGGTGGATGCTATGTGAAGAATCTGACACAGGTTTCTTGAGATACAAAACACAGAAAACAGATCTCCCAACATCCTGCAGTCTAGGATAAAGTCTTGACCCCAGAGCCTGCCCTGTGTTTGAATGGTGTCTATTGACCCAAACCAAGAAAAATGGAATTCTCATCCACTTCATTTCTGTCTCTGAACTCTATTCAGGTCCCAGTGTTGGCATTAGATACTGTCTTCACATACTGCTTGGATTTCATATCAAGAAAAAATGAAATCTTAGTCATTATAGTGCTGTATAACTTTTAATTTTCACTTCCTCTCATTTCTACTTTCTTCCCTTTCTTGATAAAAGGTGTTGCCCTCCTATCATAGTATCCTCCAAAGTCATTCTTTGTATGCATATTGGTGTGTGTACTGGTGGTTGTGGTGGTGGTGGTGTGTGTGTATGTGTGTACATGTGTGTGGGCCTGTGGTGCATGTGTGTACAAGTATGTGTGGATGTCAGAGGACAACCTTGGGTGATGCTCCTCGGGCATCTTCAATATCTTGATCGTCTGAGACAAAGTCCTTCATTGGTCTGGAACTTCACCAGGTATAGTAGGCTAGCTGGCTTGCAAGCTACAGGACACTACTTATTTCTGTCTGCCATCTCATCATAGCTGGGATTACACCCTATAACACCCATGTGACCTTTAATGTAGGCTCTGATGATCTCAACCAAGGCCCTCACACTTGATTGGTATGTTTCATCAGTTTAACCATCTCCCCAGTCCTGGAGTTGTTCTGGTTACTATCTGACATCTCCCCCCTAGACTTATTACATCCCTAAGACCTACCATTTCTATCTCTAAATATTACCTTGAATCTTTGCTTTTCTGCACTTCTACATAATACCTGGATCAAGCCATTACTACCTCTTGCTTATAATTTTGCGGCCCCTCAAGTAGTCATCTGCTTTCTGATATTGTCCATTCCAATGCACTGTACTCACAGTAGAAAAGCAATTCAAAAGAGAAAATCATAGCCTATGTGTACTCTGCATGAAGCCCTGCAACAGTTTACTAAGACATAACATACCTCTCAGGTAGAGTCCAGAGAACACAGGAGACCTGTTCTTGAAACTTGTGTCCTTCCCTTCTATCACATCGTCCTGGGCCCTTGAGTTCCAGTCATAGCATGGCTGCCTTCTCTCATATATATAATTAACCTCTTCCTGTTTCTCTCTTTAGTTGATACTCTATTTGCAGTATGTTCTTACACAAATAATTCATTCTAACGTTTCTGCATCACTTTCTCCAGGCAGCCATTCCATGTATGCTATTTGAATTACTGTTACCTCAACGGCTTATCCGTACCCTATTCCCACATAAAACCTCTAAATTTATATTTAAAACATTTCAACTACAATGTAATTCACTTTAGTACAGTGGTAATATTTTCTTTTCAAACAAGTTTTTATGGATAAACAAGACAGGATATAGATAAAAAGCCATCAAGTATTTTTCTTGGTTTTTTTTCCTCTTCTTGTTACTTGAGAGGTTTTGTTGATGTTGTTGTTATTGTTATTTTAAAACACAGTTTCACTATATAGCTACGGTAGACTTGGACTCACTATGTAGAATAAATTGACTTCAGAGAGCTCTTCCTGCCTCTGCCCCCTCCCAGTACTGGGATCAACATGCTGGTATTAAAGGCCGAGAGCCACCACACTTGGAACTTTTTATTGGTTTGTTGTCATTTTGTTTTGGTTTGAGACAGGGTTTGACTCTACAATTCTGATTAGCCAGGAACTTGGCATGTAGACCAAGCTATCCTTGAACTTGCAGCAATTCACCTGTCTCTGCCTCCCAAGTGCTAGGATTATAGATATAAATCATACCATAATGATTTTATTAAATAGAATATTAAATAGAAACTTTGACAAAAGTAAAAAAGTCATTGTTAGGCTATTTTCATCATAAAATATATTTTATTATCTATCTAAGTATGAATATCAACTATATCAAATCATATAATTTTGAAGTATTTCTGATTATGTTCCCTGTAATATTTACATTCCAGTACCACAGGCCTGGATATAAGAAATCCACTGTCTTATAGTTAAAATGCTAAAATCAGACAAAAATAATATTGAAAACTGCAAGACAAAAGGGTCAAGCCACTAAACAGGCAAACATATTAGGATAACACCAGGTCATTTGATTGAATGCCAGAAAGACCTGGAAATATGCAAATTAATCTCCGAACAACCACAACTGCCAACAGTCTACTATACTCAGGAAAACTACCTATTAAAATTGAGAGAGAAATAAAAAACTTTCCAGATATATATAGACCAGGAATTTATGACCACTAACCCAGCTCTACAGGAGATGCTGGAAGGAAAACTTCCTCGAGAAAAGAATAAAAACATCAAAGATGCCAAAAATAATAAATAAACAATACTTGGACAGTTAATAAAAAGAGATATAAGAAAATGCCACAGAAAAGATGGGACTTGCATCCATCTTTCAATAACAACTCTAGCTAGCAGGAAAAGAACAGACTATTGGACTAGATTTGAAAACATAACAGAATTTGCTTTTTCTTCTGCCTTCAATAATATAACTCACCTCTAGATATTTATATCACTTTTGAACAAAAGGATGGAAAGTTATTCCAAGCAACTATAACCAAGAAACAAGCAGGTCTAACTATTTCAGCAGCCAACAAAATAGGCTTCAAACTGTTTGGTGGTGGAGTAAATACATTTCCACAGTGTTTTCTAAATGCGGTTTCTCTAGCACGAGTTGTTTAATAATAAAAAGGCTCCTGCATTTCTGTAAAAGTCACCATGTTACATTCCATTACCATTTCTCAGAGATCCACAATGCACAGCGGCATCCAAATCTGCTGCAAGGATGGGGAATCTTACATTTGCCACAACCCAAAATATGAAGTATAGAACTTGCTGAGAACTCTCACCAATATCCTACAAAGTGAGACCACCACCTGGCTTTCAACACTCTGCTGGGCAGCAGTCAGAGCTGAATAGATGACAGTAAAACTTATCTTAAGACCGGTGAGTTGAAGAAGATCCCAGAGCCAAAGCAAATCACTGAATTTAATATGCATGTATAATATGAATATTTAATATTCTATTGATTATATTTACATGTAATATGTTTGATTTAAATTATATACCCTATTTAATATACATTTATCTTATGAATAAGAATATAAATAAAATCATGTGACTCGTGCAATTTTTTCATTTCCTTTTTCAAATCATTTTTTTCCTATGCAATTATATGTAGTACAGCAAAACACATCCTAGTCTACAATTCTCCTATCAGCTGGTATTGGTACATTATCCAGTTAACACCAAACAGAACAAAATCTAGGAGAGTTTGGGGGGTTCTAGAAATGTCGCTTCTGAGTCTCGATTTCCAACAGAAAGCAGCTCCAGGGGCGGGATACCTTTTTAAAGGATGCTTGCTGGTTGGTCACTGCAGGAAGACAGTCTTCGATGGGAGCTAACAATCGGTACATTTGGTCATTTGAGGTTCTGATGGATGGTCCTCCATCAGTCCCAAGAAGAGAGAGGCTGCCTCTCTCAGTGCAAGAACAGGTGCACTCTGTCCCAGCAGCTCTACCAACTGTCACCAAAGATTCAGTGCCTCAAGAAATTTGGGGCCATTTAGGTTTTCTGATTATGAAGTAGGCAAAGCCTACTATCCCCCCAGGAGATTCTGTGTGTAGAGTTATTCCGGGACAAACGGAGACTATGAATCACCTGCATTTATATTTTGGTAGTGGCACACCTGGCAGTCGTTAGTCTTTCTATCAGTGAATGAAAGAAATTAAATACAATCTGACGCTCGCATAACTAGCAATATTCAAAGAAAGTAATAATTTACTTTCCCAAAGAACATAGAATCCCAATTGCTGACTTCTCCTTTTCAAAGAGTTCCTTTTCTGATTTACTACTTCACACACACACAATTCATGTAACTTTTGCTTGAACATAAATGAGATTTTTGAATACTTGGAAATAAGAGAACAAGGGATGTAAGCTAGTATGAAATAAACAAACCCTTCCCACTTCACGAAAAAATAATGAGCACATAAAAAGAAGCAAGAACATTTCTAGCATCTATTCTCTGCAGATAAAAATGAGGTTGAAATCTACTGTCCTCTTGTGGTCTAAGGAGCAGCGCTACAGGGAAGACAAGGAACTTACCCAGACTGGAGCTGCCCTTTGCTATAGTGACTGTCCTTTCGAAAGCTTCATGGGACATGCTTTGCAGGGGGACAGACTCGGCATCAGAAGCCAGAGAGCTCTGTTCAGTTAAATACTCGGGACCCCAAAAGAAAGAAAATGAAAGTCACATGGAAGGAAAATTAGACTTTGGATTGGTCATTCCAACATTGCCCATGCTCCCCATGAGGTTTGCTTTAGCAAGAACCTACAATCAATCAAGTTCATAGGTCACTTCAGAGTCACATAAGTACTCATTCAAAACTAGAAGAGTCTCAGGATATACCTTTTCTCTCTCCCCCTCCCCCGTCACCAACCTAATCACATCACCAGGTGCTAGCTCCAAGATGGTACCTTTTGAGCTGCGGTAGGCAGGGCAGGGGCAAGCTCTGTGGTGCACAGGCCACTTGGTACCTGTGAGTGAGTCCATGCTACTGTGTTTGCACATTCATATTTTGGTTCAGCAGCATTTGCAGGTGTATAGTCACAGACGGCAGAACCAGAGGTAGCTGCCACGCTCATATGTGGGAGAGGAGAGGCAGCCTGCTGTCTCTGCAGGAGGTTCTGTGTATAGAGTTCTTCCAGGGACAAATGAAGACCACGCACTAGGTCAGAACTTCCAGTCACATCCTGACAATGGAGAGACAAAGCTACTCATCAAAACTGAGACTTAAGAGTTATATCAATTTATTACAAGCCATTTTTAGTGAATTACTCTTTTTTGAAAAATAAACCACACTTATTCATTGCTTTTAAAGCCTTGCAAATATGAATTCCTCACTGAGCATGTTTCCTGCATGTTTTTTAAAATTCATAAATGTTTTCCATCACATTTTTTACAAATCTTGGATCCCATGTTCTACTGTTACACTTGAAAAATAGGTCAAATATAAGACAATTTTAGATACAATATTTAGTGCTAGCTATAAACAAAACAATTCCAAGTTAAAGATACACAGAGAAGCAAACAGCTTATATTTCCAAATCACACTTGCTGGAAGCTGTGGTATATTGAAAGTACCAAGTATAACAGCCATGGGCCTGGACCTTCCAGGAGCAAGTTATTTACAGATAATTATTGGTATTCGTTCAGAAGAATAGAAAGTCTTGAAATTCAGATTACTGTAGGAAAATCTGCATGTTCTACAAGATCAAACAAGTATAGCAGAGAGTCCTAAAACCTATGTTCAAATCTAGCTTCCATCATTAGCAATCCGTATATAAAAGAACATCTCTCAACAGCTACCTACTAAAACATTTCTAAAATTCCTTGTAAGTTTAAAATTCTACAGACCTATATGAATGCACATGTTGCCTCACAACAGACATATTTTAGCATTTACACCCTTGGGGCAAGCATCTGCTTTACAGACTGCTGTTAAGAAGTATATGTTTCCCTTAGATTCTCCTATCAACCTTTCTGTTTCCTTTCTTATGACACTGGGAATCAAACTCCGGACTCTGTACACACTCTGCAAGTACAGTATTGGGAACAGCATTCAAAGCACTCTCAATACTTTTAAAGTGCAACTGTCTTAAGAATACATTCACACATAAAAAAATTCATTTTGTACAAATATATGCTACTTATGGACAGAGCAGGCTACAGAGGTCTGTACTTGTGGCGCATTCATCCATTTACTTGCCCAGGACATATGTCTGGAGTCAAACACTGATCCACCCATTTTTATACATTTGCAAAATATTCATGCAAGCATGTATATATCCTCACACATAAACTTGATATATTAAGGTCTAAACAGAACCATCATTAAGTGGTATTTAGACTTTTCTCCAGTCTCTTTGCATATTGAGGTCATTATTTAAAGGCCACTCCACTCTCCTCACGGGTATAATTATCGCTGACAGGCAATGGTTGACTATCACTCTAGAAGCCTCAGTTCAGAGACCGGTTCACAATTCCTACAAGCTTTGGCAGAGTTCTTACTTAGCACTGTCCACTCTGTTCCTCTGACCTATTTCAAGGGTAAAAATAATAGACTAGAGCACAGGACTTTTGAGGGGGGAACGAGAAGAGTTTTGAAAACTAGTCTTGACTTCATGGGAATATCCAATAGATCTTAGCTACCTCAGTTACTTATGTAACACACTGTTGTATAGCCAAACCAAGCTTGAACTCGTAGAGCAATGGCTCATCTATTCCAGTGTTCTCTCTCAGAAAGTGACAGCGGGGTGCCTGTGAACTACGCGTACAAGCCTCTGTTGGCTTGGAAATGAGATCTGGAATGTGAGCTCTCTCTCCACATCCCTTTTGCCCGATGCAGTCACTTTTATTTTCAGGATGTTAAGTCTGTACTGGAAGTAGCTTACCAGCATTCTGAGTCTACATGTGTAGTATTTTATAATGACGAAATTCTTTACAAAACCAAGTATGTCGTTTGGGGCATTGTGGGGTGGGGGTGGGGGCATGTTCTAGGATTTTTCTTCTACTTTACAAAGAATTGACATTTTAGATTATCCAGAACCCACTTCAGGTGTGGGTCTCGCCTTTGTTAGGAACTTAACCATTTGAAACAATCTACTGTACTTCCTGTCTTCAATTTAAGTTGTCACTTTTCTAAATTATCAGATATTCCTAGCACAGAGAACAGATGCGGTGGTCACTCACAGAAGTACTTATCATCATTGGTATCCTTAGGAAGAAAGCATAGGAAGAGGCTGTCTGGACACCGCACAATCTAGATAGACTGTTGGCTCCTATATCCAACTTCAGTTATTTTGTTGTTAAAAAAGAAAAACATACTTAGTAAAGGATTGCTAAGTTTCAAAGTTACTAAATTAATTATAGTAATTACCAGAAAAATCATCTCACGCATGCCTCAAAGAAATAATCAAAACTGCTTTTTATCAGAACAAGCAGTCTTATCCACCCTTGTCAGCTGGGGTTTACTGGAAACTGTGTGACAAAAATGTCCATGCATTGTTCATATAAGGTTGTAGAGACATACTGAAAAGGTGTTAAAAGGTCAAATATAAATGAAAAGCTGTATCTCTTAAGCTTAATGCAAGACTGAAGGTTGCCCATTACCACGCTACTGTGGAGATACACTGTGTATGATTTAATAAAGCTTGCCTGGGACTCAGAATGCAACGGGAAACAAAAGCCATAGAGGTCAGGCAGTGATGGTACAGGTTTTTAATCCCAGGACTCAGTAGACAGAGGCAGATGGATCTCTGTCAGTCTAAGACCTCCCTGGGCTACACAGGAGTGAATCAGTCTAAAAGAGAAACAGAGTTCATGTCTTTAATCCCAGCACTATAGAAGTATTTAAGAAAGAAGCAAAGGGTCTCATGGGAAATGCAGTTTCCAGTCACAGGGAAGACATTTCAGCCTTGGCAGAGGTCAGAACCACTGGCTGGATTCTTTACTTTTCTGATCTTCAGCTTGAATCCCAACATCTGTCCCTGAGATTTTATTATTTGTACTATTCACCATTTTCAGGAAAATGATTTATATAGATTACCCAAACAATGAGGTTGCTGACAGCTTCAATAGCAATGCAACAGAGAATTCCCATTGCACATTATAGTCCTACCGCCTCTACCTTACCGCCATTCTCCTACTTTCTGAATTGCATTCTTCCTTACTGTTTTCATGTGGCTCCCATGTTGTAAGGATAACATCTTTCCTTCTTAATAGCCAGCAATTCCTCCACTATCCTTTGCAGTTGTTTTCTGCCTTCAAGTACTTCAGACAGTTTCCAATCATATGCCCTTCATCAAAACCATCCCAGAACAGATGCAACTATAGACACAGCAGGGTCATATGCTACAGAATGCCAGAAGCAGAGATGTGCAGGATGCCTGGCTGCTTTTTATTATGATGGGATCCATTAGTTGTGCTTGCTGTGTTAAGTGAATAGGGAGGTTTATCTTAGCAAACACAACTTCACTCTGTACTAGAACACACAACATTTCCGGGAGAACTAGCTGTCAGTCGTGGCAGACAGTTTCATCGCTGGTGACAGGCTAAGAATGTGGGTGTAATAGGAGATAGATAACGGGGAACATAACATAGCTATAATATCTTTACCAATTGTTTTCTTAGGTCATTTTTTTAAAGCAAGAATTTCTTCAGAAACTATGTTGAGCCTTTAAATAAGCATCATCTGACATTTAATTTTGGAAAACAATTATTACAGCAATTTGTCATGTTTAAGCAATAAAGAAAATATAATAAATTACATTTTTCAAATTATCTTCCAAATTGAAACGTAAATCAACCAAAAAAAAGTTCAATGGTGACAGCTAATTGATACTAAAATATACTTTTTATTTATTTTTATTTCCTGGGTCTCTTGAGACAGGAATTTACTATGCAAATCTTTCCTGGCCTAGAACTCTAAATCCTCCTGCTAAAGTCTTGACTGGCTAGACTTTGTGGTACAGGCCTTAACCCCAGCACTGAGGGTTGAGGTTGGAGCAGTGGCAGGCAGAACTCTTGCATCGCAATTTCCAGGCTACCCAGGGCTCATAGTAAGACCCTGTTTAAAAAAAAAAAAAGTCTGCGAGTGATGAGGAGACCACGATGCTCAAAAGATATTTTAATAAACTGCCTCTAACTCAGATGATACACACAGACATGGCTAGTTTAAATCTGTAAGTATTAATGAGTAAAAGTAAAATATAATATGCACGCCCCTGCCAAAATGGAGACGGGTGTGAACAAAGGCAGCAGCTCCCAGCTGCTTAGCCTGCTGAACTAAACTCTGCTCAGAAGTTTAGGACTCCCCCATGGGCGAGCGCATGCTCCAAGGTCAGGTCTTAAAAATCCCAGTGGCGTGCCTGCAAGATGTAAAGAAGGCTCTCCACAGAGGTGAGCTCCATTTCTAGTCTCTACGCAGTAAGTAAAAAATAACTGGAGGAAACGCTGAGGTCCTAGGGTTCTACTTCATCATTCTCACCAATGTGTACATGGGCATCTTCCTTTTTCCATAAATACCCATACGTATGATATGGTCATATAGTGTATACCACCACATCTGCTTAAATAGCCGTAGATGTTAAAGGTATAGTTCTAGTAACTGAAAAGTCCTGATGTAAGCTTCCATTTTAATAAAAGGTCTATTTCTGAATTTCTTAACAAGCCCAAATGATGAACTTAATGCAAACAGAGAGGGTAGATCATATAATTTATTCAGTTTTATAATTTTTCCTAGTAGAAATCTAGGTACGCAAATTCAGAGACAAAAACAAACAAAAGCAAAACACAAGAAAACACCAGAATTGCAGTATTTAACTAAGGAAACTGAAAGCCCACAGGAGGTTTAAACACCCTCATTAATGTTTTATTTGTTGCTTTTTAGTTTAAATATTTCAGTTGTCAGGCCAGCTTGCCAAACTTTGATTCAACAAAAGAGTAAACTGCTTAGGAAAAAAATGAGGCAAACAGACTTCAGCAAGTCAATATGTTGTGCTGCATATAGCCAGTGTTTGCCCTGTAAAATATATGCTTCTCAGTATGCAGATTGTGTAATCCCTTTAAGTAATAATTACTACATTAAACAATGCAATCTGTCCCACTGGCAAGAAAAAGTGTGCTATGCTACGGATTAGGAGATCCCACCAGGATAGGAAACAAGCTTCCAGCCCCTAGGCTAGTCAGGGATGAACACAGTCCACACGGCCTGCAGCCAGGGACCTCAGGTGTGCAGGCGAGCAGTGACTGCTCACTAAAGACGGTACCTTGCAAACCAATTCCAGGAGGGTGCCCAGTGGCATGGGCAAGGGAAACAGGTGCACTTCAGACATAACACAAAATGTTCTGCAAAATGTCCTAGCCAAAACCAGCTGTTAATCAGAAAAGGAAGGAAACAAAGCCAGACCTAAGGGATCCTGCTCCCCAACCTACTCCTGAACTGGGTCCTTTCACACTGAATTCAAAGTAGTAGTAGAGAACACATTATCACTTTAAGAAAAAATGTTGTCTAGTTTCTGTATTTTCATGTGTATTTCCAACACAGAATTACATCCACACATGAACTGCCTACATGGTCTGTTCCAGTCTCAGTCGTTATTGCACAAAACACATAAATTGGGGCAGAGCCCCCACATGTCCTAGTTTTATTGGAAGTAAATTGAGTACTGAAGTTGGGAAGGACCACATCTATGAATTTTAGGTTTTTCTCTACTGAAAAATACACAGATATTTATAATGTATATATGCATGTATTATTAATTTATAAATCAGTTCCTGGACATTGTAACAAATCAACAAAATGAGCAGCCAATATCAAATAAAAATGACTGAAATAGATGTAGACATCAATGATAAGTGAAAAACAATGGATAAAATACAGAGAAGCACACAGTCTCAAGGAATCAGAAAACCCAAATTAAAATATGTATCAACATGCCATTTTGAACATATATCCTTGTTGTATGAATGTGCATCCTTTGGGTATATGCCCAAGAGTAGAATTCCTGGATCATGAAGTAGACCAATTTGCATTTTCCTGAGAAAATGCCATACTGATTTCTAAAGTGGCTATACAAGTCTGCACTCCCACCAACAATGGAGGAGTGTTCCCCTTTCTCCACATCCTCACTAACACAGACTGTCATTGGTGTTTTTGATTTTTCCACTCTGGCCAGTGTAAGATGGTATCTCAGAGTTGTTTTGATTTGCATTTCCCTGATGGCTAAAGATGTTGAATACTTTCTTAAGTGTCTTTCAGCCATTTTAGATTCTCTACTGAGAATTCTCTATTCAGTTCTGAACCCCACTTTTTAATTGAATTGTTTGGTGTTTTGGTGACTAGCTTCTTGAGTTCTTTGTGTATTTTGGAGGTCAGCTCTCTGTCAGATGTGGGATTGGTGAAGATTTTTTTTCATTCTGTGGGCTGCAATTGTGTCTTGCAATGTCAATTGCCTTACAGAAGCTTCACAGTTTCAGGAGGTCCCATTAATTAACTGTCAATCTCTGTGTCTGTGCTAGTGGAGTTAGGTTCATAGCCACGTTATTCATAGGCACATTATTTGTAATAGCCAGAACCTGGAAGCAACCTAGATGCTCCTCAATTAACAAATGAATGGAGAAAATGTGGTATATTTACACAATGGAGTACTACTCAGCAAAAACACAATGGAATATTGAAAATTGCAGGAAAATGGATGGGACTAGAAGAAACCATCATGAGTGAGGTAAGCCAGCCACAAAAAGACAAAAATGGTATGTACTCACTTGAATATGGATTTTAGACATAGAGTAAGGGGCCAGCCTACAATCCACCCTACCAGAGAAGCTAGGAAACAAGGAGGACCCTAAGAAAGAAATACATGGTCCCCCGAAGAAGGGGAAAGGGACAAGAAATCCTGAACAAACTGGGAGCATGGTGGGGGAGAATGGGAGCAAGGTAGTAAAAAGAGAAGGGAAGAAGAGGAGGGAAGAGAACAAGAGGGATCAGGAAGACAGAGACAGGGGAGGAATAGAGGAGAGCAAGTAAAGAGATTCCTTAATAGAGGGAGCCAGTATAGGTTTAAAGAGAACTCTGGCACTAGGGAAATGTTCAGAGATCCACAAAGATGACCCCAACTAAGAATCTAGGAAGTAGTGGAGAGGCCACCTTTGATGTCCTTCCCCTATAATGAGACTGATGACTACATTATTTGTCATCCAAGAGCCTTCATCCAGTAGCTGATGGAACAGAAGCAGGCACCCTCAGCTAAACACTGAGCTGAACTCCTGGAATCCAGTTGTAGAGAGGGAGGAGGAATGAGCAAAGGAGTCAAGACCATGCTGGAGAAACCTAAAGAACCAGTTTACCTGACCTAGTGAGAGTACATGACACCAGTCATAAAGTTGGGGAACCAGCACTGGACTGAACCCACTCTGAATGTGGGTACCAGTAAGCGGGACTGGGCAGTCTATGGGACCACAAACAGTGGAACCAGTATTTACCCCAAGTGCACAAATGGACTTCAGAAGCCCATTCCCTATGGAGGGATACTGCTTCAGCCCAGATACAGGGGAGAGGGCCTAGGCCCTCCCCCAAATGATATGACAGACTTTAACCATCCCCCATGGAAGGTCTCACCATCCTTGGGGGGCAGGTGGAGGGTGGATTGGGGGGAGTTGGTAGGAGATATAGGAGAATGGAAGGAAGAGAGAAGGGGGATTGATATGTAAAATAAAATTGTCTCCAAATAAAACAAAAAAACAAAAAAATATGCCAGTTTGTACTTAAAAGTTTGCAGAGGTTTTAAAATGTTACTTCTGAACAATATAGGGTATTTTACCAAGAAAATTAATAGAGTATTAGCATTTACAATAATAACCCATTTTTAAAGTAAAGACAGCATATCCACTGACACAACATATACTGCCTTCCCCTACAATCTTTATGTAGAGTATTCTTTGACACCACTTTACACTGATAAGTATAACACTAAGTATAAACTAGCTAGCAATTGTTAAATTACAATAAACTTACTATACCCTTTTGCCTAAAAGTTGGTTTAAAAAATACTAAAAATAATCATTCTAATTTTTCTAAATACATTGCTAAAAGCATAATTTAAGTAATAGATTATGAAAATCTTAAAAAAATTTTGGGGGGCTGGAGAGATGGCTCAGTGGTTAAGAACACTGACACTGACAGTTCTTCCAGAGGTCCTGAGTTCAATTCCCAGCAACCACATGGTGGCTCACAACCACCTTGAATGAGATCTGGTGCCCTCCGCTGGCATGCAGGCAGAAGACTGCATACATTAAAAAAAATTTTGAATCTTTGTTTCTATCAGTCTGTGTACCAAACATTGAACTCATCACTAGTAATCTAAACAATCAACAACATAGTGAAATTACCCTGACCTGAAGTGAATCTGTGACCGGAGAGGCGTGACATCATGAAGATGCTATGTGGTGGTCTGATTGAGCATGGCTCCCATAGGCTTATAAATTTGGCTCTCCATTGATGGACTATCTAGAAGGATTAGGGGCCGTGGCTTTGTCGAAAGAGGTGTGTCACTGGGAGAGGGCTCTGAGGTTTCAGAAGTTCACTCCAGATCCAGTGCCATCATCTACCTGCCTTGCTTGTGGGTAAGATATCAGCTCTTAGTCACCACTCCAGTGCCCTGCCTCTCGGCCCACCCCATGCTCCCTGCCATGAAATGGACTTATCCTCTGATGGCTGGAGGCAAGTCCACAGTTAAATGCTTTTTTTTTTTTTTTGAGCTATCTTGGTCACAGTGTCTCTTCACAGCAACAGAACAGTGACTAAGGCCTGCTACTCCTACAATCCAAATAAACTCTGACCTCCAAAGATTACACACAGACTTTTCTTTCCAAAATAAAGTGACATTTGTGTTTTACCTTGGGAGGAGATGAAGGAAGGGAGGGGCTGTAGTTCATGCCATCACTGCAGGAACTATCGTGCAGAGATAAAACGGAGGCCTGGGTAGAGTAAACACTGTCATTATCAGGAGAGAACGGAGACTCAAATCTTGACTCAGCTACTGACTCAGCATCAGGTGCGTCTATCTAGGATAAAATCAGACCAGCTGGTTACCGTACCCTCTCAAACGTCATTGCCACTCCCCGAACTAAAAGGCACAGCTGCACCGTCTTTGTCTGCCCTGCTTTCTGCGTGTGTCTTCCCTACTCTTAACCGCCTGACAGACGCATTGATACAGCAGCACAAAGATGGACACATCACCCACACCAGAGGCCGCTGTCTCCGGACGCTATTATACCACATCGCATCCACTAAGAAACTAAAGGTAACAACTAACAAAGGAACTCATGTTAAGTTTAAACACTTACAGAATCAAGGAAAATACGCAACATTTTATGATGCAAAGAATTTCGTTATCATACTTCATATTTAATAATCCATTGTTCATAAAGGCAGCTATGTGATTGTCTAGCTAAGATGCAGAAACCAAAGAGTAACTTTGTGTTTGAGCTAGAATCGCACTAGTAATGAAGGGGACTGATCATGAACTGGTTACCAGAAGAATTAAATAATAAAAATTTCAATATTACAAGCCATATTAATGAAAAAAATGGTAAAATGCCACTGGAACATTTCAAAGTGAGTCCCAAAATATAAATTCATAGGCTGGTAACATATTTTAAATATTTGCTCAAATTCACTAAAAAGCTACAAGGTGGAGGCTATTGTCTACACATGTACATCGTGTAAAACAATCTGAGCAATAAATATTTAGTGTGTGTTATCCAGTATTAACTGAGACTTATGCCAGATTATAATAGACAAATGTTTGCATTAAAGCACTACTAAAATGAATACTCCGATTGAATTAGTATATTTTTCATTGCTGCCTTTCAGTCTTAGGAATCCTAACATTCAATTAGCTCAGTTACTGTAGGGATGCAACATGAAGTTCCCTGGAAGTTGAGTGATCAGTTCAAGACAACAGACCTCATTGGAAATATTGAAGACTCCTGTGACTATTACAAGACATTGAGCTTTCATAAGAACAGAAGTAATCCTCTCAATTGACATTCATTTAAAGGGGTTCAAAATTGTCATCCAAACCCTAGAGAGGATACAGTTTTATGGTGTACTTTAAGGACGATGAGCTGGGATGGCTGCTTAAGCCCTTAATCCCAAAACTCAGGAGGCAGTAGCAGATGAATGGATAACTGGGAGCTGTAGACAAGCCATGGCAACATAGTGAAATCCTGTCTCAAAAAAAAAAAAAAAAAAAAGAAGGAAGGAAGGAATGATACCTTTGTGTACTACGATGTTTCAAAATGGATTTGCTATGACAAGGTATGATATATTGTAACACCTGACAAAGTCCAAAACACTTTAAATTATAATGCCCCTGGAGGAGGGCCAAAGTCATCTCAGATTTTAAGTATAATGTGAATGTATTATACTTACTAAAAATATATCAAAACATCCCCAAAATAGCTATTCAAGAGTTTGTAATTTAAAAATACTAACAAAAAGAATTATCTTCCTTCCAAATTAGTACTGGCACAATTTGTAACGTCAAAGACCTAATTCACACTCTCTAGCTTAAAGCAATGTGTGCACATTGGGCGTCTACATACACTAAGTGATTCAATGAAACTTCAGCAGAACATTTATTTAAAAATCAGTCAGTTGTGGCCACTAACCAGAGCCAAGTCAGCCCTGAAGAGGGCTTTGTCAGTCAGGCCTGGCTCCTTGCAGGAGTGTGGTGGGCAGAGAAAGGCGTCCTCCTTGGCAGAAACATATCCTTCTTCCGGTGAAAGCTGCAGGACATTGGTGTGGAGAAAGTTTGTGGGACAGAAAGAACAACAGGGAGGATGGGGAAGGGGAAGGGGGAAGAGAAAGAAGAATGAAGGGAGGAAATGGAGTCTTCACGTCATAACACATGACCTCAACACAGAAGGAAAACTACAAAGTTAGGCAAATGCTAATCCTAGTCATTTCATAAATAATTAGATGAGAATCCCTTTCTACTATTATTATTCTTACAAATTACAATCAAAATCAATGATTTTTATACTAATCTTCTGGTCATTTTAATCTGCTAAATATTCTGGCTAAATAATGACAGGCAATTTTAAATATTAAGACTTTAAAAGTTGCAGAATGAAGCATTAAAGAAAATCAATGTTTTGTTCTCTCTTTCTCGATTTTTATAAAGGATGCAGTTTACTTGACAAAGACTGTTACTGAGGACATGATGACTCATCCAACATCTCTAAAATAAGTGGAAAGCACTTCTTCCCAAGCAGCCACTAGAATTCTTTTAAGAAACTTTGGAAACACTTAAAACAACTACCTGTCCCCCAAAATTAACAGAGGAGAATTCGGGAGGTTAAATACCACACAGCTTGTAGGACCAAATGAAACTAAACTGCAGAGGGGTACCATCTGCCTGAATTCCCCTCTTGAACTCCTCCTGCAATTCTGAGACACTGAGAACTCTATACTTGTATTCTACTTTCTAATAAAAAGGGAAATTTCTATCGTCTTACCACATCACCTACTATCAGTAACCTGTGCAGAACTTTTATAGGAAAATCATTTTTCTTATCTGCCTACAGATTTGTTTGTTTTTATTCAGGCTCACCTTTAAGTGACAGAAATACTCAGTATGTTTCAGTGCAAACAGAATATGAAACACCAAATATTGCCCTAGAACTAGCTACAAAAAGATTTTGCTTCTAAATAACTATTGTTTTCTCCTTTAGTAGCAGTCAAGTGTCTCCCCAGTCAATTCTCTTACAAATATATGAGAAATTAATAAAATGCAAGTTCTTACCGGCAAAGGCTTGGCCACACCTATCCGCACCATCCCTGAGGGCGCTCCCTTCAGGGCCTCCACAGCCTCTTCAAGACTGCTGTTTTCCAGGTTAATGTCATTGACAAACATGAGTCTGTCTCCAGGAAGAAGCCGGCCATCCTTCTCAGCAATGCCACCAGGCACCAGAGAACGAATGACTATCACAGTGCTTTCTGGGTCGATGGGGTCCTAACAGGCAGGAGGGTGAAAAGAAGTCGGCTCATGGTGACATCGGAAGTGTATTTTACAAGCTTTCCCCTCAATTGTTGAGTGTCTTGTTTTCATGGAGGTTCTAATGAATACCTAGGACAAGGTGATGTCTATTTCATTTTAGAAAGATCAGAGGAGTTTGCCAGAAACAATGAAAACCTCATTTGCTAGTGTTAAATTTACCCCTAGGTAATACTAGATAACTTCAAGAAGAAATTTTAACTTTTGGTAGTGTTAAGTTTTCTGCTACCACCTGAAGCTGGATGTCAAGGGCATTTGTAACCATAATATTTGTAGAGTGGATGGGATGCCTGCTGACATAGGGTCTTGTCTTTTAGAAATGAAGAAATACAAAAAGAAGTCATGCAGCACTTGTACTAAAAGCATGTGGCCTGGAGTCTTTAGAGATACCCTGAGTTCAAAACTATTAAGAGTAAAGCCTGTGTTTTATCAGGCAGTGTTCATCATTTCCACATTTCCCTAGCACAAAACAATTCAGGAAAGAGTCCAAGCCACACTGAGACAACTTAAAACAATCATAAATTTAGTAAAATGCCTAGAATGTTATAATTTGTGACATATCCAAGTATAAACTTATCTCCATATTATTCAAAAGAAACAGCAAATACTTTATGGATTACCATTAAAATATAAGTTGTCAATTAAGAGCACGGAAATAAAAGAGTCCTCAAATGACACAAAGAACCCTCTGTATTATAATACTCCTCAAAAGCATTTTGGTTTACTCAAGTTCTCTAGCTGAAACATCAAACATTTTAATAAATATCACATTATAATAAAAAGAAATCATACAATTATATTATTATCCTGAGCAATTCCATTGAACAAGTAAAACTCATTACTAACTGTAAAATAGTATTTTCTTGCTATCTGCTAACAACAATTTACTTTGAGAACACGGCATCCTTTCAGCATTAAGGAAAACAGATCTATTTACCTGGTAGTCTAAAATGCTGAAGCCAAGGCCCCTGCTCCCTTTCTCCAGCTCTATGGACTGAATGCCAGCCTCCCACATGGCCAGTGGTGTTTGAATCTCCTCAGCATTCTGATCCGCATCAGGTATCACCAGCATGGGATCCTCTGTCTCCGAAGAACCGATGAACTCACCGAGATCTATATGAGGCTGAATAACAGAACAGGCATCTCTTATTTCAGAGGGTATAGCATGTACCAACACTGCAAAACTATTTTGTTCTGATTCTGGTATCTGTATAGAACAAAACAGTCTCCAAAACACAAGTCATAACAGGCATTAAAAACAAACTAGAATTTCCTATAAGCTTATTCAGTGGTTATGCATCTAAAGCATGGTTTACAAATGTGACTTTCATTTCATATGAAAGTTTGAATCACCTCTACAAGAAGAATAAAAAGAAGTATGTTGCCACTAACTAAAAAGAGCTCATGGTGAATAAGATGAATTCAAGAAAAGGTGGCTATGTGTAAAGTTTTGTATCATATGTAAATAAGACCTCTACAATACATGGAAATAGGTGGATTAAACAGGAGTGATGTTTGCAAAACACTTGCAACAACTGGGCTTCAAATGTTAGCTTCTCTCAACAAAAACAAAGTGAAAATAGGTTAATCCAACCCTATTAACCTATACGAACATATCAAAATTAACAAAGGTGTTTGACAGAATAAAATTCTAGGTTATGTGCTACCTTTGCTTTTGATATTCTATTGCACTGCCTAGAGTCATGGACACAAATCACCTTCCCTTGCCTCCCTGGGACCATCCCATGGACACCATGTGAACATGTGCATGAATATACATGATTCAGCCTTTGAGTGGTACACAATTTAGAATAATGCTTCTTGTTCTGTCCCATTATGATCACCTATGTAAATAATAAGCCATGTACTTTATCCTTTTATACTGTAAAATTATTTCACTGTATTGATTCCTTCAGCATTATGTAAATGGAGTTTCTTCCTCCTGAGATCTGACTAGGGTTCTACACGAAATGTATACACCATATCCTCCAATAAGGTGATTAGCTCTGGTTTTGAATACTACAAACAACTAAGAATATGCACATAAGAAAATGGACATCACAGATATTTGATGTGAATTATGACTATAACTTTCTCATATTCTTACACGAAAATACACAAATAAATTAAAACCGATATATACACTGGAATGTATCCTTTCATATTTTAGCTATTCACTAAATGATTAACTGCAAACCAGAAACAGCTGGGTAGGAATATAAAAGTATGTTTTTTCCATCTGTGTACCATACATACACTATTTACATACTTCTGCCAGTTGGGACAATTCTGATTCAAGTCCAGGCCTGTTTGATTTCTAGATATAAGGACAGACTATGTTGAAGTATTAATGAAAATAAAAATGTCTCAACATTTTAAGCTCTGCTTATTATGTTTAAGCTCAGCTATTAAGCTCTGCTGTTATATGTTCAAATTAGCCTCGTTTCTTCAAATCTGGTACCTTTTCTGTTAGTTCAAGATCACTTATGTCCAGGCCATCCAATTCTGCTGAGGCACTGGGGGGCACAGTTCGGCGGCAGCACACCATTGTCACATCTATAGGCAACTCCTTTAAAATATTGACCACATCTTGATGATTTTCTCCAAGCAAATTTATACCATTCACCTGCAGAAGAACACACATGGTCCATATGCGATACAGCTTCATAATAAAAGACTGTTTGAAGCAACATTTCTCCATGAACATAAATTTCACTGTGGTGACAGCTGTGGTTCTGCTGTGCGCAGAACTGTAGTTAGACCTGTGTGAGTACTTAACAGGGTCTGCTGCATGCATGTTTAGAGACTGGCTATAATAGGAACTTCTCAAGTACCCAGGGCAAAACCCTTAGCTTCTCCATAGGTTCGATCTGCCAGTGAATTGTAGGAAGAGAAAATAACAGTATTTTCATAGGATGCAGGAGAAAAAAAAAACTATAAAGGATTAGCATCTAATGAATTTACTAAAAAAAAAAACAAAAAACAAACAAAAAAAAACACCAAACTGGAAATGGAATAGTATGCAACAATGGTTTTAAAACTGGGAACAAAACTTTTCAATTTTTCTTATTTCTGCATTTAAAAAACATTGACGTATTGCAGAGAAGCAAATACCAATCGACAGCTAGTGAGTGATAAGAATCGAGCAAATGGGGACAGAAAGGACACGCTCACCGCTTGTCATTCTCTGTGGAAGCATGAAAGTGCTGCCTATTCTAAGACCTGAATACACATTTAAAAAAACTGTCACAGAAAGTTCCATAGTCTTTGGAGGCTCAAACAGCATAAAATACAACACAACAAACACCACCAAAATGGAATGTAGCTTTAGACTGGATCTGTAGTTCGGGGCACACACACAGCTTTGCTATTTCTGCTTTGAGCTGGCTTTAGTTATTTGTCTTTTCCATCCCGTATCTGTACAAAAAAGGGAAATCAGAGCTCCTCACTTCCAACAGCTCATCTCCACTGAAGAGCTTCCCACTGTGTCCCACAGGGCCTTCTGGTAGAACAGACCGGATGAAGTGATGGCCCACAGTCGCTTCCAGACTTATCCCCAGTCCGCTGTTCTCACTAAATTTGCTTACATGAGCCACCTGAAATGAGAAAAGCAATTACAACCATGGTATATTAGCCAGATACACACCGTTAATCAGCATCATACATTGTCATGACATAAATGACATGAAAAGTAAGCAGAATCCATCTATTATAGAAGGCAAACACATGAGGATGGTGAAAGGAGTGAAGGGGAGAGTATGGTGCACTTCTGTATGCCCAGCACCAGGGAAGTGGAAGCACGGGGACTCTGCAGAGAATGTGACGTCAGCCTGGATGCACGAGACCTTGACTTTTTTAAGGAAGGAAGGGAGGAGAGACAGAGAGAGAGAGAGAGAGAGAAAGAGAGAGAGAGAGAGAGAGAGAGAGAGACAGAGACAGAGACAGAGACAGAGACAGAGAGAGAGAGAGAGAGAGAGAGAGACAGAGACAGAGACAGAGACAGAGAGAGAGAGAGAGGAAAGTAAGCGTAAAATTCTGTCATATTATAAGCGTTAGCTTATCTGAAGTAAACTATGATTCCATTCTGGTTCTCTCTACAAATCACATGCTAAAGGATCAGGAAAACCTTTCTTGTGCATACATTGCTTACATCACTCCCAGAAATAAAGAGTATGATGACACATGCATTCTTAAGGTTGCAAACCATGTATTTTGGTTTCTTAGCTACCATTACAGCCATTGGAGAGATTTAGACATCTGATCTCTCTCCAGGGCTCATTCTAATGATTTTCTTATTTTCACCAAGAATTTCCTGCTCACACACAGGTGCAAGTCAGGAAACATGAAGAGTAAGCTAACCTACCACTATTTCATAGTTAATTCCCATAATCCTCTGCCACTTTGTCAGCAGGGCAGCCTCTTGCTGCACATCTTCTGCTTCTTCCAGCTCAGTTGACAACAATGGATACCCTGAAATTGTCAAAGGACAGAAGTTATTGCCAGGACCCCAAACTCACCTTCTACACCTTTTGGGAGATGGGATGACCTAGCAAAACCATTGTGGGTACCTTGTCAGACTATTTAGCCACTGCATAGTTCCTCAGAGCTCACTGAAGTTTAATGACCTCACTTAGACTAATGTGTGCATATGCAACACTGTTCTTTTCCAATATACAATACACCTTTTAAATATGCAACACTATTCACTTTTATTAGATCTTTTGAATATGCAACACTGTTCTTTTTCAATGGACACCTCTTAAACTTTAGACTTTTCATTAAAGTCTCCATATATTACCTAACGGTCATTAAAAAGATAATGGCTCTGGGTTGTGCTCAGATCCACAAGCTTGTCTACTGGTGGCATTGTAGTAAAAAGTGTGGGCAGGAGAAAAGGGAGCTATCACATTATCTCACACCCAAACAGTATAAATTAACAACATACAACTCCATGAATAACAGGACACCATAAATAAGAGCATGAAACAATGAAAAACAGAGAATGTGTATTAAGAGCCTGTAGTCAGAATTCCATAAATTAGTCAAAAAAGTGAAGAACGGCATCAACCAAGTGACATAAATAATCCCAAGTGCAGAATGCGCATCTGAAAGCTCAGTGACTAAGGAGCATCTCTGTGGGTCTCTGTCACTACCGGAAGAGCTCTTCGACTGAACTCCAGCTCCTGCCCTGCTACCTGTCTACGTTTACTCTGTGCTTACTCATAACGGCTTTCTTTTCAAAACTTATTCTCCCACAGTCTCAAAATTAATTTAAGAAATATTCCAAAATTCAGATTTCTACCAGTTGCTTCTCTCTCTTGGGAATTTCGGGATATTCATTCTTTGGCTAATGATTCTGACTTTGTCTGGAGAAAACAGATGAAGTTGATGACTAGTCTGAAAGATTTCAGGACATTAAGTAGTTTTTCCATGTGCAAAGTCCTGGGTTCAGTGTCTAGCTTAGACAACAAAGCAACACAGGATCGTAAGCTATCCTGGTGAGTAAGTGTTTTCTCTTCAAAACTAAACTTGGTTACATGACAGGTAACAACCCGCAGAGTGGGAGGGCTCATAAGGAATTTTTAAACCTAATTTTGGGAGCAGAGGTCATTTTGGAGTCCCCCAGGTCACCTGAAATCCCTTTGTATTCACACAGCTCAACAAGAATATAATGTGGGGGAAGCAGATGACACAGCTGAGATTCACAGTCACCAAGTCAACCCAGGGCCACCATTCCCAGACTCCATTCAGAAATTTAAAACTACAAACAAAAGCCACAGAGCCCTGTTCTCCAACCTTGGTGAACAGTCAAGTGACTGTCCTGTACAGAGTCACTTTCTACAGGTGGCATCACACCCTGTCAGGATGGGCAGAGCAGGTACACCAGATCCATTTCCTGGCTTCTGCTTTATTAATTTTTCAATAATTCAAGAAATCTCAATTACAAGGCTGGAGGTGCTGACCACTAATTATGCTTCCACATGCACATGCAAATTTCTCATTAGCTGTGTTTTCCACAGCAAAACAGATGATTCTGAGTCTTTAACATAACCCCTCGTGCCCATCTTCACTTCCTATTTCAAGTCATTTTCTAAGTATTTTTATCCTTTCCCCCTACTCTCAGTATTCACTTTAACCTAAATATTTTCTTTACTAATTAGTGTAAAAATGGCAGAATGTAATTAATATGTATGAACACTACACATTTTCCTTCCAGTATATCGTTAGATCCACAAAATCCCCTTAAACAATAAAAGTAAACTAAAACTTTCAGCAGCAGAAGAAATGCAATAATGAAACCACAGACACAATAAAGAGTCCTCTGTTCCTACTGATCAGCAAAATCCACACTACCAGAGAAGAATGGTTTCCATTTGCTCAGTGGCCATAAGTTACCAACCACCCAACAACAGGACAGGGGAAAGAAGCAGGAGACACATGGCATAAAATAGGGCAGATCAGGTATGAAATATGTTAAAACAAGGGATCCTAGTAAATCTACAGTGGTAAGAATTCTTGGACAGGCTTAACAATTTCTCTGTAGAATTGCTTTCAAACCAAGTCCCCAACATTACAATTTGTGACTCCTGAAAAGCTAAAATGTAAATATCAACATCCCTAAACAGAGAGTTCCTTGCGGAAGAGGTAGTATGTGCCTGAAATCCAGCACTCAGGGGCCTGAGGCTGACAGGTTCAAGGCCACTATGGATTACATAGCAAGAACCTGCCGTAGCAAACAACCATCACATCAAAAAGTAATGATTTTCATTCCTAAAAATCTAAAGGAGTCTCCATGTTTGTTTTTAAATAATTTATATCTTACTATTATTTCACAGTTGGGTAGAGACAAGTCAGCTATATATAAACACTAAGTTAAAACTACAGGTACTACCAAGTGATATCTCAAGCGTAGTTCTGATGCTTGCATGAGTATGCATGTGTGTGCACTCATGCATGTGTGTGCACACACATGTCAAAGAACAGACTGATTCAGTAAAACAAAATAACTAACTCTAAGTGAATTATTTTAATCTAAAAAGGCAGTTAGTCCTATTGTTAAATATGTGTTAGTCAACATCACTTTTCCTAAGAGGTTAGTAGCATATATATAGTGGGTTAGTAACTCAACCTGTTATAAAGACTTAAGGTCTTTGCAAACATCCTCTCTAAAACACAATGAACACCGAAGCCTGGCTCTAAGTGTTACCTTCTTCTTCAATCGGCAATATGCTGGTATTTCTCCTCAAAGATAAAGACTCTTCATCTTTTTCATAATTTTCTTAAAGATAAAAATATTTTAATAGTTATATCCATAAGATAATAAAAACATTTGAATTTTTCTAAACCCATCTTATTTGTCTGAATCACTGATTAGATTTAATGTTAAAGAGACAAACTCTGTAGTAACCACATGTATTTATCCTCATCACGCAAGTGGGCTAGGACTTTCCTGAAACCTGCCTGCCCATCTCCTAGGAATGCTTTACACAGGACATGGCACAAACACCAACAAGCTCAACTGTTAGAAATAACAACTTTCCATCCAACAGTCTCACAATGGGGACTATTTCAGTAATTTGCAGGGGTAGCCACGGATCTCAGCTTATGAATGGCATTTGTGTTTGAATTTGTGAGTATGGGTGTAGGTGAGTGTTTTCATGTCTTTTCAGATGCATGTGTTAAGATGCAGGCCAGAGACCAACTTTACTCTTCAGGAGCTGACCACCCTTGCTCTGGAGACAGGGTCTCTCACAATGTGCCAAATAGACTAGGCTGGCTGGCTAAAGATTCCCAGAGTCCCCAGAGTCTCCTCCCCTCCCAGGCTGGGTTTACACATATACTACCACACTCAGATTTTATTATGAATACTGGGTTAGAACTCAGATCCTCATGCTTGAGTAGAAGGAACTCTATCAGTAGATACAGCTCTAAAACGCTATGCGTGGCATTTCTAGAATTCTGTTTGATAATAAAAGAAAATTCTGTGGAGTTAGTTGTCAGTGTTTCAAATAAAAATCCAAGCATGGGGTAGAGATATTATTCAATGGGTACAGTATGAGGACTTGAGTTTGAATCCCCCAAACCCATGTAAAACTGAATCCCCCAAACCCATGTAAAACTGTGCACAATAAATTGGGTCTGTAATTTGAGTGTTCCTATGGTGAGATGGGAGGTGGAAAGAGGAGATTCCTCAGAAGCTTGTGGGCCAGCTGGCTCTCCATATACCACAGTGAACAAAGAGACCCCATCTCAAACAAGGTAGAAGGAAAAGACTGACACCTGAGGCTGTTCTCTGATTCCGTAGGTGTCATGCACACTCGCCCACGCCAACACTATATATGCCCACCCACACACTTTCTAAAAGCATCAAACAGCACTGCAGTCCCCTGAAGAGAAAGCATCAAAGACACCAAGTAAGGAAATAACAAAAGTCTCATATGCATCTGAGAAACTGTAATGGGATGGCAGGCATAGCTCGATGTGTGCTTTACTGAAGAGTCCATTCTACAGCTAATCCACAAATCATGGCTCCAGCTAACACCTTCTGCATAAATTACTGGAGAGCTAAAAGAAAATGCTAAAATAATGCAAAGGTCTAAGTGAGAACCAGCCCCTCCGCATTACCTTGGCTTACAGTGGCATCACCAGGTATTACGTCCACATCTTTTGAGGTGTCTTCTCTAGATAACAGCTCTGCTTCCTGTCTTGCTCCCTTCCTCATTAGTGTCAGGCGCACTGTCTGTCCTGTGTGACGTAACACCTCTACTGCTTGCTGATTGGTGAAACCTTGAAGGTTGGTGCCATCTACCTGTGATAACAGAAAACATTAAAAATCAAAAGCACTTTTGTATTGCTAGTTCACAAAATGTGTATTTACTGCTTAGTACTGAGAATGGGACAGGGAATGGATATTTCTCTAACTGGTAAATGGCCACAATACCCTAGCACACACTCATATCTAGGAGCAATGTTGGTTTGCTCTGGACTTTTTGAAGGATTTTGTTGGTTTCTATGATTCTGTCGTTCTTAGTTTTAAATACTTTCAATGACTTTCAAGAACATTTCTCTAACTCCCTAGGTGATCCTCATAGGTAGTCAAATTTGGAAACCAGCACTGCAGGGGAATCAAGGTACAGTCAGCAGTGAGGAAAGCACTCCCTGAGACACTGTTGTACCTACAGTACTTCACACGCTTGTGAACAAGAGAAGTGAAAAATTTTGCATTCATATTCATTAGTTGAATAAAAAGCTATTAGATCCAGACTAGCATCATCCTCCATAGTGTACCCTAACTACTTAAGTTTCTGAACAGATATATTAAAACATCAAATTAAACACTTAAAACCCATTTGTTTTATATATATATATATACATAAATATAAACATGCAAAGACACATCTATGATTTACATGAAATATATATATAGCAATATATGACATCTGTATATACAGAAGAGAAGAAACCAATGGAAGAGAAAATGAGTGCTTAGTTATTTTTTTCTGGTGGGAAAATTATTTAGAGACCTGCCATGCAGAAGAGTCTCAAACTCTGATTCTTTGACTCTTGTGCAATTCCTCTGAGTTACATGGGATCTTGGACAAAGGCACCTGGCTCTATCCTTCTCCATAACCAACTTTTCTGATTCCCTTTGCAAAGATCAGCAAATTAAAATAACAGAAGAAACTACAACAGAATCCATAACCAAGTAAGGAAAAGGTTCCTACACCAGTAACTGGAAGAACTTCTGCTAAAATGCTCTGGAAATGCAGACTCAAGGCAAGCCAGCTTAATCTTCATGTGGCTAATGGTAGCTCATCTGGTCAGAGAAGAAATGTTGATAGAAACAAAACCAAATTCTCTCATTAAGAATAGATGGTTCCAGGCTGGGGAGATGGCTCATTTGGTAAGTGGTTAGCTTTGCAACAATGAGCACACAATCCCAATCCCCCTGCACCCCATACACACACATACATACACACACATGCACACACACACACACACATGCACACACACACACAGACAGACATGCACACATGCACACACACAATCTGGGGACAGAACTGAAGATGGATTAGCAGATGGTTTCTGTGAGTTCTGACATCTCAAGTTTGATCTTCAAGACCCAGTTAAAGAAAGGAGACAGTGGAGTCCTGAAAGTTGTCCCCTGACCCCTGCATACCATGACACATGGAAGGCAAAGAAAAAAGCATCCTTGGGGCTTGCTGACCAGCCAGTGTACAAATCAGCAAGCTCCAGGTTCAATGAGAGACTGACTACTGTCTAATTGTGGAAGACACTTAACATCAACTTCTCCACATTTATGGTCACATATGTGCACCTGCACACAAATGTGCACACACACACACACACACACACACACACACACACACACACACGGACAAATGCCAAATAGAACACAATAATATTTAGACATAGATACAAAGAAAATTTTGAATTTAAAAGATTTTAGTTTTAGGGGCATGGATAAGCCAAGCCCTGAGGGCATGGGAGGTGCATAGCTGGTACCACATCCCTCGATGGTGGGGATAAGGGAAAGATGCTCATCTCCTTGTCCCTACTGCCTCCAGCTGGACAGCCAGCTGACCCCTGTACCAGCTGCAACACTCAGGAAAGGGGGCTCTGCACCTCCTCTGGGCAGCACAGCAGGGCTGACCCTGGTAACAGGGCATGGATGAGACAGCCCTGGGAATATAAGCATGGGAGACCTGGCCCTGCTGTCATCTGCCATATGACTGCATGGGCTGGGGAGAGATGACCTGAGACAGGTGGGGGAGCAGGATCTGAGATCACAGGAGAGGGAGAGCTGTCCCTGCACCGCATCCCCCCACCCCTGCACCAGCTGCAACCCTTGGAAGAGCAGGTCCTACACCTCAACTGAGCCTCACAATAGAGTCGGCCCTCTTTGCGGAGGTGTGGGTGAGCCAGTCCCGGGGAGAGATGCCCCTCTTACCCCTTGCCCCTCACGACTTTTCACAGATGAGGGAGCTGACCCTCTCCCTTACCAGCTGCAGTACTCAGGAAAGCGGAACCTGCACCTCCCCTGGGCAGCAATGTGGAGATGACCCTCTTGATGGGGGAGCAGGTGAGCCACCCTGAGAATGTGAACATGGGAGACCTGACCCCAACCCCCAGCTGCCATATGGGGGCATTGGCAGGGGAGAGACACCTTTCACTCCACTAACACGTGAGGCAGGTGGGAGTACTCCTGTCTCCCACCAGGTGCAATACTCAGGCAGGCAAGCCTGGCACCTTGCCTGGGCAGCACAATTGCCTGGGTCAGTCCCGATGGCAGAGGTGTGGGAGTGGACAAAATGGTCCAAATCTGACCACTAATGCCCCATGAAAATTCTTAAAATGCACAGAACTTTTCCTTTCCAGTTTTTGGTCTACAAGTAATTTTTATCACTTCGTAAAAGAAGTTTCATCAAGAAAAAAACTTACACAAATGATTCTGTTCAAGCATGTGTAGAAAAATGCATTTGCTTCTGTTTGCAAAACTTGGCAAATTCGATTTTAAAATGTATTCATTGCCCAAATGTTACAGAATTATACCAGTAAAAACAAACAAACAAATCACTACAATGGACTAGCTCATAAACTATACTTCACTTTAGAGTCTTAATAATCTCACATATAAAATGGAAATAAGACACCCACTTTCCCAGAACTCCAATGCATGTCACCCTGCATGAGGAAACTAGTATTATTATTAATAGAGTGAAAGATAATAGACATGAAATCCCAAGGATTCACAGGAACAAACACTTTACAGTCAGACTACATCTAAGCCCCAACCAGCGAAACACCAATGGAGAAACTTCATCTTACTCTGGCCACTCTTGACTGCAGGAGAGCTACGGGATCAGCTCTGCCTCAGTGATACCACAAAGAGGAGAGTAGCAGAAGTAGGTGCACAGGCAGTCTGCCTCTATTCATGAAAGGAGCACATCCACCAACATGTTAACGTGTAACACAGGCTCCACAATTAGCGAAGAAATTATGGAGAAGCAATACCAATTACTCAGTTGAGAAAACCTGCATCCTTAGTGTACTCCATGTAGCTTGCCAAGCCATCCTCCAGCAACCTATGTCTACTAATAGATGATGGGGGAAGTCCTGTGTATATGTCAATAAAGCACTGTTGGTCAATAGGGAAGCAAGATAGGTGGGACTAGGAGTCAAGGAGGACTCTGGGTAGGAGAAACACAGGGAGTCGAGATGTAATCGCTATGGGGTAGGAAGCCCGGAAATTTCTCCAGTAAGAAATACTTAGATTAACAATTATGGGGTAAATACTTAAGTCAGAGCTAGCCAGTAAGAAACAAGCAAGGCCAACAGCTTCATAATTAATATAGCTTTCTGTGTGTTTATTTGGGACTGATGTGGATCTGGAACCAGGCTGACGGGAAGGCTTCTCTTTACAGAGACTAAGAACCTACTTCCATCACAGAGTATTAAAGGCACATTTGCCATTTCTCATTATCAACCACAATTCTATGTTGGTTTTAACTGTGTGTCACAATAGGAGCCTGATTTTGCCTGTTGAGAAGATCAGCTAACATTTTGAGAGAAAAAGTCCCTTCATCAAATAATTGTTATGAGGAGTGTCAATGTGAATGTGGGTTTGGGGGAAACCACTTGAACTTTCCTGCCCCTGTGCTGTAGACAGCATAACACTAGGGTCCACAGAACACAATCTATAACAGAAGAGCAAAATAGTTTAAAATTACAAAATAAATGCTTCCTCAAAATGGTAAATAATTTCTTAATCTTCTCAGCACCTCAATAAATACAAACTAAAAATAGACTGTAGCTCCAATATTTGCTGTCAAAACAAAGCCAGAACAAATACAGACTATAGTTATAAAAATGCAACTAGGAAGAAACGAACTATTACCAATTTATGGGAAGACCACAAGAGGGTGACACTTTGCACTAAATGAACACATGGTCCAGAGCACTGCACAATGCTTCCCAGGGGTTAAGGCACTTGTAAATGTAAAGTGAATGTTGATAAAATGTAAAACTAGAATATGGATGACAGTGAAGACAATCTCACTAAAAGTAAAACTAGAATATGGATGACAGTGAAGACAATCTCACTAAAAGTAAAACTAGAATATGGATGACAGTGAAGACAATCTCACTAAAAGCAACAGAAGACAGGGAAAGCACATCTCCCCTTATTGAGTACATTTTTTTTTTGAGACAGGGTTTCTCTGTGACTTTGGAGGTTGTCCTGGAACTAGCTCTTGTAGACAAGGCTGGTCTTGAACCCACAGAGATCTGCCTGCCTCTGCCTCCCTAGTGCTGGGACTAAAGGAGTGAGCCACCACCACCAGCCACCATCACCTTCCTTTGTTAAAAGGAAGTCAGCTTTAAGGGTCACTCACATGAGACCAGAGACAGTGACAATCTGGAGGCAAGCTACTGTGAGACATAAAGATTTGTAATAAATCTACTCCGTCATTAAACATTTTCCTAATTAAAATATACTAATATAGCAAGTCCTATACCAGTGACTTTGAAGGTCTAATGTGGTTCTCTTAAGGGACATTACATTCTGTCCTAAGATAATGCAACTGGATCAAGAAGCTCACTAAAGGATGTCACCAATGGATATCCAAAGTGGACTAAGAAAAGCCCATGAGCCTCAATCCTACATGAAGAATTTATAGGCCAGTGAAGAAAGCTGAGGGTGGGAGAGGTAGCCTTCCCCAGGAAAGAGCACACCAGTCGGGTGCCCAGTACAAAATGGCCAGCCCTGAAAATAAGAAACACTATACAGACTGAATAGATTATATTTAGATATATGTATGTATATGCACATATGCATGCAACAAAAATTAGTAAAAAAAAGAGGCAATAATTTGAAGAAGAGAAACTGTGGGGTATGTAGGAGTGTTTAGAGGTAGGAAAGGGAAGGGAGAAAATATACAGTTAAATTGCAATTCAAAAAAATTTTAAAGTTTGCTTTAAAAATCATAGTCATCTGAGAGGAAGGAACCTCAATTAAGAAAATATCTCATAAGATGGGACAGTACAGGCAAGCCTGTAGGGGATTTTCTAAATTAGTGACCAATGGGGAAGGGTCAGCCCTGGGATGTTGGTTCAAGGTTCTGTAAGAAAGCAAGCTAAGCAAGCCATGAGGATCCAGCCAATAAGCTCCACCTGTCCATGGCCTATGCATCAGCACCTGCCTCCAGGTTCCTGCTGTTTGATGTCCTTACTTCCTTCAGTCAGGTTAAAGCAAGTAAACCTTTCCTCCTCTGTTGGAACATGGTCCAAGGAATCGTGTGAGGGGCATTCTGAGCGCTTGTGCGGACTCTCCAAGAAAACAGGACAAGAGTCTTGTGACCTCAGTTTCTTCAAAATATGGAATTGTCCTTAGAATGTGTTTTGTGCTCCTCCCAGGTGTAGCAGATAGGAGTGAGTTTACTTCAGATATTAGTACTCGCTGCTCTTAGTCAATTAAATGTTCAACTATGAAAAACATAGTTTTGCCACCTGTGGCTTGTTCTTGTGACTATATATACAGCTTGAACTCATGAGAACTATACTCAAGTGACCTCTCTTAAGTCTCACAGTATAAGCTGTCTGATGTTCTGAGTGAAGTTGGCTATTGTGTAAGAATTTAATCCACCTCATTTATGGGCTTCATTCTCCCAGGCCCCACTGCTTTTAGAGTGGTACACATTCCCCAATTGCTTTTAGTCATGGTGTTTCATCACTATCAGCAGTAACCCTAACTAGGACAACTGTACATAGATTCACACTGGCTATTCATCTCTCCATTACTCCCTAAATAAAAAGCGGGCAGTGGCTCATTTCCAGTCATGATAAGATAAAGACATATCAAGGAAGCTTTCCCAGCTAATACACAAATGAGTAGGAAGCTCAACTTGGTCTTTCAATTAGACTTAAATAGGTAAACAGATACAGTTAAGAATGCACAGTGCTTATGTTAGGAACACTCGAGGAGACGTGCGGTAGAGTTTCCAAAGGCAGAAGTAATAGTCATTAATCATTTTTTTCTACAATGTGATAGAAAATATGTAACAAAAAACCCTACCAATTTAGGATCTTCTAACCATCCAGTTCTTAGTGTTAAATATTTTATGACTCGTTTGTAAAAGATCCCTAGGGTAGTTTTTTTCAACATGAAGATGAATCACTGTCATATTGAGTGACAACTTCCAACCACCCAACTCCACAACCCACACGCCCCCCTCTCTGTTCTCTGACAAGCTTGGGTCATGTCAGTGAGATCACACATTTGTCTCTTTACAACTTGCTTATTTCAGTTAGCACAACATCTTCAAGATTGATCAATGTTACAGTGTGTGACAGAATTTCCTTCTTTAGCAGATCAGAAAACAATCCCTGGTATCTGTATACTACATTTTGTTTATCCAGTTCTCTACCAACAGTATCTGGGCTGCCCCTTGGTGTGTACTATATAAAAGACACTCCTGTGGGGAAGGAATCTTATTCCTTATTAAGATCCCAAGGGGATAACAGACTTGATTAATAATAAACTAATTCACTAATAAATTAATAAAGTAATAAGTCAGCATTCTCCACCACGGTCTTCAAAATGATATCAAAATAAACACTGGCAAAGAGAAAGAACCTATAATTACAGAACTTTAGGTTTTATCACAGTATTAACCTATTATTGCAGAAGTTTAGGTCATATCACAGTATTCAGTTTTTCATTGTGGGCTCAGAATCCCTAAGAGCTCATACCATCTACTGGGTTCCTTGGTGCACTTAACCTAAATTAGTTTCTAGGTTAAAGAGTAATTTGAAGAAGCCAGTACCTACTGAACAGCAGGTGAGAATTTTTCCTCAACTCTCTGAAATAGCTGCATACTTAAAACACAATGTTACAACAATAACATAAGAATCAGATTAGAGATATTTTGATTCATTTCTTTCACTCATATGCATTTACAAAACTGAAAGGAGATGTAGTTGACAGAGTCATTCTGCAAGATTATAAAATGCACAGATCTGAAATGTAGGTTCTGCTATAGCAAACATCTAGTCCTCATTCAGAATATGCACAAAAAATGCACTATGTAATGGTCAGTGTAACAAATTCATTGTGATCATAGTTCCAACATAGCATAAAAATTATATAAGAACCAGATTTCCATTTTAGACTTAGGAAAAGTGAAGTGTCTATCAAATGCTCCATTTAATCTGAAAATAATAAGGCAGGCAGTTGCAATGGCAGTCTCAAGTCACTAAAGCTAGGTTAAATTCGTGAATCTGTGGCTGAGGAGATGGCTCATCAGCAAAGAGCTTGCTGTGCAGGCATAAGGACCAACATTGGGATCACAGTACCCATGTGAAAACATGAGTGTAGTGGTACAGTCAATATGTAGCACACATGGACAAATGAGTACACACATCTACAAACATATAATTGCATGCACACCACACACACAAGTACCTACACAGATACATAAGAAATTACCTCTTCATTTTACAGTTTTATTTATTTACATATATGTATGTGAGTGTGGTTCTAGGTATCCCAATACAAGTGCTAGGAACCAAACTCAGGTTCTCTGGAAGAACAATACATGTTCTTAACCACCAAAATATCTCTCCAATCCCAGAGATTATAATTCTTAATCATGAAAATTACAAAAACTATTACTAAATGTTTAACTTACTGCTATAATTTGATCTCCAATTTGGATTCTTCCATCATGTTCCACAGCACTGCTTTTTGTAATGCTCTTTACAAAGATTCCTGAAGGTTCTAAGGTTAGAAATAAATAATATAATATAATATAATAAATAATATAATGCACACAAAAAGAACAGCCATCTTCTACCTTCCGAATCAAATCCTAACTATAAATAAGTATTTAGTAGCAAGCAAAAAAGGCATCCAGTAGAATAGCAATTGTTCATCCTGTCATATCAAAGTCACCTATGCCAAATTATTTCTAAGAAAGCTGACAACTACTTTATCCAACAAGAGAACCCATACAATGATTGACTATCTCATTAAGACAGGTATTGGAGGTAACTGTGATGTGTAGAAAATATTTAAGGTTTAGTATTACCTAATTTTTTATCTCCAATATAGCCAGCAATGGTAATTCCTAATCCTTGGACATTTTTTGTGAGTTCCACATCAAACATCTCACTTTCTTCACTTTTTTGAGTAGATGCATCAACCTAAAGTAGTATTAATACATAAATCTTTAGATAAATCGGCATGTAAGAAAAAATAAGGTCAAATTTAAAAACTCAAAGATGCAATTCAGGATTAGTCTAGGCTAAGATATCACTATGCTGCAGAATTCGTCCCTTGCAACCTGACAATATAGACTGACTATCATGGTGTCATTCAGAAATATAGGAGAAAGCTGAACCTCCCCTTCTCGGACAAACTTACTGTATACACAAAATGTATGAATGAATAGCCTCTTGTTAACGAAGTATTTTCAGACATCACTTCTTACGGAGTTCAAACATTTAAAGTTCAAAAAAGTCTTGTTTTGAATTGATATCAAAAAGTTATGATCTAGTCTTGTCACTTAATCTTTCTGGACAACCACCTACCAAGAAAAGTAATGACCAGCTACCATTTACTGAGCAGTTTCATTGTAAGGAATTTGGCATGTCTTTCCTTCTTACTCCTAACAATTTACAATTGCCTACACCATTTGCAAACCGGTAAGATAGATTCAATTGTATTCATTTTTCCCTAGGGAAGCAGGCAGGTATACATAGTTCCTAGGACAAACAGCTAATATCAACTCAAATACCAACAGTGTGGTTGCAGAGCTCCTGTTTGCAGATAATGAACAGTGTGTAAGACTGTACAACACAGGGCCACAGCCTCCACAAAGAGCTCCTACTCTTACCTAAAATTTGTAGTTGAATCAAACACCATGAATATGAGTGAGTCTTCCCCACAGTCTTGTTATAAATAGACTGGTGACTTATTTTTATTTTAAGAATGAAATGGCACCAAGGAAATATTTTTATACTGCCCCTTTATTTGTTTTGTAAATTAAAGATATTCATAAAGAATGTGTGTCTCTCTACTCGGACATTCTCCTGTTCTGAGATGGTGGCCGAAAAGGGCTTTCTCAGTCCGACCCTTCTCTAACATGTACTTAATACAGTTATTAATTGTATGTTGAACAAAAGGAAAAGACTCGCTAAATTAATCATCAGTGAGCTGGCACATGATGTTATCAATAAGCCATTGGTCCTACACATTAGTGTGATGCCAGGATACTCTCCAGTAAACCCTACAAAATCAAGGCAATGGGTTTTAACAGGCATGCAGGCTGGAGCTAGCCTGTAACATTTTCTGATTCCCTATAAAGTAAACAGTTATCTCACTGATGATCCACCTAAATGAAGTGTAATTTTACAAGTGAAGTTGGATTCATTTTTTTTCATTGTACATAATTATCTGTGCAAACTTAGCAAAAGTTTAAAGTTTAGATAATTACAAGAAAATGACAGGATGAAATCTGCTTCAATTGAAACAAATGTGTTTTCTATTTTTAATAAGTTATTCGAGTGCTATTTTAGAGGGTGGCAATTTGACTATCGAATGATTTTAAACAGGGCACAAGCTTCAGAAATGATGGTATGCAGAGAATAGACACTGCCCTAAGCTTTCATTACATCAAGTAGTTTCTGGTATTGCATTCATTTATATATTGCTGAATAAAAGGTTTTGTTTTCCACAAAAGAATGCCATTTAAACACTTTCATAAACAAGCTTGCTTTCTTCTTTCTCTCTGTAAAAAATAGCAACCAAATCTAGTCCTAAAAACAACAGAATCATGGAAAATTCAAGTGTTCTAATAAAGTTTTAAAGGGCTCATGGAGGATGTTAGGTTATTTAAAACAAAGAATGTGGTTAGAGCGATTTCAATAAAAGAAAACATGAACATTTTACATCTATGGGGAACGGATATCGGACTGGCATGTGATAGAAAAATTATCTAGAAATGGGTAGAATTTGTTTCTAAATATTTAAGACACTTCTGGGTGGACTCTTTAAAAAATTTTATCCACTATAGTCTTATGGCCTGTAAACCAACTGAGATTAACTTCTAACTTCCAAGAGTTTTGAATTTTTCCAATGTTTTTCATATCTAATTTATGACAAAATGGGACACAACACCAATGAATCATGTTCCTGTAGCACATCAAAGCACAGCTGCTGCTGTTTCAAGCAACTATTTACAATGACAATGACTCGTTACAACTCTGGTAATAGTTCACAGCTTGCATATTTTACAACAATGACACAAGGAGGTCCTTACACCTCATTCACTCCTACAATCTGAGCTCCCAGACCCCAGTTTACACAAACAAGAAACCTTCTAAAGGAAAACTGTTGAAAGGTCATGATTAGAATGGTGACCCAGTTCACAAAGAGGCTTCTAATTATGACAAAGAAAGACTCAAGCATAGGCATTAGAAGAACAGAGAAACCTAAGGTTTCATGTGAGCTTCATAATACTCTTTATTTTAAAAAAATGCTGCTTACAGGAAAATGACATTATCACATAGACTCTTTAAACAAGCTATTCTCAATAAATGAAACACAAGTATCTTTTACACATGCTTTTTGTTCCATTCTTTTAATACATAAGGCATCAGTAAGTCTAACTTCTGCATGCTATTTGCTTAGACCTTTACATTCACTGTTTTCAGGTACTTACACGCATCTCTGATGTAGAGACTGGGGACTGGGAGAGGGTGATGCCCAAAGAGGAGGGTGCTGCAGTTTCTTCCACAGCGCCTCTGGCAATCATCAGCTTAACTCTATTTCCACACTGCCTGAGAACCTGTGCTACTTGCTCACTGCTCATTCCTGCCAGGTCCGTGTCCCCAATCTTTAGAATGTGGTCTCCACTGCACAATCGCCCATGCTGAATAAAAAACAGTTCAAATGATTAAGGTGCTGTGATTGAAACTGCACCAGAAAAATTCTACATGATCTAGAGACAATTATAAAAATGGCAATATTAAGGCACAGGTCAATCATATGGAATTAAGTGTGTAACTATACTATGAATTGTCTCCTGAATCATTCTAGTACCATTCAATGTTGTGAAAGCAAATGAAACTCACAGATAGTTTGTTAAATCGATAGCAAGTATGATTTTTTTCAGTTTGATTTCTATTTAAGAATTCACAAAGAAAAAATATGACTTTGTGATTTTTTTTGTTTTGAAGAACAAGAAGAAATGGTCATTAAGCATAGATGAAGTATGAAGCTGCTATGCAAACACAGATTATATTAATTGTGTTGGATGAAAAGCACAAGAAAGTACTGGAATGTTCCTACAGATTCTACTTGGCCACAACAATTATAAATATGCCAAAGAATGCATTTGCAGATAATATCCTAGTAAAAGGAAAATTCAAATAGATGAAAGATGTGAACAGTATCTGAAAAACTCTGAGATGACAAACTGCTCTGCACAGTCCAGTGCAAATAATTTGTGACATGTGGCTAAGTCCAACTAAGGACTGACCATGTAATTTAACTTAATTTTAGTGGATTTAAAGCTGAATGTATTTATATTTTGTGTGTCCTGTGTCTCTCAAGCAGATGAAGTTCATTTGCTATTGCTAGATGCTGGCTAACACTTAAATGTTATGTTATAGAATGTCACTGTTTAAAAGAGTTGCTGTTTAACTAGGGTTTTCATTCACGAACATGAGGGTGTCTGATGAACTCAGCTTCCCAATTTAAGTTCAAATCTATGAGGGAAAACAATAGTTTTATAACCCTATAAAGTTAAAATATTAAACGCAAGTAATGAATGCATTGAACAATTTCCCACACACAATAAATGGCACATTTCATAAACAGCAACACCTAAACAAACTAAAGAGAAAACGGGCTGTGTGTCATATATAAAGAGAGAGCCAAGGAACCAGTACTAAAGGGACAAATGGGTTGGTTTTACCTAAACAATAATGTACTTTTTACATAATGTGATTTTTAAATAGCTGCTAGGTTTACAATATGTAATTATCAAACAAAGGGTAGCTGTTTTCTACAGGGAAAGGAACCATTAGCCTCATTCAGTCCCTGGTTCTTAGGGTGTTTAGTGCATTGCCTATAACTGTAATTTAAGTAAAATTGATGTCCCTTTTCAAGTATTCTCTTCCAAGTCTAAGAGAATACTTGAAGGTTAGCTCAATAAAACGAAAGATTCTTAGTTGATCAAAGTTTCCTTCTTTTAACAGTAAAACTAAATGGTGAAGCCACACGTGTAGGTGAACAGAAACGTACCTATCACAGTAGCTCACCTGGTCAGCCACTCCTCCAGGCAGAATGGTCTTGACTATCACACCAGTTGCTTTTCCTCCTATGATACCAAATCCCAGACCTGAGCCATCATTTACCAGCTCTATAGTTTCCACATGCTGCCAGTGAATCTGAAAGGAAAGCGGTTGATGAGTCGTTTGCTGGTGTTAAACACTGACTTCACACAGAATCATGAGTGCTAACCAAGTCCAGCTTTTCATGTGGTATGCTTTCCTTTAAAAAGACCACTATCACTAACGATATCATCCTTCCTATAGCTATCAATATATCATTATAGCGATTACTTTTAACCCACAGAAACAGGTACTGAGTCTGTAAGATATTTGCAAAGCTTAAAGAAGTTCAAACACAACAGCTGTACCAGATTAGGAGCATCCTCTGCCTAATTATGCCTTGAGGCAGAATGCTAATTTGTACAAGTCTGCACCATCACTGACCGGTAACTGTAACCACATACCTTCAAGCATGGGCATACACACACACACACACACACACACACACACACACACACACACACACACACACGTGCACGCATGCAGAGAGAGAGAGGGAAAGAGAGAGGGGAGGGGAAGCAGGGAGGGAAGGAAGCAAAGGAAGGAAAAGGCAATCAAAATAAAGGTATTTATCTACTTACAGGTGAAGTAAATGTTACTAAGAGACTCCATTTTGTATGAATGCAGTTAAAGGATCATGCAAAGTAAAGGCTATTTTAAAAATTCAAAACTTAATCATAATTCAGAAATCAATATCCCAAGTAGGAATATATTAAAAGAAAAACCCTAGAAACCAAAAGCCAGCAAGTCTGTGAGACATACGAGGATGCAGGCATTAGAGTGAGCACAGAAGCAACAGTAGTGCTTGCTGCTCCTTGTCTACTCACTGGGTTCGAGTGGGCTGAAACTGTGCTGGCTGCAGATGGAGACCGGGAAATTCGGGGGCTGGGGACCTGAGACGACGAGCCTCTGGCAACAACCAGCTGCACAGTGTCTTTGGCCTTCTGCAGGATGCTAATGGCCTGCTGGTGTGTGATCGTCTGGTCCAGGACCTGGCCATTGATGGCGAGTATCTGGTCCGTCTCCTTCAGTCTGCCATCTCTGTCAAGGGAGGAAATGAAGTAATGAAAGATGTGAACACTCTCCAGGAAATGACAGTTCCTGTGGCCTATGTGTTCAGGTCATTTTAATCCTCATGTTGTAGAACGTGAACACGTTTAAAGCTTCTACTTTTAAAAGCATGTGATTTGGCTCCAGTACTTGTAGCAATTTCACTGCAACCTGAACCACTGTCAACGGCCACTTTTTCATCAACTGCTGACTAACTCAAGCACTCATTTACAGATGGCCCTTTATTTTATAAGTAAGTATGTTGTGGAATGTTTAACTAAGCAGAGATGTGTTACATTTGTTTAATGATGTAAAGATGTGCTGCTTTGCTTGCCTAAGGCACCTGATTGATCTAATAAAAAGCTGAACAGCCAATAGCTAGGCAATAGATCGATAGTCAGGTCTAGCTCTCAGGCATCAGGAATAAGCAGGAGGAGAAATCTGGCATTCCAAAATGGGGCCTGTATTTCCACATAGGGCCTGAGAAAGCTGGGGAAAAAAAGAAATGATATTGTTCCTTTAAGAGGCTCTGCCATACAGGGAACACCTGAGTAGCTGGTACTTTAAGTAGAAACCAAAAGCTAATTAAAAACACCTGCCACAGTGCAGGTTCCAAATTTCCAGAGATGGGGCAATTGAATGCAGATTCTGGTTAGAGGCAACAGCCAGTTGGATGCAGCTCTCAGCCAAGCTCAGGGGCCTAAAGCTCAGCTATCACAGACCTGAGTCGGGAGGAGCCAGCTGCCAGTGCGAAGCTATGCAGTAAATTTAAGGTTTGGCTCATGTGGCCAGAAAGGCTAGAGACATGCAATAAAGACAGGTACAGATTGGGAAAAAACCTCTAAACAGGTTACTGCATGTTTAAAAATGTGTGTACACTTAAGGAAGAAAAGAAAAAACGGATATACACAGTCACAGGGGAAAAAAAGATGAATAATTTAAAAATAATAGTGAAGGCTTTAAAGAGAGAATAAAGTAGTATTTTTTAAAAGTCACAAAAGATTGGAAATACACAAGGAGTCTGGATCATGATGGTGTTGTTTTGAATTTTTTGAATGCTGATAAGTGAACAAGAGCTGAGAGACACTGAATTCAACCAACCTAGATACTTTAGACGTATCTTAACTTTAAAATGGAATTCAGAAAACGTATTGCGTTAGGGGAGAGGTTATGCTTTTGTTTCTACAGGAAATGAACTGCTGTAGATTCCTTCAAGGTTAGAAGGAATCAGGTTTGATCAGGGAAGTCCCCCTAAAAACCTTGGTGACGGCCAAAAAAATAAACCAAGAAAAACTACAAGGCAGGTGATGCATATACTGATCCCTCTGTATGGGAACAGTTCTGAAACTGGTCACCAAATGTTACAACTAGTTTTTCCAGGACTTGACCATTATCTCAAATTTTCTCAGGGTCCCCTAAAGATGTCATTACCTCCACACCACAAAAATCAGTCTAGAGAACACAATGCCAAGATGTGAGTTGGGCGGTTTTTGGCTGTCCTGGTGGGTTATGGATGTTTGCCATTGTTTAGCGGGAATATAAGATTATAAGATAAAAGGAAAGCTTTTAACCTCAAAAATTTTGTATTGGTATGGATTTTAGTATACTTGTACAAATGTAAAGTTATTTTTGTTATGCTGTATGTATGTTTACTCTTGTTTAGGGTATTGTGCTTACACAGCTCATTTAAAAATGTAATATATAATCAAAAGGCCAGGTTAGCAGTCATCTATTAAAAACTTGTAGTCATGTTGGGTATGTTTTCGATGTTAAACACAGATATATTTTAGACAGGTCATCTTCAAATGCTTCAGAGAACTACAGAATAGGTCATTTAAAATATTTAATAACCTAAGACTTTTCAAGACAGTGAGACATGCCTACTCCTAGGAGCACCAACTTAATTCATTAAAGGATGATGGACATCAAAGAACCTCCATATGTATTTTGCTTTCAATGTGGCAAAGCTAGCTATTTTGGCAAGAAACTGTCATTGCCTCAACTGGTGACAGTAAGTATATAATCCAAATTTGACACTCAGGACACAAAGGAAAGTGACTGCCTTAAATTTGTCAAGACAAGGTTGGTCAGTCCTTAAAATTCCTGCTTCACAGAAAAGTCTGTCAGATAGTCTGGGACTAAAAACTGAAAATGGATATCGCAACATTGAAGAGAAATCTTGGGTTTCAAGATGGTCAGATGTCTTTGCCATTTCTATAGTTTTGGAAGTGGCTTGCACTGCACTTCCCATTTACTCAGGTAATATTATACCCATCTGGGGTCTTTGATGGAGTTACAGTTTTCCTTAGTCATGATAGAAGGTAAATTAGGTACAAAACTTTGGTCTCACCAAGATAGGACAAATAAAGGAGTATTTTCTCTACAATTGCCAAATACGAATGAGCTAGATATTGTAAATGTAATTCTTATTTGATAACTGTTCTTATTGTAGATAGTATTACTATTTTCAACTTAAGACCCTTACTTTTTATTTAGCCAAAAAGGAGAAAATGTTGTGGTATATTACTTTAACTAGGCAAAGATGTGTTACATTTGTTTAATAATGTAAAGATGTGTCGCTTTGCTTTCCTAAGGCACCTGATTGGGCTAATAAAAAGCTAAACAGCCAATGGCTAGGCAATAGGGGGATAGTCAAGGCTGTGGGGCAAAGAGAATAAGTAGGAGGTATCTATGTTTGAGAGAGGAGAGAGAATGGGGGAGAAAGAGAGGGAGACGTCTGAGGCCAGCCAGCCAGGCAGCTACCAGCCAGTCATACACAGCGTAGGACATACAGAATGAAAGAAAGGTTAAAAAGGCCCAAGGCAAAAGTAGATGTAAAGAAACAGATTAAATTGTTATAAGAGGAAGTAGGACAGGCATAAGATGAGATCAAACATTTGTAACTAATAATAAGTCCCTGTGTCATGATTTGCAAACTGGTGATCAAGAAAGTCTGCTAGATAAACATGTATTTCTTCCTGCTCTGAATATATTAATAAAAATGTTTCAAATTATAATGGGATACGTCTAGGGATTTCTAGTAAAAAGGAGTCCAAAATATAACAGTGAAAAGAAAGATTATATTCAAAAGCTTATTTCCTAACTAAAATTTAGCTACTCTCATTTTACTTGTGTGTATATGTATGACATATACATATAAGTGCATGACTGCTTGTGCACCTGTGTAGGGATGCCACACTCTGACATCAAATGTCTTCCTTTATCACTCTGCAACTCATTTTTCGGACAGTCTCTTGGAGAAACTCAAGTTCATCTTCTTGACTAGCAAACTCTGGCATCTGCCTATCTCTGCCATAACAGTTCTGGGTTAGAGATGCAGACCACCTCACCTGGCTTTTGTCTTCTTTGTTATGGGGATCCAAACCTAGGTCCTCGCACTTGCACAGCAAACACTTCCACCATGTCTCCCACCCTGTGAGTCATTTCAATGGACTTGCTTTATACCACCAAAACATCAGCGACTCCCGAAATATTAGGGACTACTAAAAACGGGCTGATATCTGATTATTTCAGCTTTTGTTTATATTCATCCCCCCCCCAGTGATCAAAACCCTCCGATTGCTACATCAAACTAAATAATTTGCTGTGACACTCTCACCTGTGAGTCACACTGCCCTCTTGAATCTCCTGTACAAATATTCCCAACTCTCCCCTGTTTTCACTTCTGAGTCCAACAACACTAAACCCAAGTCCTCCACATGGAGGTTTGAGGAGCTCAAATATTTCCACATGGCGGCCCTGTTCAGGAAACAAAACAGGAAATAAAATTAAGAGCCAATTACAAGCTGGCAGCAATGGTGCATTTTTAAAATCTTAGCTATTGAGACTGAGACCAGAGAACTGTATGCAAACCTGGGTTACACAGAGGATGAAAGTCAGCATTATAACCCAGATTACAAAGCAAAATCAAATCTAACTGAAAATCTCAAAATCAAAACTATACAAGACAAGAAACATTATTACAGATAACAGCCATCTTCTTGGGACATTACTTTGTTTACCAAAAAGAAGGGACTAGAAAAAGATCAGTTTAGCGGTCCTCAGCTAGAATGGAATATTTCATTTATCCAGAAGGGTATTTCTGGAATGTGGCATAAAATATCCAAATTAAAATGTGATGACTTTTCCAAATGATCAGCCTTGAAAACATAAATATGCAAGTAATATTATAGACTGAACAGATTGTATTTATGTATTAGAAACTCTCTGTGTCTCTCTCTGTCTCTCTCTGTCTCTCTCTCTCTGTCTCTCTGTCTCTCTCTCTGTCTCTCTCTCTCTCTGTCTCTCTCTCTGTCTCTCTCTCTCTGTCTCTCTCTCTCTGTCTCTGTCTGTCTGTCTGTCTGTCTGTCTGTCTCTCTCTCTCTCTCTCTCTCTCTCTCTCTCTCTCTCTCTCTCTGTCTCTCTCTCACATACCCACACAGGGGAGGGGGGGTTAAAGAGATAAAGCTATCTGAAATCAGTGTAGCTGCTCAATCCTAACTATAGAAATGCAACTTTAAATCAACAATTTTGTATTGGAAAGATTCATCAGTGTTTTGTCCAGATTACTTTGCCCTGTCACCTAGAATTCTGTCCCTCTCCTTTAGCTCCAGCTACGCTGACCTCATTCCACCTCACACAGTCAGGGTGCTCGAATTACCAGCCAGATAAAAATATCCACATTTACTGCTTTATTTTATTGCTGTCCTCTACTCAGTGTGTGTGTGAGTGTGTGTGTGTGTAATAACACTAAAAGCAGGAGAGAGACACCATGAATTTAAATGGTTTTTGGTAGGAGTAAAGGGAAGGGGAAAAATGATACATTATCGTCTTCAAAACTAAAATAAAATGTAATCTGAACTATACAAATCCCCCGAATGCTTTTTCATCCCAAAATTGTTCAGGTATTATAAATGCTACTGCATTCCTCAAATTATTCAGGACTCAGGCACCTTCTTAAGTGCTTCCAGTGCTAAGTCACAGGGAGAAAAGCTCTTACCTGGGCCATATTTCTGATGAGCTGATCGAGTTCATCAGAGGTAGGCTTCCCAACCATGACAGGTAGAGCACCAGGTCCGGAAAGTGCTTCCAGGTTCCCATTATTTGGAGACAGCAAAAGTGATTCACTTTGCAGAGTGGGAATTGTAGCAGAGCCGAGCTGAGGTATGTGGGCAGGATCAGCATTTGTAGTTGCCAAAGTAGCAATGTTTACCTAGGAGGATGCAGAGATTAATAGCAATAATTCTAGTGTGTTTAAGTCAACTGTGGTGGTTCTGCACTTGTTTGAGACTCGAGAGTGGCCTTGAAGCCACATTTCTCTTTAATTTTGGGTTAATGTTTCTCAAATGTATTAGACTGAACTGGCAACTACCTGGAATAACAACACCAAAAATATATTATTTCATTTTGCAAAACAGAACATCACAATGGCTACTACATGGCTCCAAGAAAAGCTAACTGAACACGATATAGAGAGTAGTCAGTCCTGTCAGTCCTAACTGCAATGTAGATGGTCAATCCTAACCATATAGTGTAGACTTCTAATCCCAACTGTGCAGAAAAGCAGTCAGTCCTAAGTGAGTACTGTACACAGTCAACCCTAGCTGTGCCAGTAGACAGCCAATCTTTCCTGCACAGTGTAGTCCGTCCTAACTGGACACTGCTTCAAAGTTTCAAGAATGCAACTGTTTGTCTACAGTTGTGTCAGACAGATTCATCAGTGATATGTTCCAAACAGCTCTGCCCCTGTTCCTTAGTCCCTTCGCTTTAGCTGTACCGACCTCCTCATTGTATCTCATACCACCAGCCAGGTAAAAATACTTACATTCATTTATTTCATTCACAACTACTCAACCTTACCACATGGAAGCCCTCCCTGACAGCCTAAGCTCCCAATGGCCTCTAATCTTTCCCCTAAGGTCTAACCCAGATAGAACCCACCATCTTGCTCTGTGGGCGGCCCTTCCCCTGCTTCTCTTCAGAGCTCTTCTCACGGAGCTTCTGCGATAGATAAAGCACTCTCAACAAACACAACTTGGAGTGAAAAAGGTTAATGTGGCTTACACCCAGGTCATAGTCCATCACTGAAGGGAAGAGGGCAGGAATTCAAAACAGGAACACAAAGGCAGGAACCATGAGGAGTGCGACTTGCCAGCTTCTTCTCTGGCTCACTCTCTCTCTCTCACGGGTTCTTGTTTAGCTAGCTTTCTTCTAGAGCTCAAGACCACCAACACACAGAATGGTATTATTTCCTCAGGGGGATGGGCCCTCCTACAACATTAATTGCCAATCAAGAAAATGACTCACAGGCATTCCCACAGGAAAACTTGAAAATTACTCAACAAAGACCACCTTTTCAGTGGATTCTAGGCTACAACTGACTGGCAGTTAACGCTAACTAGGACAGCACTTCCAAGCCTTTGATACACACCCACTGTCAAATCACCTCCATTCCATCCAGTGAAGGTAACCAGAAGGTATAACTCTGCAGTGGGGGGACTCAGCCATCTGTTTACTTCAGGTCTCTGTTCTCTAAAGGAATGCCTTGCATAGAGTTGGTCTTCAACATATATTTTACAGAATAAACACTTATCCACACAACTCCTCCACTAGTATCAGCTCCAATTCATAGATGATAGGATAAAACAAAATCATAAACCTACTAACGGTGTGTGCCAAGGATACTTTTTCAACATGTTGCTATCACTTTTTTGTGACACACAGAATATAGTCACTTGAAATACCATTCCTGGATAAAGTCAAGGTAAAGAGCCTCCAATGATGAACTCCATGAAAATACTTCATCCTGTGCCCCAATAAGAGTTTGACACTCATTCTTAAAAATAAATCAGAAAAATAATTTAGTTACCAAAGTAATTGAAATTTTACCACTATATTAGCTACCTTTAGTCACCCATGAAAAAGAGGGAGGAAGCTTCTGGGAATTCTTTCAAATGCTTATTTTAAAATCTACAGCAGGCATGATCAATTATTATTTTTCAAAAGCAAGTTTCTTTTGCCAAGACTGATTTTTTTTATCCCGAGCCATGGCAACTTCAGCAAAGTCTGCCGGCAGAAGCACACTGCTCAGGTTGAAGCAGATGGCATAATAAAATTTGTGACAGGCTGAAGATCCCACACACTAGGACCTAATGCCTATGGTATGTTTGCATAGTGAAAAATATCTGGACTTCTGCTACAGTGAGCCAGAGTGAACAAACTCTATTCCAATAATAGATGGTCTCTCTACAAGAAATTAACCACTGAAGCACAAGTTCTGATGTTACAGAGGGCCAGGGTTGAGGGCACTGCAAGAGTAAAGCCACTGAAGAAAAAGTATCCTTGCACTATGAAGATCATCTGTTAACAGTCAAAGGTCACTGGCTTGTCTGGCTTCTTCCCTGATCTTACGGTTTCATATGAATGGAGAGCCAGGCTTACCTATTGAAAACAGCCCACATATTTTAAAACTGTCATTTAATTATACCATCAAAAGACTTGTTTTAAAGTTTGAAAATTTATACTCTCAGAAAAAAAAGCACAAAGTCATATTTTGATTCATTTTCAACTATTTATTAAAATGGTTTCCTAACCCAGGCATTGGTGCACAAATACAATTCCAGCTCTAGGGAAATCAAGAAAGAAAATCTCAACTTTTAGGCCAGCCTTGGGTAGCAAGGATATCCAGGATTAAAAGTAGTATGGAATACAAATAGAGACATTCTCTGTTATGTAATTTGAGACACAGGAACGAATCTTACTTATTAACCTCTGGCAGATTATTTGAGTCTCAAGGAGCTTTTAAGTGCCCAATAAACAAACACATATTAACTTACAAACTTTGGTTAATGCTGTGACTTAAAACAGACCTTAACTGAAGATTGTGCCCATTGTTTAACAGAAAAGTTCTCCAACTGTAAGTACAAGGGCAGGATCTAGCATGGAGCCAGTTGTTAGGAGTGTGAGAATCCCTCTTACAAGACCTTCTAGACCATGACGGATCTTTGCTCAGTCTTAAAGTAGAAGAGCCATAGAACCAATCTACCACAACTAATTTATTCACCTATATAGTTTTCAATATATTTCATGTTTCCATTGAAAAAATTCACATCATACATGTCATATGGCATCATACAAAAACATGAAATTAAACAAAAATGGCAGATTGTCTGAACACAGACCTAGAGGAGTCAGATGAGGACAATTCTGACGCTGCTGAGAAAATGCCTGGAAAACAAGAGAGGAGTCTTGTGATCTTGGTGTTTTCAAAACACAGAATTGTACTTGGAATGTGAGTTTTGTGCTTCTCCTCCCAAGAATAGCAGAAAGGAGTGAGTTTATATCAGATTATTCATTACATCTGGTTACTGTTATTTGTTTATATGACTCTATGGAAAACACTTTCACCACATGTGGCTTGTCTTTGAGACTACACACATTACTCTGGAGACTCTTCTTAACCCTCAGAGTATAAATTGTCTGATGCTCTGAATAAAGTCAGTTATTGCACGAGACTTCAGCCTCGTTTATGAGTTCCATTCTTCCAGGTCTCACTGCTTCTAGAACAGTGACAGCAGACAGCTTTGAAATCATCTTTAAACAAACCTTCATGTAGCTAGTAAAAGCTGAAGATGTATATAAATCAGTGCAACTGGGTAGCCCAAGTACAGTGGCTGCCATTGCCCAATGTGCTTTCCAGGAGAAATGAGCAGCATTTCTAACTAGTAAGTCACTCACTCCAGGAGACTCTGTACAATAGGATTCCAAGAAAACAAGAGCTCACTTTACTTCAAGATGAAATTAACTTTAGCCTCTGGGAATGCTTACAGCAGAGGACCCCTTTATCTAAAACAAACAAACAAGATGTAAAGAGTATGGGAAAGGGCAAGAAAAAAATATATCAAGTGTGAAACAGAACCCAGGAATTCTGGCATGTTCTACCAATGAGAGGCAGAGCAGTAGCCATAGCCCACAATGAAGAAGAGGGGCATGTACAAAACCCTAGACCACTGCCATCTACTTCAGAGTTTCCTGCCTACCACATATCACAGTGGCACAGCCAACATCCAAGGCAAAGAAAATCTGGAAAGCCTCCATTTGTCATCAAAAAAGAGAAACTGAACAGAGTGACCAAAACCAAAGCAGAAGCCAGAGGTGACTGCACACACCTGTTATATCCAAGGAAGACAGACAGGAGGATGCTTTGTTCAAGGCATTCTATCTCCAAATAAATAAATAAATAATGACTAATGAAAGCTAAGGAACTGGGCACAAATACCTTCCATTTTCATAACACATATGCAAATACAGCTGTTGCCTTAAGTTTGGAGAGAAAAAAAAACCAGAGTAAATTTGGGGGCAGAAAGTGAGTAATCTTAGACAGAAGGTCCAAATTAGAGAATGTCCACAATTAAAGATGCAATAAATGAAGTAATACCGATTACTAAAACAGTAGACAATGTAAACCTGTAGAGTCTGGGATATCTGTGGAGATCAAAGCATGTGTTTACACAAGTCAGGAATGAGATAAACTGGTTTCCAGGCTTTGAAGTTCTTTGAAACTTCGGGGGGGGGCAGTACCAGACTAGAATGGGGTGCGTCAATGACAGAACAAGAAGCCAGTGTGCAAAATATATTAGAAATCTCAGAAGTCACTTAAAAATGAACAACAACAACAAAAAAAACCAGAAATATTTCACTAAATAGAATTCTGGAATGGACAATAGACATCAGAAGATGGTCAGCATCACTAAGAAGAGTCAAATAAAAGCATAAATGTAGAATGTAGAGGATGTAGAATAACATAAATACAGTATTACTGGTAGATAAATTAGTAGTTTCTGAAAAACAATATATATGCATTTACCAAACAATTTCCTGAGCATTATTCAGTAACAAAATCCTAAACTGAAGGCCAGACATAGTGGTGCATTCTGTAATATAGGAGGCTGTGAATTCAAGAACAGCTTAGGACACACAGTAGAAATCTGCCTCAAAGCCAAAACAACAACAATAAAAATCTATATTTACAAAAAACTCTACAAACTGTTGGAAGTAGCAACTTTATCTGTTATAGTAATTATACTGGAAGCAAATAAAATTCCCTTCAATAGATATACCCATACCATGAATCATTACTTAATAATAAAAAGAAACAAAGTATTAATACAATTACAAGTGTATTGTACTATGTGAAAAATGGTCTAAAATGTT